CATTTTCTTTTACTCAAAAAAATGGCATGTATTTCTGAGTATTTTGATACAATAAAATATTTTTCCCATACTTATTTTGGCTGTACTACTCATTTAAAAAACATGTGTTCTTTCTGACGGACCCTGTATTTTCTATTATATCATATAAATTAATATTCTATTTGTATTATGTATTTTGAGTAATACAAGTATACGTATGTGCTGGTTTAGTGCTAGATTCAAAAAAGCTAAATCCCAATTAATCAACAAATAGGTTAGCCGTTTCCATGCTTATTTACTCTTCTACGTACCTCTTTTCGAGGAAGATTGGTTAACAAACAATAGAAGAAAGTTAAATTAAGAAATTGGTTTTGACTCACCAAGAAGGGGTAAAGGGTGTTTAACACAGGGAATTGGTTAGTAATTATACCACACCACTTGTTTGATTCTACACAGTAAAATTTGACTTTAGACTCTGTAAAAAGCTATATCTTATATATATTATATTCGGAGCCAGATCCCGCTGATATTAGTGATAGTTGGTGTGATACACAAAACACAAGGAAAGCGATTGGAGACACCTTACCTATCCAGAATGTTTCAATTGCATGCTGCCAGATGGGGCACCAAGTAGCTTGAAAGAACAAGGGAACAGTGGCGCGAAGCAGAGCTTCAACTGTCGTGAGAGTAGGATTGAATCGCCCTGTATAGGGCACTGATAGCAGCTGTCCCGTAATTTCGATCCGTAAAATTTTTTAGACGAAAAGCGAGATAACCGAGGTATTTACTATGGAAACTGACCCAGGGTGGTCTGGAAATGGCGCTTCCACCATGGCAATGGAGATGGAGGCGAAGGAGCAGACCATAGAGGAGTTGAGAGCCGAATTGGAGATGGTTCGACAGGAGCTGTCAAAAGAGGCCGATGATAAGAAGACTATTGAAAAATTGATGATGATCATCGAAGCCCAGCAGCGGACAATTACCGACCTAACAGTTAAATTAGATCTCCTACTGAAAACCCAGGTACCTTCCCATCTAAACGCGACGAAACAAGACCGACACGACAGGCTTTTCTCCTCTCCCTCCACAAAAATCGCAGTCTGAAACGTCTCATTCAACTGCAAGCGACTCGAATAAACAGCCTGTGCCTAATCTATCGGTTACTTCTTCGCCTTCGATATCTCAGGTATCAGAAGACACGACTGCACAGCCCCCACGCAAGGTACGTGTTACCCCCATCGTTCTTCGCGATGCTTCGAGATGGCGAGGCGTAAATCACAAGTTTATTTCTTTGGGCATCAAATTCGAACGCGCGGTTGCCGTCGATGCAGGAATCAGGATAATTCCCAAGTCCGAGGATGATTACCGCAAGATTATTCGTCTCTTCAGGGAGGAAGAGGTGCCCCATCACACTTTCCCTCTACCCTCGGAGAGGAACATTCATGCTGTAATCAGAGGAGTACCTGTGACACTTTCGGAAACGGAGATCAAGGAAGAGTTGCAACAGAGGGGATATTCCCCCTGCACATAATTCGCCTGAATCGCGGTGGCGGCGTGCCCATGCCTTTAGTGGTAGTCATACTGCCCAAAATAGAAAAATCTCAGCAGCTGTTCAACGAACACGAGCTGCTAGGTTTGGCTATCCGAGTCGAAGTTCAAAAGAACTCGAGGCTCATCGGGCAGTGTCACGGCTGCCAAAAATATGTGCATGCGCAATCTTACTGCACTGCACCACCTAAGTGTCTAAAATGTGCTTCTGACCACATGACCCACTTATGCCCTCAAACAGAACAAGAGGAACGAAAGTGCGCGAACTGTGGAGGGGGGCATCCAGCGAATAGCCGAACTTGCAGATTTGCCCCTAAGAAAAATCTGCAAGTGATAGCGCAAAGGCGCAATGTAAGTTACGCGGATGCAGCTAGGGATACAACCCGGGCTGCCCCCTCTGTGGGATCTTCTGCGAACACGCAAAATGTGGACCTGGCAACCGCGGTAAGGTCCTTACAGCAGATCATAGGTCCTCTGATTAGCGCAACACAGGCTTTGCAGGCGATCTTTCCTGCAAATGGCTAGGTACAATCGATGACAGCTTGCATTTATCAAAATTCTTTTTTGGAATTGTTTGGGTCTAAGGGACATTCCCAAAAAACGGGAATTTCATCAAGCTCTTGTGGACGAAAGTATAGATGTGGCCTTGCTGCAGGAAACATCACTTAATCCGGTAGATCGTCTAGCTTTCCCGAATTACGATGTTATTCGGGCTGATAGATTGACTGGACGGGGTGGCGGCTGGGCAGTGCTAGTGAAACGCGGTATTGACTACCACAGAAGCACAAAGGCTGAGATGCAGAGCATCGAAGCGGCTTCCGTGGTGGTCAATATGACGGGAGGTGTGTCGTTAAAAATCACATCGGTGTATATCAGTTGTGGTATCAGGCTGCAAGAGGCGGATCTGGAAGTCCTTTTAGACTGCTCGGGTCCACTTATTGTGGCAGGGGACTTCAACTGCATACATCGAGCATGGCATTCCAGGTTGAATTCCACCAGTGGGATCCGACTGTACAACCATGTGATACGAAATGGCTACCTCATACATAGTACTGAGGAGCCGACGCACCACCCATTTAATCACCTTCAGGCACCTGATGTTCTTGATTTTGCATTATCTAAAAACTTTAGCTACAGTATCACTTCTCGAATCATGTATGACATCTCAAGCGATCATCTTCCCGTCGTTTTGGAAGTGGCTAATGAGCAGACCTTGGGGGATGAAACCCCTCCAAGAAAACGCATTGATTGGGAACGGTATAGATGCGGCTCAAGCAGAGTGGACAAGTTTTGTTCAGCAAACTCTGCAGCGTGCAGCTGTACTTCCCGTGCAGCGACACGGCAGACCTTTTCTGCCAGCAGACATTCGTCAGAAAATTTCTCCTAAAAGGGCTGCAATTAAGCAAGCGAAAAGGTCTTGTCATCCTGATGACATTCGCAGAGAATTTCTCGTCGGATCACCATGTGATTCCTGTCGTGCAACTCGGTTTTCGGTCTGAACATAGTACGGAGCTACAGGCGGTTAGGCTGGTGGAACGTGTAACCAGAGGATTCACCCTTAACGAAAGTACTGGCATCGTGCTTTCGGATATCTCAAAAACATTTGACAAGGTGTGGCACGCGGGCCTCTTGTATAAACTAATAAAAAAAGGGCTTCCCTTTTTGGCTTCTAAAACTACTGAAATCCTTCCTTAAAGGTAGGAAATTTCGGATCAAAATTGACAATGTCCTGTCGACAACACGGCTGATTACAGCCGGCGTCCCTCAGGGTTCGGTCCTTGGACCTATCCTTTACTCACTGTACATCCATGACGTCCCTAGTCCCAGCAACTGTGAAGTCTATCTCTATGCTGACGATACTGCATTGGTGGCTCAGTCGTGGTCTGGTGACCTAGTCCATGACAGGCTGCAAAGTGCGGTGGAGGAAGTATTAGATTGGGCGGATCGGTGGCTAATTAAAATAAACCATTCGAAAACGCAGGCAATCTACTGTACAAAAAGACGTCGCGGCGTTCCGTCTGAAGTTTCAATGAATGGACTTCGTATATCATGGGAATCCTCAGTAGTCATTCTGGACAAAGGGATGACTTGGCGGAACGATATGGAAGCGCTAAAAACTAAATTCCAAATTACGTTTCGACAGCTTACCCATTATTATGTAAACGTTCAAAATTAAGTTTGACTAACAAGATTCGACTCTATAGGGTGGTCATAAGACCAGCAATGACTTACGCATGTGCGGCTTGGAGTTTTATTGCTAAAACACACATGCGAAATCTGCAGGTTCTGCAAAGCAGGACGTTGCGCACTATTGCTGATGCCCCATGGTATGTCTCTAACGAAACTCTACATAGAGACCTCGATGTCCCTTACCTAAAGGACTACATTAAGCAACAGGCGCAGCGGCGCTATAACCTAGCGGAATCGCACAGCAACACTGTTGCGTGAGTCAGTGGACTACACAGTCGAGCAAGTTCGCAAGCACAAAAGGCCGCGACTCGTGAACTTAGATCAACCAAAATTGGAGCATTTTGACACAATCTTTAGAAAAAATCAAATATTTTTAGACCATATCAAAATTTGTGAAGTGATTTTAACAATGCCTAAACGCTGCCTATCCTAAAAGATTCTCTTCTTCCCCTTTGCTCTCGTTCTTCCTTCTCTCCTTTCCTTCCCCTTTTTTCCTTAAAATTGTTTGGTTTCTGGGTTACCAGACCTGATAGACTTACAAACTGACACTGTGACTCAAGAGCTAAGGTCCCACGGACCGCTCTGACAACCAACGATGTCTTGTCGCGGGTAGGATTGATTTTGCGTCAGTCGATCCTGAAAGTTGATTGACAGCTGCTGCTATAGACTAACTAGTTAGGTCGGCTCCACGGAGTGGAGGAGAGCGGGTTCGAATCCCGCCGGCGCCCATTTTCCTTTCTCTCACGTTATTGTTTACTAAACTTACTCGCTGTTACGGATGCGCTCATCCAAAAAATCGTATACTGAGCATCTATATCACGAAAAACCGTGTTACTCATGTTCGTCGGTATGTCTATCCAGTAATCCTTATCCTCTCTTTGGACGGCGAGCGCTAACTAAGAAAATTAAACCTAAATTATTTTGTTTCTGAAAATATATGAAAATGGTTCCGTATACGAATGTAGGTTCACTATTAAAAGTATTGGACTCGAAAAGTATCACTCAAATTTCAATGAAATTTGCGGCCCCAGTTATAATTCTCACAATTTTGGTTGTATTAAAAAGAATTTTTCGAGGGCCCAAACTTGACAAAAAAATCAGAAGTAATAAATGTTATCCGACAATTACATTAAAGAGTAGCCAAACAAAGTTTGATTTCCTAGAACTACGTACTTAGAATTTTAATGTATCTTCAATATCAAATAGATTTATTTTTATAGAGTTATCACTGCTTGGGATTGACTCAATCTACTTGACTCTTCTATCACACAAATCTAAAGACATTGTACTGTATAATACTTTATTTCAAACATGTCTACGACAATAATTTAATACTAGGAACAAATTGTCAGTAAATTAATTACAAAAAAGACAAATAGATACCATAACATTTAAGAGGAAAATAGGACAAAAATAATTTGATATACATCTATTATATAAAATTACTGGTTCCATATGTTACTTTTGAATATTTTTATATTTAACCACTGGTTAATGTACTGTAAGCTCCATTGCTTTAATTACCAATTTAGTTAGAAATATATTTCTACTATACACTCTATTATTCATATATAATTATCGTTATTGAAAACAATACAGAGAGACAAACATTAATCAACTCTTCTTGTCGACTTGTTGAAAATTATCTAACTTTTCCGCTCACAATAATACATAGAACTAAAAAGCAGGGACAATTATTAGCTAGAAGCATGGTTGAACAGAAGAATCACAGAAATACAAGACACATATTAACTTTGAAATATATTATACATATAAAATTCTTCGTGATGCCCACTAAGTTCGCCTCTTATGTTAGGGTCGCCCTAAAATGAAAAGAACAAACTAGTACATTAGTTGATCACATTATGTTAAATCGTCTAGTAATATAGCTTTTGTTCATCTGACCACAGACAGAAAACCTTGGACAGCTGTTTCGTGCTATTTGGAACTCTTGAACATGGTCCAGGCTTGATCACAGGTAGGACACTGAACGAAAGCTCAGCAACTGTCCTCTATCCAAGATATAAGGTATATCAAAATAAGACAGCTCCACGTGCCATCTATTACCAGAATCGACCACTGCGAAAGTGAATAGCAGCTATCTGTTGGGACTGTAAATATCTCAGTTCGTGTTTGATGTGTAACAAATTTGTAATATTGGGATTTTGCCCCCTAGTGAAACACATTAGTTTTTTATGATTAACTATATTCTGTTCAATCTTTGTTGTATAGTACTGCAAGTCATTCCTCTGCTTACGGCAGCATTTCCTGTAACCCATATAACTTGCAAAACCTAAGATTTGCTAAGAGTTTCTAATAAGAATATTTATACAGTGTGTTCGTACCATACTACAGATAACCCATTCACCACTGTCATCGCTTAGAGGTTGACGATTCTGGCGGTATAGTAGATGTGGTCTACTCGCCATTGAACAACAAAACATGCTGCTTTCGTGCGTCCGGTCACAGAGAACCATGGACAGTTCTTTCGTGCATTTTGGCAGCTCATCAGCATGATTCAGGCTTGGTCTCAGATAGAACAACGAACGAAAGCTGCGCAACTATCATTTATCGATCTACGGAAATAAGACAGCACAAAGTGTCATCGACTCTCGCAGTGGTCGATTCTCGTAATTGTGCAGTCTTATTTAGAATGTTAAAAGGTGGTCTGTCCAATATTGCCAACTTAAGGTTTACTCACTAGCACTGGTGGTTAGGAAAGCGAATGTAATGTGTTTTTATGCATTTAGTGGCTGGTTTGTTTTTAAAGAGTTCTAATTATTTTTAGCGATTTCTCTGGTGGTTTCCAATGAAACTGTAATTTCCATAGCAACTTAAGATTTATTAGGCAAAATTTTATTACACGGTATCCTGTTTCTGAACGCACCTTCGTAATTTTTTAGTTCAAATGTGCTTTCATACGTTTCAACATACCACAAAATGTCATTTATAAAATAAAAACAAGTATTTGCGATATTGATGCAAATGAAATTCTCGATTTCTCTATTTAAATGTAATCTGATGTTACCTATAAGAATTAATTTATTGTTTTCTAAATTTTATTTCTGATCTTATGTAAAAAATTGTAAGATTTTTTTGTCTAGTTTTATAGTATTTATAATATATATATATATATATATATATATATATATATATATATATGTATATATAACTTGAGATGGTCATTGTCGTCTAACAACCAGTTAGGTGAGAAAATAAAGCTTCCGCCTTTAATTGGGTACTTCGACAAGATTAAAGCGATCAGGACTCTTTATACTTCATTAGTCTCTAGATTTCGGCGGGCTATGTCATCATCTCCAGGAGCTACAGTAACATTAGGAAGAAATAGCAACTATCGTGCAAAATGATTTTAAATTACTTAAAATATATAGTATGTGACGTTGTTGCTAGATGTTATTAAAGGTTAAGTTGGGGGAAACATTTAGTAACCTGGTGAAAGCTGGATTCATGGTACATTCGTTAAAAATGGTAAACAACGCAGAGCTGTATGTCAGGAACACATCACAACGGATTAAAGATATTTGGAATGAAAGTTAAAATTATTATTATATTACATTGTGCAGCATCAAGTGGTTATTTCCTGCGGGACCATCAACGTCACAAGTTCGAAATAGAATTATTCGAAACCTACGTAAATCAATAAGGAAAATTGCGGCCTCCACAAGAATAAAAAAAACAACAGTGCATTTTATTCAGTGACGAAGCACATATCTGTTAATAAACAAAATATGCGATCTGGTGCCCAACGACCCTACATAATGCCATCAAAAACATGTACATTGCTGTTTGGTGTGCCATTTCAGTCAGCCAGGTAATTGGGCCTTATTTTTTAACTAAGGAGAGAAAGTCTCTCCGATGTATTGGCGTATGATAGACGGGTTTTTGTTACAGCAGTTGCAGCTGTATCCAGGTTATAACAACAGTACGCTATTTTAGCATACAGTTAGGGTTTTGATGGAAAGGTTACGGACAATTTTTTCGAATTAAGTGATCAGCTAGTACCGACACATCCCGTGGCTGCCTCGGTCGCCAGACCTCACACTTTGCGATTTTTTTCTGTGAGGATACCTAAAATCAAATGTTTACAATAACAATCCCCGAACAATTGAGGCCCTGAAGTACAATATTCGCCGTGAAGTTCAAAGTGCTACTCCAGAGCTTTGCGGTAGCGGAATTACAAATGAAAAAAGTCCGACAGCAGGAGTGCATTGAGAAAAACGGCCAACATTTGGTCGATATCGTTTTTATAACAAGAAATCCGCATTATCAAGCTCTATTTCATAGAAATAAAATTAAATGAAAACAATGTAGTTTTTTGTATTCAGTTTTGAGGTTGAAAATTTTCCGCTGGTCACTCTTTAAATTAAAGGTTAACACCGGGGATACAGTTGAAGCCAAAATTTTACCGTATTTGTTTCTAATTTTTTACTCCAAAATATAGCCAAAATGTGTTTAAACTACATTAGAAGTTTAAAAATGGGGAGCGCATAAGGAGATGAGGTATTTAAACATACATAGTATGTTGTCCCACTGGGTATGACATTAAACAGACATCCCATTAACATGCTACAATATGAATATTTTCAAACAATAATAATGATTTTCATTATACTCTGGATTAAAAATTATAGTTAAGTATTACAATCCTTTTAAAATACAGTTTCATAACGAATTACGATCAATAAAAGATAAGAAGTTAATAATAATTATATTGCTATTTATTAATATCTGATCAAAATAATTAAGAGTTAATCAAAACTTCAGTATAAATGCTATAATTTCTACAGTTGTAATATGATAGAAAGGTGTACCAAACTGCATGCGCTGTCTTTTAGCTGCAAAAAGAATTACTTCATGATTGAAATATTTTTGAAGTTAAAAAATGGCGCAATCATACTAGAGTAGTAAAAATAATAGATATCATTTATACCAAGGCTATAATTAACTCTTTACTATCTATAGTCAGATATTAATAAATAATAATAATTGTTAACACTGTATCTTGTATTAATTGTATTATAACCTACAATATTCAACTATACCAACATGGAGCTGAAAATGGCAACTACTCAGATCTGGTATTTCCCTGCAAAAAAATAATTATAATGACAGGTAATGCCCGTTGTACCAAAAAAAAAAGCTCAAATAGCTGACAGACTGAGTATCCTTTCTTGGAATGACTACTCTTTGTCCTTGGATGGTAATATTTTATATTACCTGACCGTTCTTCTTCCTCATCACTAGTATATGACATGCCACTGACTGCAGCTCTAGTTGAAGTAGCTTGCATCAGGTCTTGATCAGGAGCATTGCTTTTCTCATATAGAAGTATATTCAATGTTTCTTCATATATCCTCGCTTCAGGACACTCTACCTTTGTGTGTTTTTTGTCTGTTGCATACACTATTGAGGTACAGCATACCTCTGACACCTTTTTGCCTGAAAATAATGGTTAATGTAGTTCTCATCAGTTGACTTCCCCGTCTATGTGAAACGAATTTTGTAATCAACCTTAAGGCAGGTCTAAAGGGTATGATTTGTCTCATCATTGGCAAAGAAACAACCTGTATCTTGGTAATGCGTCATTTTATCCCCTATGTTTAAAGGAACTTTTTGTGATATTTAGATTAACTTGCTAATCTTGAAACATTGCAAAGTTTTTTCTTAATCACCCTGTAAAGAAAATTCCTTACCATGTCCATAAAATACCCAACAGCAAATCTCGCTAGTACTAATGACATCTTTGAGAAACAGCACCCTCGCGCTAAACCATAATGCCAACTTGTCAAACAGTTCTATGTTCTTTAGCAGATTGTCATCTGAGGCTGATGTGTAGGAATATTTGTTGTTATGTCTGTTTAAACACATAAAGAATTAGAGTCAAATACAATTGTTGAAAAAAAATGATATTAAACATCTTTATTTTTGAAAAATTTTTGAAAAGTGGTGGGGGCAGTCTGACTTTTGAGAAGTGGTGTCTGCATCTAATTTTTAAAAAAATTGTGATTGCAGTCCGATTTGTGAAAGAACTGTGTATATAAGTCTTATATTTGGAAGTATGGTAAATCCGATTTTAAAAAAAAATAAGCGTAATCCCATTCTTCAACAAATAATGAATGCAATCCAACTTATGAAAAAAGGGAATGCAGTCTGAATAAAAAAATTTTTTTTTGAAAGCAATGTGATTTTTGTTTACGAGGGATGTCTTTTAAGTTTTGCATATAGAAACAAAGTAGGCCTCGCGGATTGCACGTCAGTACTGAATCTTAGCCTCACTCTTTAGTAAACTTAAATTCAAAGTTTCACAACAATACGTGAAGTGTTCTCACTACAGTGAATTTTTGAGTGTCACCAAGTCATTAGAAAAATGGAACTCAACCGAGAACATTTTCGCGCCATAATTTATTACAACCTTCAGAGACAATTATCGCAACAAGAATGCCTTGCTGAGTTACTGTCTGTTTTCGGCAACGAAGCGCCACATCAGTCGACAATTTCCCGTTGGTATGGAGAATTCAAACGTGGACGGGTGAGTCTTAGCGACGATTCCAGGGTGGGTGCACCAAAAACGGCAGTCACCCAGGAAAACGTCGATGCTGTGCGCAAACTCATCATTGATTATAGACATGTGACATATCGCGAGATTGAGGCGTCCTTGAAGATATCAAAGACCTCAATTCAAAAAATTTTACATGAAGAATTAAGAGTAAGAAAATTAGTTTCTCGTCGGATACTCCACCTGTTGACTGAAGAGCAGGGTTAATTGGTGTCAAAAAAACGCTTGACCGTTTCAATTCCGGAAACTCAAAAAATGTGTACAGCATTGTTAGTGGTGATGAATCGTGGATTTACTGTTATGAACCAGAAAATAAACGACAGTCGGCTGTTTGGGTGTTCCAAGGTGAAGAAAAGCCAACAGTCATCGAAGTGTTTCGAAAAAGGTGGTCGCGACATTTGTGTCAAAAGCGGGTCATATTGCAACAATTCCTCTTAATGAGCAAAGAACTGTTACTGCGGATTGGTATACCACCATTTGTTTGCCAAAAGTCATCACCGAGCTTCGAAAAATCAACCCCGAAAGAAGAATCATCCTCCACCAAGACAATGCAAGCTCGCACACAGCCAAAAAACAAGGCAGTGCTTAACGGAAGAAAACGTGGAATTATTGGACCATCCTCCATATAGTCCCGATCTAAGTCATAACGATTTCTTTACTTTCCCGAAAATTAAAAACAGACTGCGTGGTCAAAGGTTCCAGTCACCAGAAGAAGCAGTCGACGCATTCAAAAATGCCGTTTTGGATCTGGCAGCAAACTAGTGGTATACGTGCTTCGAAAATTGGTTCTAGCGCATGCAGATGTGTATTAATCTTCGTGGAGAATACTTCGAAAAACAATAAAGTCATTTAAAACTACCCACTGTGTTGTTTTATTTCCATATGCAAAACTTAAAAGACATCCCTCGTAAACTGTGAATCCAGTCCGATTTTTTGCAAAAAAATGGTCAATGCATCCCGATTTTTTAGAAAAATACAGACTATTGAAAAGGCAAGACTATTTAAGAAATGCTGAATGTAATCCGGTTTAAGAAAATTATGAATGTCCAATGTTTAGAAAAATGGTGAATGCAGGCCGAGTTTTGAGAAAAAAGATGAGTGAATCCCGATTTTTGAAATAAATTGTGAATGTAGTCCGATTACTGAAGAAAGGCCAGTGTTTACAAAAATGATGAATGCAACCTGATTTTTGGAAAAATGTTGAATGCAGTCCGATTTTTTTAAAAATGGTATACTGGCCAAAGTTTCACAGGGCAAAAAGGCTAATGCAGCCAGATTTTTTAAAACAAAAAGTGCTAACTGCAGCTCGATTTTTTGGAGAATAGTTAATGCAGCAGTATTTTGAGAAAAAGTGTATGCAGTCCGATTTTTGAAAACAGGTGTATGCAGCCCATTTTTTTTCTTGAAGATGCAGTTAAATTTTTGAAGAGTAAATGCACCCCTAGTTCCAACAAAAAGGTGATTGAAGTTGATTATTGAGAAAGACTTAAGCTGATTAATTATTTGAAAACTGGTAAATGCTTTCCGGTTTGTTAAAAAAATTGTGATTGTTGTCCACTAAATGCGAAAAAAGATTAAAGTATCCAGATTTTTTAATAAATTGTGAATATAGACCAATTTTTGGAGAATTTCTGAATGCAGTCTGATTACTGGAAAAAATGGAGTAAGTTGACTCTGTACTTCTCATGTTATTCTATCAGTTTGTAAAGGATTATGTTTTGTACTGCCCTTCCGTGAAAAAAGTTGGCTATGGACATGCATAACAAAAAATTAAAGGACCTTCCTCCTCCCCCTGAGAGCAATTGCTGCAGATGCACATGATCGTTGCAATGACCAATCCCGCGTGAATTAAATATTGGCCATCACCATGCAGAGTGCACACAGCACAGCAGTACAAAACCCCGGAGATATTTCTAAGTTCTAAAGCTAAATGAATATTGACATCTATGATGAGCGAAATATGGCTAATATGTGTGTAGAATTACTGCAGTTGGTAACCAAGATTGACAGACGGACAGACAGACTTATGGAAATAAGTGACATGGTTTTTCATAATGTACATGTCATAAAACAGTCAAAAAATATAATATCTCATTTTCGAAATATTTCACGATTACTATTCCTCACCATCAGTAGGCATGGGAAGTTGAAAGGCAAAAGCAGCCAGTATTTACAAAAATGATGAATGGAGCCCGATTTTTGGAACAATTTTGAATGCAGTCCGATTTTTGAAGATGGTAAATGCATCCCATTTTATAAAAAATGGTATCCAGTCCGAATTATGAAAGGACAAAAAATTAATGCAGTGCAACTTTTTGGAAAAATAGATCATGCATCCCTTTTTTTGAAAAAGTGGATGCAGCCCAATATCTGATTAAAGAGGTGTATGCAGTCAGACTTTTTAAGCAAGAAGAATAGTGAATGCTGTTCGATTTTTGTAAAAATGTGGAAGGCAGTCTATTTTTTTTTAATAAGATAACCTAAGATGTATCTTAAATTTGTATTGAAAATTAACCTGTTTATCAACAGTTTGATAGCAGGCTTAGTTGTTGAGCTAATCAATAATTCTTCCTCCTTCAACGATGTGATCAATGGTACACCACATTTAGGTTCTTGTTCCACCTTGTCTTTTTTGTTAAGTGCTTTTGTACATGATTCAGCTAACTCAGCAATGCAGTAATACTTAGCTTCAGCTAATAGCTCGGCTAGCTCTTTTGATGTTTCAGGAAGGGAAACACTACCATCTCGCAGAAAATTGAGGATGGTTCCAAAGTGTTTGCCACATCTATCGATTAAGATCCAACCTAAAATAAATGTTTTTTCATGCATATTACTAGTATTTTTATATTGAAGCAGGTGTGAAGGCAGAATATGATACCATGACCACTATAGGTGTTAGCTATTGCTCTTATATTCCAGAATAACCATATTTTTAATCTAACCCAGTCATTCCTAAAATGGGCAATAACTAATCCTTGTGAGCACTGGGAACCTACAGGAGGAACAGTATAGAGCCTAAAGGAAATTTGGGGGGTATGAGAAACTGATTAGAAGGGGGAGATTCAATTCCTCATACGACACACATTAGGTACCAAAATTAAGTTAGTTTTGGGGGCTCTAGAAAAACACTAAACTCAAAGTGGGCAGTAGACAAGTTTGAGAAATTCTGTTCTAACTCACTTAGTATGATATTCTTTATAACTTAATTTAGGTTTTTGGTCAACCTTGATACAGATCCACTACTAATAAAATTGTGGAACAGAATGTCAATGCTCCTAGTTCTTGAGTTAGCACAGTGCCTATACATCAAGATAAATATGCGGACATTTCATATCATAGAGCTGTGTAGAATTTAGCTTTAGTATCATACCTTCCTGTGAAGATATGATGTTAGCTTACCATCAGAGTCTGACAAGACTTCCATCCTACCACTAAACATCGCTCGTAACATGGTATCATGTTTCGTTAGGGTTCCTATCGTTGTATAATGTAAGCATCCTCCTACATTTAACTTCACATACTGGGAAGGATTGCCTTTGATGGTCGTTTTACCAGACATCTCTAGGGAATAAATTTTGGAGCAAATTTAAATCAGTTCTGCCCTTTTCGGCAATCTGTAGTTGTAGATTATGATTTCGCGTGACTAAGTCGAAAGTATGTATTTATTTACTTAATTTTCAAGTTTCCAGTTCCTAGCCAAACTTCCTCATTTTTTGGAGTGACATCATGAACGTCATTTTGAATTTTGACAAATTAGAAATTATCAAATTATATCATTTGCCACTTGTTAATCACAAAACATAGCTGTAAAAAAATATAGAACGCGGATACGCGGATCACATGTGTCCGCCATTCTTGTCCCTGATGTGCGTACGTGCTTAACCTTGCTTTTCTTGTAGCAAAAACTACGCACCAAAAAAATACTGCTTATGTTTTAATTTAGGCAGAAATTAGAAGAGATGAAAATGGCAGATTAGATATATAATACGCTATATTTTTTTCACAGTACAAAATCTGTTTATGTTTTGTCTATGATATTTTTGTTCTTTGAATCTGGTAAATATGTCAAATTTATTTTTGACATTTGCAGAGACCTCAAAAGAGATTGAAAAGTGGATAAACCAAAAAATTAAAATAAAAAAATGGCATCACAAGGCATGCAAAGGGCTGCACGAGAAGTAAAACCGATATTATCTCTAGATCGCGATGAAGCACGGAAGAGAGTATTGAATCTATACAAAGCATGGTACAGACAAATTCCCTATCTAGGTTTGTACACATTTTTCATGTAACGAAGATTTTACATAACAACTTTTGCAGTCAGGCAATATGACATTCCCCGAACTGTGGAACAGTGCAAAACTAAGCTAAGGGAAGAATTCACCAAATATGAAGAAATCAAGGATGTGAGGCTTGTTGATATGATGGTCATAAAAGTAGGTAGATACACTTCAGATTCAGAAGTATTTAAAGTCTACTCTTCTGTGGAAATATAAGGGCATAATGGAGACAAGATGCTTTAAATTTTTTCCAAGAAAATCTTACATAAAGTATTACATTTCATGGAAAAACAAAATATTTGGAAATACAATAGAGGAGTTTGTATGGAGGATCATTTATTAATTTCCAAAAGATAGTTTGAAACATATTTGATTTTATTATTTTTGAATATATAATAGTCAGTGGACAATGTCCAATGTAACTATTCCTAGGAACTGTTGGGCCTTGTAGAACATTGGATTTCACTGTTTTTTCACTTGAAACTTATAGAGGGTAGTCTGATAGATTATTATAAAACAAAAAAAGGGTGCTGTTGTGTTTTGTAGAATGAAGCACACTTTTCATGAAATTTTTTTCCCAAAACACAGCATCTTCAGTAGCTCTTTTCCCTATTATTTTCACCGCCATCTGTCATATATGATGTCTGTGCGTATGTCATATGAGAGGTGCTTGCCTGCGGTGTTCCCAGATTGGGTTCCGCATTTAAGGAAAAATATGAAAAAATTTATATACATATATTAATGACACAAAATAACGAAAAAGAAACAAAAAATAAAAACATAACACAGCAGTTAATTAAAAAAGGATTAAGAGAATAATTATAGAAAAAAATTGTGCATTTTGAGGTAGTAGTAAAATATGTTTTTGAACACATACATATGTAGGTATGAGAAGTGATCATTCACCACCTCATAGTTCCCGCTTTAAAGCTGGGTATCAAAGATCAAGGTACAGGCTTGCCACCCTTTCTTGTTCTTATATTCTTAATCACTTGAGTGCTGACAGTTCCCCACCAATATGACTACTACTACTGAGTTATTTTAGTTTTTTGTTTATTTTTCGTTATTTTGTTTCATATATACTACTTCGAAGTTGAGTCATTTATTTTAACAGTGAGCAGATCTGATCAAAAGAAATGTTTTTTTCCTTTACCATTTTTCTGGTAAAATTAAAGTAACAAAGTTATAGCCCTTTGGAAGTTTGAGTACCGCCCTGTCTCAATAATAATATTATGTGCTCGTGTTTGGCAACAACGGATATAATCCGCCTTATCGGTTCATCGCATCGGAAACAAAAAAGCGAAAGAATTTGGAACAATGTTTTTACAATTATTTTATTCAGTTGTATACAGTCAGTGTCAGTCGGTAACGCGTGAGTGAATAGTGGTGTCTGTTGCGTGGCTCAAACGAAATCAAAAATGGCACATGTTTACGAAAATGCTGAACTTGTGGACATGATTCTTATTTACGCGGCATCACGGATTTATGCGGATCGGTTTCCCAATCGAGTGCAACCAACCCCTCGTGCCTTTGTTAATGTAGTACAAAGGGCTCGTGAATCAGGTGACTTAAGACCTCACAGGGGAGGGCATGCCAGTGCTCCAAGACCACACGATCAAATACAGGTCCGCACTGAAATACTTGTCAGGAGGATACTTTATAAAACAAGGTAACATTTTTTTTTTAATTTCTTTTTTATTTTTACACACATATTTTGGTTTATCTTCCTTCTACAATCATTATCTGAAAATTAATGACTCAACTTCAAAGCCACCCTGTATATACAAAGTGACTACAACACAAGAAATAGAAATATATATCTTCTGTATTCAGTCCATCATCTCACGGTTACCGAAAAAAATGTCCATTACAGCTGCACTAAAATATATAAGTTACCTCAAGAAATTAAAAGGTTGGCAGATATAAAAGAATATAAAAAGAGTATCAATTGTTAATGCACTTAGAACCATATGACCTTTAAGAATATTTTGAAATGCAAAATCTCTATTATGTTATATGTTTTGCCTCTTTGTTTTTTCTGTCTTGATGACACTGTGACGTATATTTTACCTAACAATTGTAATCATGCACTGCTATTTTGAAATAAAGATTTATTATATATATATAATATAAATTTTCCACTTTTCATATTTTTCTCTAAATGCTGAGCCCAATCCAGCAACACTGCAGGCAAGCGCCTCTCTTATGACATATGCACAGATCTCATATGGCAGGTGGTGGTTGAAATAATGGTGGAAATAGCTGCTAAAAATACAGTTTTTTGAGAAAAAATTCTAATGAAAAGCATCCTTCATCCATACTTCTTGTTTTAAGATAATCTATCAGACCACCCTATATAAGTTTCAAGTGAAAAAACGGTGAAATCAGAAGTTCAACAAGATGCAACAGTACCCTATTCCTATTATATAATAAAAGTTATGATTAAATATTACATTGCATAGTGAATGAATGCATTTTGCTATTTCTAACTAGAAGGTTTTTAAACTAGATTATAGATTAATCATTTACTGCATTCTCGCTTAGCCAATTCCACTGTCTGATATAAGACTTTTCCTTAGTAGTTTGGTACCCTCTTCCTTACATAATTTATATTGATTCCCCTTAAATTGATAATGAGTTCAAAGATTGAAGATTGTATGTTGCTTTTTTAATGACCTTAGATTATCTTAAATGCTTCTATGAGGTTACTCTCAGTATTCTCTGTTCTAAAGTTTTGAATTTTTCAAATATTGTTTTATAGTGTAAATGAGGTCACTCTTCTCTGAACCCTTTTACGTTTCTCTATCTTTCCCATAATAGGGGCACCATATATACCCTATTTTACGAGTATTCAGCACTGTAGAAGAACAGCTGACTATCTAGTAATATCTCAAAATTCACCATATCAGCACAAGACACATAATTGTGATGGATCCCTCAGTGCCAGGTAGACAGCTGTATATTTTTGTCTTTTGTATGCTACAGATTCATTTTGTACTTGCTAAACAGCTATTTTATTTAGAAAAGTTCATTTGCATTCAAAAAACAAAATGCCACAAACCATTTTTACTAGATTCTTACCTGATTCATTACTACCAACATTGCAGACTAACATAAAAATGTCACTGGTCAGCTGTTCACCTCAGTAGACTTCAAAGGGTTATGGATACACATGAAATAGCTTATACCTTGACCATATTCAAGTATGGGTCTTAAGTACTGCTTGTAAATTTTTGAAACTATAATGTTTAGGTACTTAAATGCCTGAGAAAACAGGAAAATTTAATTGTTGGCCTTTTTAACTTTTAAATTCATATGCATCTCCTAGTTCAATCATTTATTTCAGTTACTCCCAAATCCGTTTGCTCAGTCAGTGCTAAAGTCTGCTTAACCAATATAGTACAAATGCTAAGTATTACTCTTCCCTATATAAGCATGTTACATTTAAGTATATCAAGTGGCATCTGCTAGGATGTTGTCCAGTTTACCATTGTTTTGATATTCCTTTGCAATTAATTGGTTGGTTAAGTGGGTTGCAATAACAGTTTGTGTCATCTACAAAGGATGTCAGAACTCTTTTTTTTCAGAAAATCACTGATATAAATTAGTTAAACAGGCTCAACACTGAACCTTGTGGTATGCCACTTAAAACTTTATGGAAGGAACATTTTCATTTGTCCACTCTGACATAAAATGATCAATTTTTAAAGAAATCCACTAAGGCTGTACTTCCTCTAATTCCATAGTGCTGTAATGTGTACTTTAATCTTTCAAATGGAACTTTATCGAATGCCTTGTCAAAATCTGAATAGACAACATTGGTAAACTTTGATCTGAAGTAGTCTAATCTTGTAAGTAGGTTGGTAAATGCAGTTCCACCTGTCAAAAATGCTGGGAACATGAAATTCAGTGTTTTCAAATAAAAAAGATATCAGATATTATCTTTTCCATAGTTTCACACAGCATGCTCATGAGATTAGTTGGTCTATAGTGGGAAGGTGATTTCTTGTCTCCTTTCTGATTATGACTGCTACATTTCATTCATTTGGCAATCTGCCTTCTTGAAAAATGATATTTATCATATTGGATAAAACTCTTGAAAGAGATGTCACATTTTTGATCAGGAATATTGCAGGAATTGCATCTTCTCCAGGTCCAGCATGGACATTTAAAGATGAAACGTCCGTGAAGAAAGCTGTTAACTTTTCTTATACCCATTTCACACTGACTATATATCCACGGATTTCATCATGAATTGAGATCATGAACAAATTTACAGAGTATAAAACAGCAATTTGACGTCAAATCCATCAACTTCTTAATGGATTTCACACAATAGTTTTTGTAATTTTTGCCATGTTAGATATCAAACTCCTTAGAGTCAACCTTGTTTTTTTTTTCATTATATGGAACAATGTTCAAGATCAAATATAGAACTTTGATGGAACTTCAGTATTCAACAATATGGTTTCTATTTATGAGATTCACCTCCAAATCGATACCACAACTTATATAAAAACTCAAAATGTTTCTAGCAAAAATTTGTTGTGTGGTTGGTACGTTGGCAGCAATGTACTGTCAGATAATACATGAATTTGTTCATTGATTTAAACACTGCAGAACAATAATTGGGATTACCTTGAAGCAATTCATGTAAGTAGATTCTAAAAGAAATTGTTGGTGAACAGATATTAGGATTAGATCTAAGAGTTACCTTAGATCCTTAAATTAAAGTTACACGAGTAAATATTTTGCCGATTGTGCTCCAAAACAATGTGGGTGTTTACATCCATTGACAAATTCATGGATTATCTAAGAGTAACCAGTGCTGCCAACCACACTACAATATCTTGCTAACATTTCAGTTTTTGTGTATTGTGGTTTGCCGGTAAATAAATAATAATAAATAAATCAAATTCAAGCAAATAACCAAACGAAAATAGTATTTGGTATTTACCAATACGTTCACGCGAGTGTGGTTATCAGTTTGGTTGTAAGATCCGTCGTGTCATTAATCAGCTGTTATATGTCATAGTTATTACCATAAAATGTGGTATTTACCCAACTCCCCAGTAGTTTTATATTTCTGGTTATTTGAAATGTGACAAGTTAGAATTTTGGCGGGTATTGGATATTTTTGTTGTACTTCAGCTTCATTTTTGGGAAACTGATACAGGCTGACTTCAGTTTTAGCATAAAAGAGAGCATCTTATTAGTTATACTCATTACTGTTGTTGGGGACACTTTTAAGCTAGTTCCTATGCTTAAAGTAACCTGTGTAGCACTATACCACAAGAATATTAAAATATGGCCATATAAACTCACTGGATCCTATCCACCTGTATACAGTTTTGGTAATATCTTTCTCGTCGCTTTTTCCTACAACTTTTGCTATATCAATTAATATTTTTTTTGACATGCGGAAAGGTTTAAAGAATTGAAAGTTATCATAGCTACAAAGCCATGTTTCCACCATTAAAATTGTGGGCATCATCTTTTATTTTCACGACAAAATTGTTTAAAAATAAGATAAACATTTCTCCCATTAATATTGTTTTTTTTATACTTTCCATATGATATCACTGTTTTGGGTGAAATTATTTACACACTTTTCTAAAATAAACAACTTTAAATAAAACCGGCGGTTAAAACCAACGCGTTCAAGCGATTCGAGTAACTGACGTCATCAACTCGTGTGTCATCTTAAACCACGTTATAACCGCGGTAAATAACAGAAATTTTGGTCTTTCGCTTGACTTTGATTATAGACACCATATTCATGGTGTATACTTGAATTGGAATGGAAAGGAAAACAAGGTCGGCATCATGGAATTTGACGTCAAACTTGCAAAAATTAGAACAAGAAAATCCATGAACTCAATTTATGAAAAAATCCTTGGATTTATTGTCAATGTAATACGGGTATAAAACATATCAGGCTTGTTGGAACTTTTGAAATATTTAAACGAAAATAAGGACTTTCACAGTGTTATATCTTATTTTTGCAAGTTAATTTTGTTTTTTATAGGGCCAAATGGAGCTTAAAGAAGTGGTGAATAATTGGAAACAAAAGGGGCATATAATGACATACTTTAAAGATACAGTAGAACCTAAACCAAAAGACTTCTTGTCAAAATTCTTGCAAGGGAAAGATTAAACTTAATTTTAAGAGATTAGTGTTCCAAATGTAGGATATTAAAATGCTTTTGTCAATCTGTTTGTTTTACTTCAACAGAAAAGATATTATTTAAAGACTATTTGGGTTTTAGGAATACATTCCATCAAAAAAATATATTTTTTAATATAACAATATTTATTAGTCTAGTTCATCAGGATTTGTGGATTCTCTTACATTTAAAATATGTTGTAAACCAGCTGTTCTGTAGTGTTCAGGCCAACTGGAAGGTTCTCTATTATACATCTGGAAATATAAAAAATAACATTAAAAATTGTTCACTAAGTTACAATAATTAAAATGTTAAATCATGGGGAAATACCACATACAAGGATTAAGAAGTAATACTTTAATATCTTCAGTCATTAATTAAAAAAAGTTTTAGTGTCTTGTTAGGAAAGGAAATTCGTCATACTTTGGTACTCCTAAGTTCATACTAACTTTGCTCACAAATTTTAATACATCCATTTTTGAAATGGTAGCCTCAGCAGCTGGTCCCCAAGAATAAATTTTTTCTTTTGTATCATGATCTTCTCCAAGAGCAATATACTTTTGACTCCTCAATATATTAATGCGATCTTTCACATTACCAAAAACTGCATGCCTCCTTTCAACATGGATATTCAGTGACTCAAGAAATGTATTTAGGGAATCTGAAAAACATAGAAAGTGAAAAATGGAGCTAGGTTTAATATGGAAAGGAATATAAAATGGTTGATTTAGATCTTACCTTCACTACATTCATCTTTCAGCATGAATATGTGACTAAGAATAAGGAGTAACAATATATCTTTGCAATCACTAGCGGTATCTTCTGATTCATCAGGTCTTTCATCCACATATTTCAAACGATTGCTAACAATGTAATATTTTGACTGTGTTTGTGTCCCAGTGGGTGCTGTAATTAAATTATACCCATAAACCTACAAAAAATGTATCAAAATTATTACTATAGGAAACGTACCTGTTTTAAATTGTTCAGGACTAGAGCAATAGTATAGTGGTGGAGGGTGGCAAAGCCTGATAACTAGGTCACCTTTAACCCTTTTTGCCTACCCTGTAGTATCAACACTATTATAGTTGAGTCACCGTTCCTGACGGGTCAAAGTAAAACTACCATCCCTTTATATATCTCCATCTCCCGCATACATACGCATGCAACCTACCCCTGTGTGTGAACGTTTGTTCGGTAAGCTCAAAGACATGTTTTTTAGTTGAGTCTCCGTCTCGAAAACTTTGTCGTTACGTATGAGTGCCCTTCTTTTAGTTGTCCTGTTACCAATTTTCAATATAAAATTGTACAATGCCCGGAAATACGATCAATGGAGAAGGCCGACAGCTCGTGCTAACTTTATTAGGGTATTTCCAAGAAGAGAATGAAAATAGCAGTCCTCTGTTACCCACTTCATGCGTACTGGTGAGAATAGCAGATGCGCTGAAGATTAGTCTGCACAGTGTTTAGCTAATGAAATCAGAAAATAAGAAAGGTTTGCCCATAGTAACACCTGGGGAAACTCACGAAATCAAAAAATGCAAGACCGATGATAATAATAATAATAATTGGTACTATTACACAAAAATGTGTTTGCACAGGTCGATTAGAGTAGAACATAAAAGAGGAAGTAAAAACAACAATGAATACGTAAAATAAGACAAAGATAAAACACAAAGTGGCAATAAAAGGTAAAAAAGTTTTTCAAGTGTGTGCTCAAAAGTCTTTACACATGTCTGGAGAACAATAAAATGTAATACAAAAATAACATACACAAAAAACACAAACGAAAACAAATAGTCAACAATTATTATGGAACAAAGTCGGTAAAATCATTATTTAAAAACGTCACTAGATATCTTTTCACAGTTGCTTTGAAAATGGTTGGGGTGAGTGTTTGACAAAACCAGCGCAACGCATCAAACAACTTCACGCCGAAATAATTACTTCCATGTCTAGTTTTTGATAGTCTTGTGTACTCTGGTATTAATTCATTGTTGAACCTTTTGTTATATTTGTGAATCTCTTTCGGAGTTCTGTAATCATCGTAATTATTTTTAACGTGGATCAGACATTCTAGTATATATATATATATATATTATATATATATATATATATATGCATGGCACAGTTAAATTTTTTAGGTAGATAAATTTAACGTCCTCTTTCAACACTGTCTGAAATGTAGGTTTGGTATTATTCCCAAGCATCGTCTCACAAAAAGCAAAGACCTTCGATACATGACATGAATGACCCCAAATCAGTATGCAATATTGCAAGTTAGATTGGAACTAAACATAATATATTTTATTTTAGATAAATTCTTTGATAAAGAGGTAATGTGTGATTCCCAAGTTAAGTTTGCATCAATAATCAATCCAAGAAATTTCACGGGTACTACTAAATTACTTCTGTTTGGGCGAGTACTGAGTAGAAGAGAATGAGGTCTTGCTATGTTGATTGATAAACTGTTAGCATTAAACCAGTTTTAAATGTTGTAAAAATGCTGCTGAGAATCGAGTAATACATGGTCAAAGTTATGATTGGATGATATTGATGTCGTGTCATCCGCAAATATATATTGATTGATGCTACAGTTTGGCAGATCATTGTTGAAATAAATCAAAAAAAGATGTAAGTAATGCCATAAAAACAGAAATTAGGAATACTTAATAAGATATGAGAAGTAAAAGACAACATATCACAACCTCTGTGCTCAAAAATTGAAGCAATGGCTGCAAGACATATACATTTTGATGATGAATCTTAAACTCGAGCTTAGCTTTTAACTATATGTCGCCTTAATAAACCATCGGCTCCAAAACATATCCGACATGAAATATTACATGAACATTAAGTTTTGCGGCTCCCCCCTACCATTGTCAATACAACCCTATTGAGTTAGTCTGGGGAATAGCTAAACAGTACTATGATCGTCATATGGAGGAAAATGGCTGTGGTGACAAGGAAGTATTGAAAGTTTGGGACGATGCTCTAGCGAAAGTGGTTATTTCAGTTTGGGTTAAATGTGTGAAACATACTGAGGACTTGATTAAAAACGACTGGGACAAGCATCAAGTGTTTAATATGGAGGTGACTAAAATAATCATTCACTTGAGAGAAAGTTCAGATGACTCTAATAAAAAAATCCAATAATTCATACTTTTATTTTGAAACATTTAGAAAATTCATAATTCTTGATTTTCTATGTGTGCAACTTAATGTAGATTGTTAAATATTTTGATACACATACATGTGGAAGTTACAAGCTTGATGTTTATTAAGGTGACATAGATTTAAAAGCACGAGTTTTAAATGTATTTTTTTGTCTGGCAGCAATTTATTTAGTAGCATTTCACTCCAGGAAGAATTGAGCATTTTTATTATTGAAGATGGTTCTTCTAACGCCTCATAAGCTTGTCGCATATCCACATCCAATGTTAGTTGTTGAATTATATTATAAATTCTGGGTATTTTATATTTCAATTTTAAAAAGCATCAAATGGCATGTCATACTCTACCCATGTTTATGGTTATAGAAGATATTAGAGAATTACGATTAGTAAATAATTTTATTCGGTTTCCCTCAGTTAGGAAAATTAGGATCTGTCCATGCTATGGATCTGTTTACTTATTTCATATGGCGTTGATGACACAACCAATAAGAAGGGCTTCTACAACTATACTCTAGAAGCCATCTACTCGTAACTGTTTATTGTATTAACTAGCTGTGGCTACAGTGTAGCTATGTGGATCATGCACTGATATGGTGCATGATATAGACAACACAACATTCATGGCTCCGAATTGTCTTCTGAGACAGAGATTCAAACTGGCGAGCCTCTGGGCGACGCGCTACCCAGGACTATAGTCTAGAGCAGGGCTGTCCAACATACGGCCCGCGGGCGAACTCCTTTCTTGCGGCCCGCTTCATGGGTCATGTATACATCACATGTATAAATTACTCACAAATACCGAATATGCACAATTCTTACATCAACTCTGTAATAATGTTGTATACAAAGATTTTATAATGCGGCCCTCCAAACTCCAAATTTTTTTTTGAAGTGGCCCTTGGGCCACATTAAGTTGGACAGCCCTGGTCTAGAGCAAAACTCAAACTTTCTCATGGAAAAAATCTAGGGAGATATTCAAAGATTTTTGTTATACTCACTTTTTGTAGTATAAGCTTAACTTTATCGATAACCATTTGGAAATAAGTCTGTCCCTTGGGAATGTTTCCAAGTGCTGATCTCATGTCTTGTACTTTGAATATAGTTTGTTTGGAAGCTCTTGCTAAAATATAGAAGACGAGCTCGTTTATGTGTTTATCTATGTTTTCAAATCGACTGTCTTCTTCGTTTTCCTCATTATGTCGGTCTGTTAACTGAGATAATAAATTGGAAACCCTGTGTCTAGACATTTGAAAACAAAAAATTGAACCGCCAAATAAGACTGCCAAATAAAAAATTTCAATACGTCCTAATTACATTCTAACCTCAAAAGGAAACTTTCAGTTCCGTGCTTGTAATGCTGTCAAACAAAAATACATAAAGTGAGGTATCATTTTTAGCTCAAGCGCTACAGAAGACAAGTATTTTATTTATTCTTTTTGTTCATCATCTATAATACATGAATGCTGAATTATTTTGTATAAGATTAATAAACAGAATTCGAATAAACGTTTCCGTTGCAATATTATCGTTTATTATACGCACTTGAAAGATATATATGGATTTCAAAATTGTATTTTTATATTTTTAAGAAGGAGCAAGATTACGGTTTGCTTGTCTACAGAATCCAAGTCTATGGTCAGGATGGCATGATTTGTGGTATATACTACAAGTTGACTTACACATTTTTAGTGTTTTTTAAAGGGAGCGAGCTTTTGTAGATAATTGTGATGTTAGACGATTTGAGAACATGGTAATGCTTGCATAGTTTGTAAAGAGCGGCAGAAATCTAATGTATGTAGCTATTTCTACCGGTATGCAATATTATTATGTTGATACTACACTAACTTCGGTAGGCTATGGTAGTTAAATGACTTGATTTCTTCTACTCATTAGGGTAGGCCGGGGGCCTTTTGTCCAAAAATGACTGGCAGATAAGAAAATCTTTTTAAGAAAAAATGCCAAAGATAATGTGATTATGAAAAATATATGACAAAAGTAGTGAATTCACAGAAATAAACGTTTATAGTTGACAAAATACACAGAATCTATCTCTAGATTGCATGTACCTCTTATCCTCCATTTTACATGCTATGTTATATGATATCAGAGCTCTACATTTTTTGACAGCCCAAAATTTCGTTTCCTATATTTTTTTCTCATTGTTCTATGCACATTTAATGTTTCATGACAAAATTGCTTTTGACCGCGTTACATTTTTCAATTTTTCCATCGTGTGTTGATTGAATCAATTATAAATTCCATAAAATACTGTGTGTACAATGGGTGCATACTTATCAATGGCTTACTTGGCCAAACCGGTGAAGGAAAAACATTCGGGAGACTTCGAAACCGAAAAATTGAGATGCGGCTACAGCACTATGCAAGGTTGGCGTACTAACCAAGAGGTGAGCCGCAACTTTATAAACGTTTTTGTCAACATAAAATATCAGCCTCTGTTCGATATCGGAATACAATGTGAGGCATGCAGTGTAAAATGAAGTGGCACAGGTAGCATAGCACTTCTTCAAACAGGTAGCTTTCTAAAAAATCTAGACTTATTCAAGGAGTATATAGCGTTTATATTTTTGTTGTCCGTAGAGGAAACGTTATTCAAATATCGGTTAAATAAATTCTACAAGAAATAACGTATGAGCTATCTTCTGAGTGTCCAAAAATAATATCACTGATAACTGGTAAAAAGTAGGCATAATTGTTACCTTTCCAGAAGCTATTTTATAATGCTGGTTGAAGTGTTGCTTGGGTTATACTAGGGAGAACTGGTGTGCAAGTCTCACTGTCATCCATCTCTCAAGAAGAAGTTAACTTTGATAATACATAAAAACATATTTTGTTGATGCCTTCACAGACTTGCTTTTTAAGCCAACATGCTGTTACAAGGTAATAGATTATTTTCTACCAGTCTTTCCCTTGTTTTCAAGAGGTGACCCACTGATATTTAATATCCTTAGATCAAAAGATGCTGCTTGAAATGGAAGACATTATTACAGTTTAACATTAAGGCTGCTACACACAGTGCCTCTGTACACCCGGCGGCTTGCAAAGCCGCCGGCCTTGCTGCGCAAAGGAGCCGCCGGGGTGTGCCGGCGGGATACGCGGCTTGCCAGCGTCACTTTGTTCCTGGCATTCGAGCAGTAGTGTTGTGCGGTATGTGTGTTTAAACAAATTAAAATGTCGTTTAATTGGAACGACGAAGCTGTGCTGCTCTTAATTGAAAAATTTCATGAAAATGATATGAAATCCCAGAAATGCAGAGTATAAGAATAGGAACAATCGAATGGACGCATTAAACATAATTGCAAGTGTTTCTGACATTGATAAAGGCGAAGCAGAGAGAAAGTTAAAAAATGTGACCTCTCATTATTTTCGGGAAACAAAGAAGTTCGAACAGTTGCACAAATCTGGTGCAGGCATAGACGATGTACAGAAACCCAAAAAACATGCTATTGCGCAAATGCTGACACCCCACATCATCTTTTTTATACTCTTCTATCATTACAGTACCGTTCCGCCATTTTCTATTTTGTAAACTTGGGTGCAACCAAAACCTTCTCGTCCTTTTGTATTTTTTCTTATTAAAATAAAAATTACAACTGCGGCGGCTGTGCTGATGATTTCCTTATTCATTTTAACCAACCAACCATAAAATATGCACTTCACTAGCGTTCTATGTGACTGTCACAACCGGAATGATGCTTTGCGGCTTTGCGCTCTTTAAACTTTTTGGCACACGCATCGTGTACCTATCGGTCGCAATCGCCGTGCGCCACAAGGTTGTAAATATCCTTGGTAGTGGATTCTAGATACATCGAAAAGCAGGTAGACACAAAATACAAATACGAGGTGGGCGGAATACTGTGATATTTGATCATGCTTGCGGTCTACAGTGTGTCCCAGATTCGCTTAGCTATAAAGGGATCTTGGCTTCTGTTATACCTACACCAAAGTTTAAATGGGGAGGGTTGTAAAGGAAACTTAGTGCTTTCAATAGCCAGCTTCAGATTTACGATCGGGCAATTGGTTTTTAAAATATCATCGAAAAATCTAAAATGGCGGAATTTGTTTTTTGTCAGTAAATCCAAAACTGTCAATTTGACAGCTGTCAAAATGTGACATTTTTTCAAAAAATACGATAGCATGTATGACATGTCTCAATCGTCTTTTGTTTTCCAGCAACCCGCCTCATTTTTCTTATTGCCGCCATATTGAATTTTTTGATTTTTGAAAAGAGTGTAAAATTTCCAGTCTAGTGATGTATCACAAGTGCATAAAGGATTGCAGTACCACCGAAATATCATCATACGTAATGTTATATATTAGTTTTTTCCATGATTTATTTATCAAAAAATAATATTAATGAGTAAGGCATAAAAACACATAAACGCCATGAATTTTCAATAGAATATTAACGTTAATATACCTGTAGACTTCTCAACATGTCAAATGTTTTGGGACAAATTCCCAACTATGTGTTAAAAAAACAATTCAGAAAAATCGTCGTAAAGTTATTTTACACTTGAACAAACAAATATTTTACAAAATTGTAATGTAATGTAAAATCTACTTATTATGTAAGTGGGTATTAATTTACAGATTTGCATCCAGACATTTTTGACAATTGGTGACAGTTTAGGTCTATTTAATATCATTAACACGCAAAAAGAAGGTGTTACACAAGGACCAGTCGATCTAGACGTTACCACCCGCTAGCTTTTTCCAGGATATATTATAAATGTCCGCATGTTTCCACACCTAAGCTATGCAGTAGGTTATCTTCCAAAACAAAGAAATTAGTGATGATGGATCCCTCGAGTACCAAGAATTCCGGACGTAAACTCCCCCACTCTCGGAATGTCTGGGTGGAGGGTGGGCTCGAGGGATAAAAGATAAAAGAAGATAAAATTTGTTTCACGAATATCTGCGGGATTAACAGCAACATTGATGCTGTTCATCACTACCTGCAATCCACTCGGTCCGCGATGCTTTTCTTGGCAGAGACAAAAATCTCAGGAGTCTGCACTGATTAACCATCTTAGCTTCTCAAATTACCAGTTGCACTCCAATCTGAGAAGGAACGAGGGAGTTGTGGCTTTTGTCCGCAGCAGTCTTTTCTGCTCCAGAAATGTTTCTTTTGAATCGGACCGGAAGGACCTTCTGTGCCTTCGCCTCAACTCCAAAACATCACCCAAATTTATTTGCTGCCTTTATCGCTCTCCCTCGGACCATAATTGGGATGACCTGCTTGAATACCTCGCCGTCAAGATCGACTTCCTGAACATCAATCACCCCGCTTCAGAGGTAGTACATCTCGGTGATTTCAATGTCCTTAATGAGCTTTGGCTGGGCTCAAACAAGACCGATGCAGTAGGTCGTGCAGCAACTTCTCACAGTAGCCTTCCACCACTTACGTGTTAGGATGGAACGATTGTATCCGACTCAAAAGCCAAGGCGGAAGGACTTGCCAAGATCTTTGCTGCAAATTCCACCATGGACGTCCCCCCAAAGCCCAAGTGCCGTCAATTCAAAGGGTTTGCTACAGAATGCGGCAGGTAACATTGATTAACTTGATTCCTGCCATTGTACTGAAGAGGTGTGCAGCGCAACTTGCTCCAGTTATTTCGCGTCTCTTCTAGATATCTTATACATCCGCCACCTTCCCAGAACACTGGAAATTTGCTCATGTCCAACCCATACCAAAAAAGGGATCTAAGACCGACCACTTTCTGTTATAAGTAAGGTGATGGAGAGGTGCATAAATCTCGAGCTTCTGGACTACCTCGAACGTCACAACTTGATTAGCGACAGGCAGTATGGCTTCCCGTTTCCGGCACCAGCGATCCACAGGGGCCTCCTAGCTTACGTCATGTAATTGTGGAGTAAACTCATTCAGTCGTTGCTATTGACATCACCAAAGCGTTTGGTCAGCTGTGGCACACTGCCCTCTTAAGCAAACCTCCATCCTATGGCCTCGCAGAAAAGCTTTGCAGATGGGTGGCTGACTTTATCTCTGACCGCAAGATATCCGTCGTAATTGACGGGTTCTCCATCCCACAACGTCTACGCGGGTGTTCCGACACTGTTCCTCTTACGTATCAACGACCTCCTTTCCTGCACGATCAACCCAATCCATAGCTTTGCTGCTGACCGCACCCTATTTCCAGGAATTGAGAGCGACAAGCCGATCTCTGCCGCTGAGCTGGAAAACAGAAGACGAGCGACGACTTCCTCTCTGACGAGAGACTTGGATGTTATCACTGCTTGGGAACGCAATAATCTTGTACAGTTTAATGCTTCCAAAACACAGTACTATACCTTGAAGAACAAAAAGGATCCCAGCGCTCATTCGGTTTAGATGGATGCCCAAGTTTTGCCAAAAATCCGTTCATTTCGGCTGGTCTGAGTCCAGATCACCGAGGACTTGATCTGACACGAATACAACTCTTCAATAGCGGCAGCTGCGGGGAAAAAGCTAGGCTATTTATTTAGGGCTAAGAAGTACTTTTCTCCACATGACCTTCTCACTCTATACAAGGCCCAGATGAGGCCTAGTCTCGAGTAATGCTCACACGTTTGGGGTGCTGCCGCCCCAACTACATTTTTTTTTTATACTCCAACTACCACGAAGGCCTAAGGCCTAAGCACCCATTGGGTACCGTGGGGCTATGGGGGATACATGGGAAAGGGGGGACGCCACACGGACTCTGGCGAGGGAACACGTGTGCATGCAACATGCACACATTCTGGCTCCGCCTACGAGAACCGCCGGGTGGTACCTCCGCGTTCGACAGTCAGAGACCATCTACCACCTACGGACAATCACAACATCCATGGCCAAGAGAAACATTTCTCCTGGGACGGGACTCGAACCCGCACAGCGCACGGCGGCTGATCAGGAGACCGAAGGCTCTACTACTGCGGCCACCGCTGCTGCCTAAAACAAACACACAACATCCATGGCGAAGGCGAGATTCGAACTCGCGGCCCGGCCGGCCGGCTGATCAGTAGCACGACACTCTGACCCACGCGGCCAACCGAGGTCGTACATTATTTATGCTCGATGCTGTCCAGAGGCGGTCCGACTGATCGATGACTCTCGTCTAGCAGACAGTCTTGGGACCCTTTCGCGCGGCGGGCCGTCGGCGATCTAGCTCTTTTCTACCGCTACACCAAAGAGCTTTGCTCCTCAGAGGTCTCTTCCATGATGCCGCCTCGCGATGTGCCTGTCAGACAGACCCGTCTGACTTTGGTATCCCATACTAACCGTGTCAATCTTCGTACATCCAGAACTGGCCGATACGACCGCTCCTTTGTCCCGAGGGTGTCGAGATTGTGGAACAATCTACAAGAGGAAGCTTTTCTCAGTTCTACTAACTTTAGGCAGTTCAAAAATCGTATTAACAAAATTTCTTTGGGATCATCATAGCAGCCGCGGTGTCGCGGCATTTAGGCTTCTGCCTGCGCGGCTGCTTCGGTATAAAAATATAGTGTATTTCTGTTAATGTTTCTAACTGTGCTCACAATTCTTTGTGTCAGGATTTCTATGGTCGCGGAAGAATCAAATTCATAGACCTCATTCTTTGTGTGATCCCAGAGGTAGAAGTCCAAGGGTGAAAGGTCTGGGGATCTAGGAGGCCAAGATATTACACCATTTTATGAAATTAGTCTTTCATCAAACTGCTCTGTTAAGAAGTTCCTGACTTGAATGGTGTTGTGAGTCGGATATCCATCCTGTTGAAACCAAGTTCTTCTAAACTCATCTTCGGTTAGACTAGCTTGTAACGCCGGCACAACCTGGTTTGGCAAAAGCTCTAGGTACTTCGGTCCGTTTAGGTTGTAGTCAAACAAAAATGGTCCTAGAAGTCGATTGCCTGAAATGATTAATACCTAATTTCAAATAGGTGCCGTGCCCAGTTGTAAGTTAAAATCAATTATTTATCAATGACCCCCACACCAAACGTTAGTTCCAAATATGGTCTGTAGACATGATTTACAAAATCGGGATTGTCAGTAGACTTCCTAGTATACCACACATAAGCGCATTCGCCTTGGAAAATCAGTTTTCTCAAGTTCTTGAACTATTGTAGATTTGTATGGATGGTACTTATTCTTTTTTAACACTTTCTGCACTGTTGATTTTGACACACCAATTTCTCGATCTGTAGTTCTTACTGATGCACTAGGGATTTCGTTGAAAGCTTGTAAAATGTTTCTCTCGCGATTTTCATTTTCAATATTGTATCCGCTTCTAGGTTGTTTGAAGGCCCCCAAGGTTTATTAAATTAACTACTATCTTTCTGAATTGGGCTCTTTGAGGCTGCCATCGTTTGGGGTACATCTCCAAGTACCTTGCTGATGTCGGCGTTTCTGTGTGACTGCAACTACAGTGCTAACATGTCAAACTTTTCTTTATTTGACTAGTGACTACCGGCCATTTTCAGCAGGTTTTGACGTTTTGACAACTTTTTTTGTCAGATTTATGATTTCAATGAGTGAAAGTCAAAGTCAAAGTCAGAGCCTCCTTAGATGAAAAAAATGCGTTACCTATTAATTTTATTTTCTGACAAATAAATCATGGCCTCCTTAGAGGCTCCAATTTTTTATGCACTTGTGAAAAAGTTAAGGCAGGTTGCGGGAAAACAAAAGACGATTGAGACATGTCATACATACTATCATATTTGCCTTAAAAAATGTCCTAATAATGTCACTTTTCGACAGCTGTCAAATTAACCGTTTCGGATTTACTGGCAAAAAACAAAAATCGACATTTTCGGTTTTACGTCGATATTTCCAAAACCATTAGACCGATCGTAAATCTGAAGCCAGCTGTCGAATGCACTAAGTTTCCTCTAGAACATTCCCCGTTTAATCCTTGCTGTAGGTATAACAGGAGCCGAGATCCCTGTATAGAGAAGCGAATCTGGGACACACTGTAAAGTGTATGAGTATGTTTCAAGAGCTGTTATAATCAGGTATCAAACATTGTTGACGAACAATTTTATACCCCCCTAGAAATAAGGCTATCATGTGCAGACACACTCATTGCTCTGTGAAAAAATATTCCATGAAAATTTCAAATAGTGCACTAATGTTTCTGACAAGGTATCTTTTTGTTGTCATTTTACTGCATGGAAATTGTTTTGAAGTCATGTGGAGTATAGAGTCAATTTAACTTGACAGCATTTTTAGGTACTGTACATTATCAATTTCCACTTGCCTTATACCGTAGACTATATGAAGATTTATCTTCCCAATATTGAATTTCAAGAATATTTGTTTTATTTTAGATTGTTACTATCAGTGGCATAGAAATTTACATCATCCTGTGCCTTAAAAGAGAGACATTTTAGAGCATATGTTTATAGGAATTTATTTTAGATGTACATTCTGTGCTAGTAAATTTATGTAGCTTGAATATTCCTAATTCTATAATTTTTTTTCTAGGACTATTATACAGCCTTGAAAGACTTTGATGTAGACTCGTCATTATTTGCTGTCTTTGATGGACATGGGGGCCACGAAGTGGCCAAGTATTGTTCAGAGAATTTAGCACAGTTCCTTAAAGAACATCCAGCATATAAAGAAGGAAATATTGAAAAGGCTCTAGTTGAAGGTTTCTTGGATTTTGATGAACTGTTTGTCAAACCAGAGGTTGTTGAAACTTTAAAGGTAAGATTCCATATGTTTTCATTCTTAATAACTGTTTGGTACGGGGTGGGCCATTGAGTCGAGCGGATTTTAAAAAATCATAGAAAAAAACTACAAACAATAGGGAAGATAATTTATATTTTTGAAAAAGTAGACACATGGGAATTTTATTTTAACATCATTGAGATGTGAGCCATCAAGACGTACGCACTCCGCGAATCTAATAATAATAATGTGTGGTATTTAGATGCGAAGGTACCTGGGTTTTCAGTAGGAGGTCTAATTTAACTGTCAGGTCGTTATCTGTCCGCTGCTGGGCTTCGATGATCATCGTCAATCTTTCGATGGTCTTCTTATCATCGTCCTTTTTTGAAAGCTCCTGTCGAACCATCTCCAATTCCTCTCTCAACTTCTCTATCGTCTGTTCCCTCGACTCCTTCTCGACGGCCACGGTGGAAGCGCCATTTTCTGACCCACTTAGGTCAGTTTCCATATTAAATTCTCAGTTATCTCGCTTTTCGTCTTAAAAATGTGCAGGATTGAAATTACGGCATAGCTGCTATCAGTGCCCTATCCAGGGCGATAAGCAATGCTGTTTTGAAATTCGTATGTCTTTCTGGTCCACCCTGTATCTTGGCAACCATACTTGACATACTGACCTATAAAATGTTATCCAAGAGTAAAGTTCCTATATATTCTATTTGTCAAACAATGGCTATGGATTTTGTGATTTTCCATAGGTGGTACATGGTCTCTGACTGTCGAACGCGGAGGTACCACCCGGCGGATCTCTAAGGCTGGGCCAGAATGTGTGCATCTTGCATGCACACATGTTCCCTCGCTAGAGTCCGTGTGGCGTCCCCTCCCTTTTCCCCTGAATCCCCCATAGCCCCACGGTACCCAATGTGTGTTTAGGCATTTGGCCTTTGTGGTGGTTCAAGTATATAAAAAAAACATACCTTGGGGCCATATGCGCAGTCTTTTCTATTTGCCTTCTTGGTATGGCCTCCATGTTCTTCCAGTTTTTCCCTTCCTTTATGAAGGCAAAAAGGAACCTAATTTTTCGCATACAAGACTAACTTGGATTTTTGCTGTTTACTCTTTGGAATATAAATACTATAAGTTTTATTATTTCATAGTAGTAATAGTAGTAGTAGTAGTATTAGTAGTAGTTGTAGTAGTAGTAGTAGTAGTATGTCTTTATTAATTGATCACAGTTACATTCTGAGTTACAAGTGGAGATCTGGAGATCAAATATGTATATACATAATAAATTATAGATAACTCAGTAAAGTCAGTATGAAACCAATGAAGTTGATTTCCTCAATGCAATTTGTTATGAAGATGTTAATTAACTACAAGACGTATATAACACAACAAAATTAAAATTATAATTATATTCAGGAATGGGTGAAGCAGAGAAAAGAAAAAGATCAAAGCAAAAAAGACAAATACTTGGAGTCCATGGAACGCAAGATGCTAGAACGTTTGCGTAATTCCAAAGGGAAGAAAGATAAAAATGCAGAAAACAATACAGAAGAAACTGGCAATGCAGACAGTTTATGTAAAGATCTATTAGAGGATTACAAAAATGCTAAAGGCAAGGGTTCTCCAAACAAATGTGAAGCTTCAAGTGAGGCAGCTACATCAAGCAACTGTAAAAATGGAGATAGTGGCGATGAGGAGGAAAATATAGATAGTTTGTTTGAAGAGGCGCACATGCCAATCGAGAAGGTTTTGGAGAAGTATAAGAGTGGGAAGGATGGATCTGCGAAGGAGTGTACTTCAGATGATGCAGTGGCATCTTCATCTTCGTCTGCAGTTGCTTGTTGTAGTAGCACAGGAAGCAGTTCAATTAAAGGTACAGAAGCATTTCCAGTTTTTGAAGTTTATTTATTTGAATGGTCGGCCGTTGCTGCGGTTAATGTGCTATTCTGGAATTTTAATTTTCGATTGCGAGTTTGAGCATGTTGAGAGGTAGTAATTTGGATTTGCTGTCTGAAATTCAAGCATATAATCTTCTGCATTTGGTTTCAACAAGACGACGTGGCGCTACTTGCTTGCCAAACCACGGCTTTACTACGACAAATTACCGACTACGTAATGTGATTTGGGAACCCTAGACTTTTGCTTTGGGGCTATGTCTACATGGATAAGAGAGTATCGTCAAAGAATTTTATCAAAAATCAGAATTCCAAAATAATATTTTAAAAGCAATGTCATCGTTGTATCTTTGGTTTAATAATAAATATAACCCGATACAGTTTTCATTCTTTATCACTACGATTTTTGGCAATTTCAGCATCTGACAGTGGTAGATCAGGTAATAGAAGTTCTGAAGCTGAGGCCAAAACTACAAATGGAGAACACACAGAAAGCAATGCTGGAACTAGTGAAGTTGATGGTGTCAGCAGTTCTTGTGGTGAAACCAGTGGTCCAGCAAGAGGTATAAATCATATAGTCAAAGTTTACAAGTTTGGTAGAGTTGTAATGTTTGTCCTTAACTACCCAAGAAACAATTAAAAATAAATTTTATCAATTGCAACTGTCTTTGTTTGCATAAACTTGTGATGTCAGACGACCTCACAACCAAACGTTCAAACATGTTGAAAAGGCTTACCTAGCTTTGTTATCCAACTTCTTGTTTAGAAAACAAATAAAGAATTGGGTAAACAGACCCTCTTGAGTGAATAGTAATTAATTTGTTTGCTTCACCTTATCCATAATATCTTTTGTTATTGCTAGACAAGAAAGAAAATGCTTGTACCTCGAATGGCGAAATTCCATCAGCAAAAGCGTCTGCAGACTGCTCTTGTTCAACAGAATCGAAGACTTCAGTATCAAGAGGACCTGGAAAACGGCCGTTGAAACTGAAAGAGCCGTTAATAGATGGCTCTGATGACAGCGATGATGATTCGGAAGATGAAGGGGATGAAACATTCGTCGGGCCAGATGGTGAGTATGAAAAAATGATGAAACTGCAACATTCAAGTTACAAAAGACGTTGCATAGATGGATGTTGAACCCATGACCGACCGCTTTCTCGCTGAACATGTTATTTACGTAAAAATATACAGAGCATTAAAAAAGAATGGATAGGTCGAACTATCAAGAAAAATACGTTTCCTATAAAATAAGTTTTTTTTATATCGAAGCTGCCGCGCTGGCAGCAGCCTAAATGTCAGGACACCGCTGCTGTGAGGATCTCAAAGAAATTTTACTCCGATTTTTGAACTGCCTAAGGTTAGTAGAACGGGGAAAAGCTTCCTCTTGTAGATTGTTCCACAATCTCGACACCCTCGGGACAAAGCGACGGTCGTATCAGCCAGTTCTCGATGTACGAAGTGGGAGGCCAAAATCATTCGGGTCTGTCTGGCAGGCATATCGCGCGAAGGCATCATGGAGGAGAGCTCGGAGGAGCAACGCTTGTTGGTGTAGCGGTAGAAGAGAGCTAGATCGCCGGTGCGAAAGGGTTCCGAGACTAACTGTTAGAGAAGAGTCATCGATCAGCCGGACAGCCCTGCTCTGAACAGCATCGAGCATAAATAATGTAGTCGGGGCGGCAACACACCAGACAATACTTGAGGCTAGGCCTTATCTGGGCCTTATATAGAATGAGAAGGTCATGCGGAGCGAAGTATTTCTTAGCCCCAAATAAATAGCCTAGCTTTTCCCCAGCAGCTGCCAATAGACGAGATGTGATTGTGCCAGATCAAGTCCTCGGTGATCTGGACTCCGACCAGCCTACACGAACGGCTCTTTGGCAGATCTCGGCCGTCCATCGAAACCGGATGAGCGCTAGGACGCTTTTTGTTCATCAAGGTGCAGTATTGTGTTTTGGAAGCAGTAAATTGTAGAAGATTGTTGCGACCCCAAGCAGTGATAACCTTCCAGTTCTCTCGTCAGAGAGGAGTCGTCGCTAGTCTTGTTTTTTCCAACTCAGCGGCAGAGATCGGCTTGTTGCTCTGAATTCCTGCATGTAGAGTGCTGTCATCAACAAAGCTATGAATTGGGTTGAGAGTACAGGAAAGAAGGTCGTTGATATGTAAGAGGAACAGTGTCGGATCCAAGACCGATCCCTGGGGAATACTCGCCTTGACGCTGTGGGATGAATAGGAAAACCAGTCAATTACGAAGGAAATATTGCGACAGAGATAAAGTCAGCCACCCATCCGCAGAGCTTCTCTGGGAGGTCACAGGAGGGAAGTTTGAATAAGAGGGCAGCGTGCCACATCTTATCGAACGATTTTGTGATATCAAGAGCAGTGACATGAGCCTTACCATAAGACTGGAATTTATGCATCTCTCCATCACCTTACTTATATCATAAAGCAGAGCTATAGGCCTGTAGTTGTAAGGGTCGATATTAGATCCTTTTTTGGGACGGGTTGGACATGAGTAAATTTCCAGTTTTCTGGGAAGGTGCCGGATTCATAAGATATCTGAAGGAGACGCGAAAAAACTGGAGCAAGCTCCGCTGCTCACCTCTTCAATACAATGACAGGAATAAAGTCCGAACCAGAAGCTTTGTAGATATTGAGTGACAAGAGTACTTGTATTACGGTCTTATGCCTGAACGTTACTTCCCGCATAGTCTGAGGAACTCTTTGAATCGACGGCACTTGGGCGTTGGGGGGACGTCCGTGGTGGAGTTGGCAGCAAAGATCTTGGCTAGCACTTCCGCATTGGCCTTTGAGTCGAATACAATAGTTCCATCCTGACACGTATGTGGTTGGAGGCTTACTCTGTGAGAAGTTCCTTTCAATCTGCTTGGCCAGCATCCAGAAATACCGACTGCCATTGCGCTGCGACATTATAATGTTGTAGAACAAAGTTGTAAGATTTGAAAAAAATCATAAAGACAAACATGTCTAATAAAGTTGTCATGTTTGAAAAAATTCATATAATGGTGACCCTGAATATGATCTTCAGGCTCATTCGATGGTGAAAACAGTTTCCTTAAATGGTAACCCTTATTTTGGACACTAGAAATAAAAAGAGCAAGAACATTTATGTTCTAGTATGTCTATGACCATCAAGGTTATTTGAGGATAAAAAAAATGTTTAACGGGAAACATCTACTTTCAAATTCTTAAATTCAAATTGCGGACAATTTTAAGTTCAAGTATGGTATATCATTACCAATGAACCTGACCATGAGTTTCAAGGTCATTTTGCATTGCTTCCTTCGAAACCAGTCTGCTTCACACTAATGCGAAACGAAAAACCTATACTTTACACTACTTCCACGAGAGAGAAGTCGCGGGTTTAGTCTAATTATTACTCAAATGCAATATTTTTTTAGCGAGTTCTGATGATGACGATGACGAAGCAATGGAAGATGAAGCGTCTGGAGAGAGCTCCGAAGCTGATGATGAAGATGAAGATGATGATGAGGAGGAGGAATTAGATGAGGAAGACGAAGAAGATCTTGAAGAGTGGAAGGTAAATACAATCCTCTACATTGGATGTCACTAAAATTAGCGGCCTACTATTATTTGATACCAACTCCAGAAGAACGAAAGGTCAATATCGTAGGAATTTAGTTTGGATTTTTGAATGTCCGATACCTGGGCGCCACTTGTGCGTCTCATCGCTAGACGGCACCACCAATACTACTTTTGGAATTTCCGAGCCTGTTCTTGCTGCTTCTGGCAACCCATCTCGCGCCTCTATTTTTCTGGTACCTCTGCAAAATAATTTTCCATTTTTGGTGAACCAAAAGAAGAAAATAATCAGTGAGAATTTAGAAATATGTTTCCGCAATAATATTTATTTATAAAAGCTAAGATTGAGACATGATTACATCGTATTACACACCACTATTCTAACATCAGACTGTATAGAGTGTTGCCTATGTGTGGAAATTCTATTGGCGCTAATATTACTGATTATAGAGAATTCTATAAAAAATATATTTACAATTTTAGGTTATGTACTGTAATTACAACATGTACCTTATTTCACGAGTATCCATCACGGCAGAATGACAGCTGATTATCTAGTAATATCTCAAAATTCCCCATATCGGCACAGGACATAATTCTGGCGGATCCGTCAACGCCAGGTAGACAGAGTTTTGGTTTATTGTATGCTACAGATTCACTGTGTACTTGCTAACAGCTCTTTTATTTAGAGAAGTGAATTTGTATAGAAAAAACTAAACGCCACAAACAAGTTTTACTAGATTTATACCCGACCCATTATTGCCAACGTTGCAGACTAACACAAAAATGTCACTTGCTGATCAGCTGTTCACCTCAGTAGACGTCAAAGCCTAATGGATACTCGTGAAATAGGGCCTAACGTTGAAAGAATACCTTTTCAAAGAGATAAAATATTTGTTGAAATGAGATCTTCCACCACCTACTGAAGTGCAAAAGTCTGCTAAAATTTGATAAAATGGGGATAGTGTTAGAGAAATTATATTTATATGGATAGATCGGTAGACTAGATATAAATAGTTGTCTCATCCTATTATGTGTGTTTGTAGAGTTCTTGAGTTTTCTAGAAAGTGATCTTCACATGTTACTAGTGTATATAAGGCAGTGTGGAGTTGTAGGTAAAGGTTAACTAAGCTTTTTGAGTTTTTGAGCGAACAGAACATAAAAAGGAGAGAACTATTTAATTTCAAGAAGATGTCATTTGTGACAGTATTATTCTTGCAGCAAATGCTGGAATATGAAGAAAAGCCTGGTGTAGACAGCGGCACAACGGCAACGTGCGCCATCTTACGTGGCAACGATCTGTACATGGCACATGCCGGGGATTCCCGCGCTGTTCTAGCACGAAGAGACGGCGTCGCTGAGGATATCACGCTGGACCACAAGCCGACGGATCAACCAGAGTTAGATAGAATTACAAAAGCTGGTGGGAAAGTCTGCTCGGAAGGAAGGATCAATGGGGGTTTGAATCTGTCCAGGGCCTTCGGGGATCATAAACATAAGCAGAATGAGGAGTTGAGTAACAGGTGAATATCTGCAAAGGTGGAAGTAGAATGTAGAAAAATATACAAATTCCGGTGTTTGACTTAATATTAGTACAGAGATAGGAACTCAGTTCAGCAGTATTTTACTTTTTCATGTTTGTATCTCAGAAAGGTTGATTAAAAAAAAGTGTAGTGTATTTCTGCAGGCAATAAATGGTAAATAGATATAGTTGTAGCCACCGTTCTTGGCGGTTACGTCATCAACGCCATATGAAATAAGTAAACAGATCGAATCTCTGTACGATGAGCGGAACACTGCGCAGACTAATCTTCAGCGCATCTGCTATACTCTCCAGTACGCATGAAGTGGGTAAGAGGGGACCGCTGTTTTCATTCCCTTCCTGGAAATACTCTAATAAATTTAGCACAAGCTGTCGGCCTTCTCCATTGATCGTATTTCCGGGCATTGTACAATTTTGTATTGAAGATTGATAACAAGTCAACTCGAATTGCACGCCGATGTCAAGTAAGTTATCACTCTGACAAATATTATTGAAGGGCACTCATACCCAACGATAAAGTTTTTGAGATGGAGACACACAACTAAAAAACGTATGTCTTTGAGCTTACCGAACAAACGTTCACGCACAGAACTACAACTATAGATCACATGATTCTTATTGAACTTTAAACTATAACAAGATTACATATGTTAATCTAAAGTAGATGTTCTGTAGAACTAGCTAAGGTTTATTCATTAGATGTTTTTAAGTTCACGATGGAATATTTTTAAATTGGTGATTCTTTTGATAGCATCAGGAAGGCAAATGTAAATTTTCAGTCACTTATAAGTTATTGATTCTTTCACAAATGTTGATTCAGGTACTGTTAATTTAAAAATATTGTTCTTGTTTGATCTCCTAACTTAAGCTTATTCTTTCGGCAATTTATTTTTAAAAATGAAAGTTGATGTTTCTGAAATGCATAATGTCATTATTTAACGATTTAGAAAAGTAGGCCTGCATGTAGTTCTAGGATTGGTTCTGATTTATTTGTTCATTGTAGGTTTATTTAGCATCAATGATACAATATCAACATTACATACATACATAGTATATCACAAAATATTTTGCCTTCAAGTATGCATATTTTTATAGAAAATTTCACTACTATGAATTTTGGATTTCCATGATATATTTTTTCAATTCCCCTTTGAACATTTTCAAACTGGAGCACATCTTGATATGATTACTTAATGTATTAAATTCATACAATCTTTTTTGGATTACTTGTTTGTTATATTGTGACTGCAATTTGCTAAATGAAAGTCTATACTTGCTTTAGTAGAATAACTAAGATACTCACTATTAAGTTCAATATAGTTTCCTAAAAGAGTTGGTAGAAGATGATTTTTTAACTATAAGAATGAGAACCAAGTAGGTTATGAAATGTTTGATAATTAACCATTATAGCTCTGTCAGCATATGAAATTTATTCTGGTATATATATTTTTATTTAAAATGATTCTCATAGCTTTAATTTGTAATACTTATTTTTAAAACAGTTTCATTTGCATTGAACAAAAGAGTTGAACAATATAACAAATGAGGGAAAATGATGTACACATTTTTTTTAATAAACACTTAGGCCAATAATAGATCGTCTATGTAGTATAAGCACCTTTTTCAAGCAATTTTGAGTACAGACAAAAGGGGGTGATGTACCCAATCTACTTCCAAATATATAATACATACTTATAGGAAATTTTAGCCAGTTCAGTAACCAATTATTCTACATGATTGGTAAAATCTAATTTGTTATCAATGGTCAATACTAAAAACCTAATGGCGTCTGTTTTATGAAGCAATTCAATATTTAAATTCATTGAATCAAGGACGAATTTAAAAGCCATAATTTTGTCTTGTTTACATTAAAAGTTAAGTAATTGCCACCGTTTTTTGATTGCTTGTATATGACTTTACATTTTTGTCTTAATTTCATTTGTATATGTCTTGCCAAACTATTGTTGTATCGTCACCAAAAACTATAAATATACGATTTATGTTTAAATTTATTGTTGATATACACTAAAATAGGATTAGTCCCAGTTCTGATGTTTGAGATACCACTGCACTTATTTTTAATTTGACATATAATCTAATCAATAATACTAAAACTATTCAGGACAGCGTTTAATATAGAAACTCGTTGAACACTTCGCCAATGGATTTTTTGTTTGTTTCAGGGAGCAGATGGTAACAGTATTACCAGACATCAAAAAAATTACCATAGATCCTGCTCTACACGACTTCATCATATTGGCTTCAGATGGTATCTGGAATTCAATGTCTAGTCAAGAAGTAGTGGATTACTTCAAGAAAAGGATAGGCAGTTGTGATAATATTTCAAACATCTGTGAAGAGGTACGTGAATTTGCACTTTTATTTTGGGTTTCCTTGAAGCTATTAACTAGAAGATATCCAATCCAATTAAAAGCCTCCAATCACTTATTCTTTCAACTATACAGATATTCATGAACTGTGATTTACGAACTGATATTTCTAAATCACGAATCACGACTGTTACAAAATACCATGGAGAAGCGTGAATGTGATCACGACTTCAGGAATCAGCAGCGCTAGCCGCTAATGCCGAAAATCGTAAACCACTGAAGATTAACATGACCCGCAGTGGCGGATCCAGGGACGGTGTCCTGGGAGTTCGGAACCTCTCGAACAGAAATATCCGAGTTGTGGCAATTGTACCAACATATTGACGATTGCTTCGCTGTATGTATTATGTGCAAATGCAAACTTTCATACAAAACTTGTACTACTAATTAGAAAAAACATATTTGGTCAACCTCGCCTGTATAAGCTGAGTGATGGTATCTTTTTAGATTTTGCTTTTATCCTACGTCATGGAGTGATTTTAATCTAATGTGGAGTTTTCAAAACCGAAAATTGTCGATTTTGAGATAATCATGTATTATAATGTCCACTAGAAAAAACCATTTTCTCATTTGCGAATGTCTCTTTTGGCATTTTTGTCTCAGTGTAATGCTTTTTTGAATATCCTTATTTTGGTATTAGTTTTAATATTTTTTTGGAATTATTCTAACTTGTCTGCATTTTTTCATCATTTTGGGTGTCACAAAACTACTTAATTGCGGTATCAGGGTATTAGTTTAGCCATACTCGTTATTCGAAAGTCGTGATCACGTCAAGCTCTTCAATCCAAAAATAATGATAATGTCTGATAGTGTCGACCACCTATAGGTGTCAGCTTTGCTACCTCTTGGACTGTTGCCCCAGGTTATGGGATCTGTCATTGAGAAATTCTGAAAATATGGAATCTTAGGAATATTCAGGAGGGAGATTCAGAGGTGATCTTTTTCTTGAAAGGTTGATGTTTAAAAATAATTTAAAAGGAAAATGGCTGTTTTTGTTTCTTGTAATCGAGGCAATTTAGCAGAAGTGATTGTTATAATATTCAATATTCAAATATTTGGTAAAATCGTGTTAAAAGGGTCGTACCAGGGAAAAAGTGCAGCATCTATTTTTTATTACTTTAAAATCATCTTTTTATTGCTAAAAATCCGGAAAAGAAGCAATTTTGTATATTTTCATCAAATTTTCATTCAAGCGTCTCTGACTAATATCATGAAACAATAGGGTTGTCTCAAAAATAAGATTCCCAATGCTGTATCCTTGCCGCGCGTGATGCTAGGCGAAATCTGACACCACCGTCGTGTTTGTCGTGGTGGCAGAAAAGACCAAAAGTCTATCTCAGATTATTTCAAATGGTTAAAAATCATTTGTGTCTTATATCTGTGCTACTCAAGCGGAATTTTTGAAGGCTCGGCAAGTCTTGCCAGAAATAAGAAAGGCAGATAAAGTTCAAAAAATAACGTTCTCAAATGGACATTAGTTGTTAACTTATATTTTCATTTTAATGTTCTAATTACTTCATTAGCATCAGTGGTTGATATGTTGTATAAAAGATAGGTAATCTGAATTTTGTTCAGCCTTTGCAACTAACAGCATTTGATTTTTAATAACTTTGTTTTGTCCTTGAACTAAACCACGATCGTATCCAGGCATCCAGTTATACAACCTTCTGCTTACGGTGGTGCCTCGTCTATCTCGTTCTCGACCATTCACTCACTACTAGTTCTCTTGTATCATCGAGATCCTGTAATACCAGTCATTTGAGATGGACAAGTGAACGAGTTTTTCGAGGAATGATGAACTAGTTCACTAAGTTCAGTCACAAGAATTATTCGTTTGAAATAGTTCTAACGCTCAAGTATCACTAAACTGGTGGCTATCTGTCTTCGTGAAGTTATGTAAAAAAGCACGAATATCTGGAGTGATTAAATTTTGTTCCAGTTATTCGACGAATGCCTGGCAGGTAATACCTTCTACGACGCAGCAGGCTGCGACAACATGACGATGATAGTCGTCCAGTTCAAACAGGATTCCCGCAAAAGGCCGTCGTCCCCTGCCAACGAGGCGACAGACGACAAACAGACGGCGAAAAAAGCGAGAACGGAAGAAGAGAAACAGCCGGAAGTTGAGTCCACGGTGTAGATGTAGAAAGTCTGCGATTTAGCGGAGTGGGGGAGAGAGAATGAGTGGACTATAAGGGAGAGAATGTTGGAGTCATTGTTTAGAGTGTTGTGGCTTTAGTTATTGAAAAAATGGATCAGAAAAAAGGTGTGCTGAAGCAGTCGTTCTGTTCAAAACTGTTGACTTTATAAAAAACTGTATGGGTTTCAAGAGTAAGATGTTCTAGTTAATATAGGGTAGTGCAGAATGAATGGACGTTTTTGGAGCAAGTAGCATCGATTGAATGAAAAGAAAGAGATAATTGTGCCCCGCAGGAATTTCTCATAGGGGAAACTTTTACATACTTGAACCATCACGCAGGCCCAAGGTCTAAATACTCATGGGTGATACATCCACGTTGGACAGTCTGAATCCGTTTACCATCTACGGACAATCACAAGTCACAACATCCATAGTCAAGACAAAAATTCTCTTTGAGGCGGGATTCGAACCCGCGCAACTCACGGCGAATAATTAGTAGACCCATAGTGTCTATAACGATTATATATCAACCCCCAAAAACTTTTGGTAAGGACCTTCGTGCATTAAAAAGGGCTTTTATCAGCATCAGAAAGACATGAAAACTTGTTCTAACAATAAAAATTTGTTTATTCAAAGCTAAGTTAACGTTATCAAGCGGGAGGGAATAACTAGAAGCCGGTATGCAGATCAGGAACCAGCTAGAACATACGGCATCGTTAAAAAGACACTCCCAGGGTTATTACGTAAAATACCTATATAATGTCAAAAAATCGATAAAATGGCAATTTGTTGACTAGATTGCTCGTAGTGTGCATATAGTTGATTCCGCGCCTGCAACAAGTGAAAAACCGACTTAATGTAACTTTTCAAGTTACGTAATACCCGTGCCGAAACCAGAGCGACTAACTATAATTTGGCAACCTTCTCTTTTGCAGATGTAGGAGTGAATTTCTTTATTTTACGATACCTTTGTTTTTAGTATTGATACACATTAGGTTGGTTCTCGATTTACTGAACATCCCTTATTTGTAGATCATGTTTTATTAGGTAGTTTCCATTAGAGACTTAAGCGTCGGTCATGAAAGAATGGAAAGAGCACATACAGGGTGATGCAAATGCTATGTGACACGTCTTTGCCTTTCATTCAAATTGCAGAAAATGCCCTTCCATTTCGTCCAACTCTTTACTTTTGCAGGGTGATCAAATAACAACAATAACAGTGGAGTCATTTCTATAACAGTGATTAGGGATATAGTTCAGAAAATATTTTCGCATCCGCTCTGAAAAATGTTCTGATCCGGTCGTATTAAAAAAGGATCCCTTTTAACGAATCTGCATGTTGTCAGGCCTAAAATTGTATAAAAAATAAATAGTTGTAACATATTTTTTAATAGATTCCAAAAATTGTTTTTTTTTTCGCTCTGGACTGGATTTCTTTTTATTTTTTGAGTCATTCCAAACAAAAAAGCATAAATTTGATAGTTGTTGAGATATAAGCAAATTCATATTTTCGACCCAGAAAAACAACATGAATATACAAACAAGTTCCTAAATATCCTTCAAACACCCATTAACAAATCTCAACGCTAGTATTTTCATTGTAAACCTTTGTCTTCAAATGCTAATTGGGCTTAATAATGTTGTTATATAGGGTATCACATGGTAGGCCGTGATTACAAAACCCTAAAAGTTCACATAAACATGTGCCCTAAAAATTCTGGTTCCTAAGATAGTGATGATAGTTAAAAAAAAGGTTGATGAAAAAACAATAGCAAACTTTCACAGAAAGTAAAAGATATGTTGATAACAACAGAACATTCCTGAGCAACGATCAAAGTTAATTTGATCTTACTTTAATGACTGTTTCTAGATTTAATGAACTTTGTTTTTAATTTTTCCTCGAAAACAAATTAACATATGAAGGGATACCAAGAGACAAAAAAGTTGGATCATTGCCTGTTTAATTCGAAAAAAATATAGATTTTCACAAAAAATCAGTGGCGTACATTTTTTTGTCAATATAATTCGTGAGATTGTCCTCCCGTACGCCATTTTTTTGACACTCTGTAAAATTAAAATGAAGATCCACTAAAAGTGGTGCTTTTTGAATAAGATTACGCGGAAACGGGATCAGAATATTTTCCGAACGGATTCGAAATTACTCTCTGGACTAATAGAATTATCATCAGATGGGATTATTTCCCCAATATACTACAAACAGTTTTTAATGTGAAAGTTTACTAACTCAGCACATTTCTAAGTAGAATGGATCTGAACCTTCTACACTGGCCATCAAATATTTAGACCTGTTTTTCTACAAAGCAATGCTCCTACAAAAATTTCTCAAGAGGGAGGCTATGTGCAAATGTAAAAGATGCTTAAAGAAACAGCGGAATAAAAAGAATTTTTATTTATTCCTTTGAAACTGTTAAAATTATCTCAATTTCTGGTACTGGAATGGAATGGAAGTTTCTGTATACAAGGTGCTAATAATTACGTGCTAATATTCCAGGATAATTCCTCAGAAATTTCGTTAATAATACTGTATATGGTTTATATTTGGGGAATCGTATTCTGGAGTATTAGTACATCATTAAGATATGTGCGGAATATTGGCTGTTTCTACTTCATGTAAATCTTCGTACTTTTATACTCGTATGCTTCAAAGATACCTTTTCCTTGATACCGAAATTATAACTTTCATGGTACACATTAGTACCCGAATTTATAGAGACTTTCCGCATTATATTGGACGAACTTTCTGTCCCAAAAATACTGTTGCTGCTTTTTGAATCAACATGGATTTTCTTATCTAGAATGGATAACATTTTTGAACAGAATGACTTCATCATTGATATATAAAAATGCCCAGAATGTGGGGCTGATTGTCAGAATTGCCTTACACTTCAATTGTTTCGAATTTTTTAAGGTGTATGTATGTGTTTTTCGACCAGGTACATGATTTTCAACTTGTTTCTACTTAGTAAGTTAATTTCTTGAATTTTTCTCATTTTTGTGCATATTCTGTTATGCTGTTGTCAAATGAACTGAAAACGTTACATTTTTTCTTTAACAAACAAGGGGACTGCCGATTATTATTAATTATGGTTAATTTATGAGCTCTATTCCATAAAAATAAAGTGTAATAATCACAAGTGAATTGTTTTTCTAAATGCATTTGTTAATAGTGACTCTAGTTTGGTAGAAAAGAATAGGACAAGATTCTTGGTACAAAAATGGTCAGATGATAGTATTAACATTTATAGAGGAGATTAAAAGATATTTGAAAGGTGCTGATTTTTCGGAAGTAGTAATTTTAGAATAGAATTCGAATTCAATGAATGGTAACATAGGGGGCTTAAGATCAACATCATCAAATATGACTACAGTCTGCCCAAATTCAATAGATATATTCCAAAATAATGTTATATAAATCACAACTTAAAGTATTCTATTTACAGATTCATCTTTACTGTTTTCAACTCTGATTTTTTCTCATTTTTGAGTGGCTTTTCTTCCTAGATTACTGTTAGGAGCTCTTTGTCACGGAAATTGTGGTTCCTCAATGGTGCATGTTTCAATGCCGTCTTCAAAAGTATGATATTCAATTATTGGAAGTTGTTTTAAATTGACTCAAAAAGCAGTTCTGAAACACTACCACGTCTTTTTTCACAACAATCTTACCGGACAACGACTCTTATTTTTCTAAGATTCTTCAATACATATGCTTGTGCTTTTGTTATATTGTGGCTAAATCCAGCTATTAAAATATTTCAAAGTTTAACTTGTAATTTACTGGTCTAGTATTTTTATGGAATAGGGGTCTGGAACATTTTGTTAGTGCTGATGTTTGTCTATTATCTTTGTGAGTTCACTTGATATATCAGTCATCAAGCAGTTCATTTTCCAAATTGTTTTTAGATAGATTTTTGAGTTATTATGAGTTATACCATTGATTAACGCATTCTACCTGACACTGTATTTCAGCGCCCAAAAATTATCCGAGATGAAATGACAAATGAGATTTCATGGTATCATCTTTGTGAAGATGTGTCTCTACTCTCCGCAATAATTAGAAATCTGCTATCTAGAAGAGAAACATAGCTGACGACACGGTATCTTATTTCATCTCTAATAATTTTTTTGGACTCCTAAATACTGTATCAGGTTGGCTATCTTCAGGCGGAATAAGTTAATCAGTGGTCATTCACAGTCTTACATGATATGCCACAAGCCTTAATGTAGATCATTGTATATAACTTATTATGCTTTATGAAGTCAAAACATTTTACTATTTCAACCGGTATTTTTTGCTGTATGAACGAAAAAATAAAGTTGGATGGAAGACTGATCAGCCTTATATTCAAAATTTTGAATTAGTTCACTCAAATATTTTTGTAAACGAAGTATTTCAAATTTTTAGTTTAAATCTTTCATTTTTTTATCACCCACTCATTTTTATTGTAAAAGATTTTTACCTGTAGTAATAGCAATGTGCCTTCTGTTGAAAACGAATTTTGTACCAATTTGGTTGTATTTGTATGTATGAGTGAAATTAGTTTTTTGGGGTGGTGTGTGATATTCATTGCGTTTTGGCCATTGTATCATATTGTCTAAGTATAATAATTTATTTTATTGTCACAGTTTTTCTTTGTAAGGTATTACCAATAAATTATTTCATAGATTTCTAATTTGCCCTTTTGTCCGAGTAATTCGTCAGTGTTAGACCTGGCTGTAGGACCTTTGCTCTTGATAAACAATTTGATGTTACTTAAAAATCCAAATTTAGTAGGTGCTTAACTAACAGATTATTTGTTTAAAGCTAAGAAGTTCTTTTTTACATAACCTCCTCACTCTGTAGAAGGCACACATATAACACTAAGCCTCTAGTACTGCTACATGCTTCTCTGACCACACTGTCCATACTTCTTGCTGTACAGATGAGGGCGGTCCAACTGATCAGTGACACTTCCCTAACGGACAGTCTCGGAATCTTTCGCACCGAGGGGTGGTGTCGGCGTTGTGGCTCTCTTCCACCACTGTCAGCGGGCTTAGCTCCTCAGAGCTCTCCTCCTTGATGCCGCGCGTTTAGCCTGCCACGTCGAATCGCCAAGCTTCTGCTCGCATCTCAACTCTGACGAATGTCTTACATCCAGAACTGGCCGGTACAATCCCTCCTTTCGTTCTTAGGATGTCGAGATTGAGGAACCTCTACCTGAGGAGACTTTCCCAGTTCTGCCAAGTTGAATGGTCAAAAGATGGGTGAATTTTTGATTTTGGGCGTTTTTACGAAACTCGGCTTTCAAAAAACAATCATGGATTAAAATAAGAAGAAAAATGATGAAAGGTTAAAATACAAGATTTGTATCCAGAAATTCCATGTGTGATCTATAGATCACTGGAAAATATTGAGTAAATTAGAGCACATTGGAATTTAGGTCCACCACTTGAATTATTTCAAAATGATTTGTATAACACAAAACAGGATTGAAATTGAAAATACAACTAGTGAAGAAATGACTGTAATGAATGGAGTTCCACAAGGAACACTACTTGTACCACTTTTTTTAATATATTTGATGAAGCCATCAAGCAGACATACGTATCGCTCGGATTACTTATCCTAATTTTTGCTCGAATCCACTTTCGTTTTTTTGTTATATACCTTTCTCCGAATGATAATTTCCTCTTTGTAGATCCTTTGGTCTTGAAGTACGACAGCAAGCGGCTATAACAGGCCGCGTGATTGTGGTTAGTTGTTGCCTTGAAAATTCGAGGTCTTCTGTCCATTTTATACTACAATATGTAGGTTGACTCTTGTTGTGGACTTCGTGTGCGGAGGTATGGGCATGTGTATCTACTTTTGTAGTTGCATATGTGCATTCATTTCGGGCCTGATGAAGCCAACCAGCAGAAATACGTATCACTGGGGTTACCTATCCTATGTTTTGCTCGAATCCACTTTCCTTCTTTTTGCGGATTTTGCCCATTATTCTCCTATTTTTGTTATATACCTTTCTCCGCCTGATCATTTTCTCTTTCTAGATCTTCTAGCCATTTTATACTACGATGTGTAGGTTGGGTCTTGTTGGCAACTTCGTCATTTTTTTTCCTCTCCATCTTCGTTTCCTCAGGTTACACCCGTATCGGGATGTATGGGCATGTGTATCTACTTTTGTAGTTGCATATGTGCATTCATTTCGGGCCTGATGAAGCCAACAAGCAGAAATACGTATCGCTCCGGTTACGTATCCTATTTTTTCCTCGAATTCACTTTCCTTCTTTTTGCGGATTTTATCCATTATTTTTCTATCTAATAATATTCGTAACTTTAAGAGGTGATTCCTTGCATTATTCTAACCAAAAAATTTCATTATAACCTATGTCCGAAAATCAACCATTTCGGAGCAAAGAAATGCTCAACTTATTTCTTTTTCGTCATGAAATAAATTAGTTTTACACCTTAATAATTTAAATTCATATGCCTAATAGCGTAAAGTGTATCAATACATATATTTGTTAATTAACTGTCTCGTAACAAAATAATTGTCTTGCTTATTAAATTCAATTTTCCAAAGAAAAACAGACAAACAAAATCCCTCACACAACTGGCAACATCGTACTCCGCCTGCACTGCTTGTATCATCGCGTGTTGCCCCGGATCGACTTCGTATCGGTAGGCAAAAAAATAAATACATCGGGAAAAAATTATTTTAGTTTATTTAGTTTCTCTCACATTTTACTATTCAGTATGTATTACTGTATCCGCGCGTGCATTTTGATACGAAAAAGATGTTTTCGGTATGCGATGAGTAACACGATATGCTTATTATTTACGGAGAGGCTCATTGCAATTCTGAAGAGGCTAGGCGCATTTACGAAGAGGGTTTTCCTGATCGAAGGCTACCAGCCAGAAGAACATTCGTAAAAGTATCCCAAAGACTTCTGGACCCAGGGAGCCTAGTGCCAAATTTTAACAATCACGGAAGAAATTGTGAAGTTGGAGTGGAAACCGAAGAACAAATTTTGAATTTAATTGACGAGGATTCGACACGGAGTACGAGAAGAACTGCTCGTCAAGTCGGTATCTTACAACTGGATTGTACATCGGACCCTTAAAGAACTGTTATTGTACCCATATCATGTCCAGAGGGTTCAAGCTCTTTCGCCTGAAGATTTTCCACGAAGAGCAAATTTTTGTAATTGGTTTTTGGGTAAACACCAAAGAAATCACAATTTTGTAGCGAACGTGTTGTCAACAGATGAGTCTTGTTTTACAAGAGATGGAATTTGGAATTTTCTCAAATTTCATAATTGGGCGGATGGACTGGAATAATTGGTGACCAATTAATACCATTTTTTTGCCACATCGCTTGATCGCTTGAACGGTGAGAGCTACTTAGTTTTTCTAAGAGACAATTTGCTCGTTTTATTGGAAGAAGTGCCATTGCAAACAAGAACGAATATGTGGTACTTGCACGGTATGCTCCATCACACGCTAGTCGAGTAGTTGTGGAACATCTGAATAATACCTATGAGAATAGGTGGATAGGAAGAAATGGTCCAAATGCCTGCCGGTTAGATCCCCCGATCTTAATCCATTAGATTGTTTCTTCTGAGGATTCATGGAACATTTAGTTTACGCCTCTGAAATAAGGGGTGAGAATGATTTAAGGGAGCGTATTTTGGCCGCCGCTAATAAAATACCAGTACGTAGTATGCCTAGAATTTTTCAACGAGTTAGAGAAAATTGGGTTCGAAGGTGTTAAGCTTGCGTAGATGCACATGGTTCCCATTTTGAACATCTATTGTGATTACTAATACATTTAACTGTAACTTTATGTGATTTACGGATGTTGTTTTTTTCTTTTTTCGTGCATCGCATCGTGTGAAATAAGTGACTGATAATCGTGGGAATTGGTGGTCTGCATCGCCACATACCGGTAAGTTCTGTAATTTTTTTTAAGTAAATGTACTGTATTGAAAGCGTTATTAAAAACAAAAAATTGCGTAAAAGTATTCAATAATCCAAGGCATATTTTGAACAAAAATATCAGCGTTGCTAAATGTTTGAGAAAATTTGATTATTTACGACTCACTTTCCTCGATAACGATTGTTTTTCGTACATAAGTTCTAATGAACTTTTTTGCTAAGAATAATGCAAGGAATCATTTCTTAAAGTTACGAATATTGTTTCCCTAACACCCTGTATATATATATTGTATATAACTTGAGACGTGGTCATTGTCGTCTAGACCAGTTAGGTGAAAAATTAAAGCTTCTGCCTTTTGTTGGGTACTTCGACAATTTCATTTATATATATAGAGTGTCTCCCGCGAGGTAAGGTTTTCTACGTGTTCCTCAGGTCAATTCGAGTGGAAAAAGTCCTATGAACATGGGTCCGCAAATTCTTCCTTATCGAGATAATGATTTTTTTTATTTTTACGGTGCTATTGCCCCGATAGCACGAAATATTTATTTAATATTTAATAATATTTTTATATTACTTAAATATTTGTTTTCTTAAACAAATATTTAATAAATATTTGTAATATATTTTTATTAAATATTTATTCAATATCTTTTAAATATTTTAAACACAATATTTCTTTTACAATATTCATTAAATATTTACTTTTCAATCAATGGAAAATATTAGATCTACAATATTTAGAAAATTATTCATTAATTATTTTCGGCTACGGCGCATATGCGTGTGACCTCGAGCGAACAATGGGATAATAGCAAGCTGGCCTGAGGCATCCATTTTACCTTTGACTTTCAGTATGATAGCGTGCTTCCTGTGTACCTCCAAGTGGTTCATTATTTGAGTGTTTTTTTGTGGAAAAGGGAAAATGTTAAGTTTTTCAATAATTACATAGGTCAATTTATGCTGCGTTTCAGAGGCCTAGTTGAGATACTCGGAGTAACTCAACATGCTCTGCTCCAGTATTGTTCCACTGCATTTTATATTCCCATAAATACACTGGAAAGCAGCTTATGTATTCAATAATACTTCATAATTAGTGAGTTTTTTTTTCAGAGGAGTGGACTTGCAAGATGCAGAAGAGGCTTAGAATGTTTTTTTAATAATATTTTTCTAGCAAATTAAACCATTATATCTAGAATTTTATTCATACACCCAATTTTATATAAGCATTCCTACAGGTTTTGCTAAAATAACCAATGCAGAATTTTCTATATACACTGAAAATATGTATCAGATTAATGCTTGAAAATCCAGACATATTTACGAAAATTTTTAGATGTTTCATCAAAAAGTAAAATTGATATTTAAAAACCTTTCCTCGTATATTTTCTAAATATTTTGAAAAAATATAACAAAAATATATGAATATATATGAATTATATATACTAAAGATATCTATAATGAATATTTTATAAATATATAAGAAATATATTTATTAAATATTAAAAAATCTGTCGCTACAAATATTTAATAAATATTTATTGCTATCGAGGTGGTGGGAAACCACAATATTGTTGGTAAATTACTTTTATTTAACACAAAATTACCAGCACAATAAAAATAACTATTCACAATAGTTGTTCAAAGTGTTCACCTTCACACTGTCAACATAGTCTAGCCCGTTTAATAATGTGACTGGTGGCTTTCCCAATAACAAGATGATTACATACACTAAAGACTTCATATGTCCCCACAAGTAATAATCCAAGGGATTTAAATTGGGCGGGCGGGGTGACTAAGAAACTGCGCTCGCTCGTCCAATCCAGCGCCCAGGAAAAGTGTTATTTAAATACTTTTTGCAAAGTTTAATCAAACTGACACAACTACTCCGTCAACAAACAAACAAACACCATCGTATTAATCGGGCAGTACAACGTGAATTTGGACTTTAATTATTGTAAACAGTTGTTTTCATACGAACAGTATTAATTTTTTCGTTAAATAAAAGCAAATTTCCAACAATATTGTGGTTTTCGCCCACTAAAAATAAAAAAATCATATCTCGATAAGGAAGCATTTGCGGACAAATGTTCATACGACTTTTTTGACTCGAATTGACCTGAGGAACACGCATAAAAATGTTGTCCCTTACCTCGCGGGACACCCTGTATATATATATAAAGTGAAAAAAAAAATATATATATATAGTAACAACCATCTAAATTCTTTACAAATAATTCAAAAATTATGCATAAAAATAATGCATATGAAACTTTTATCATATCCCTCCAAATTGCTGTCTAGAGAATACAAAATTTTGAATATAAATAAAATTATTTTGGTATAATGTTATATTAGAGTTCCATAAAAACAGAGATTCGACCATTTATCAAAATTATGAGTATGATTCGAGAAATAAAAATAAACAAATAATTATTGCAACACCAAAAAAGAAAATAATGTTGAAATTATTTATATACTTAGGTCCAAAATTATATTATAACTTACCAACATAAATTAGAAAAAATCGGATATCATTATTAAAACTACATGTATACGAGTGGCTATTGAATACTGATATAAGTATGACGTAATTTATGCAAACTTAACATACAAATATCTTTTCCGCATTACTAATCTGATACAAAATGTATAATAATGTATTACATTTATATTATATAGATTTTTTTAGTGCTTAGCAAAGATATTTTCCTTTTGTGACATATCAATTTATTCACAATTAAATTGATGCGAATGAATATTATTCAAAATTTAGTATTTCTAGTCGAAAAACCCGTTGGTTTGGTTGATCCTAGAATTGCATCGTTTTTCTTCACAGTGCGAGCTTTTAAAGGCCTTACGATGCAAAACACGGAGTGGGGCCTCTGTCTGCACAAACCGTTTGCGTTTCTTACATGGCAAATGTGTATCGTTGTTTTGCGTAATCGATACGATTATTGTGTTGGAATTTTGGTATAATTGTTAACAACAAAGTATAATAAGTCACTTTTCAGCAATGTGTCAACTTATTTATTATTTCATTTTGTTCCATTTCTGTCCGATGTAAGGAATTTAGTTGAATTTTCAATCTCTCCAGTTCAATGGATTTTTCTGCTATCAACGCCTAAAAAATCTACGTGTTAGATTATTTTTGTTTTCTGATAATTTCGATATTACCTTATGAATAGTTACGAAATTGAAAATTTAATTAGTAAAAAAAATCCACAAAAAGTGGGGTGCAGAATATGAAGAAGTAAATTGTTTTCTTGATTAAAATTAATGATAACAGTCAAAAATATACCTGCAGCTGATGATGGCTATTTTCCTTAGTCTTTTCCATATGGTGCAAAATATTTCTCGCGCCTATAGCTCGAATTTTCTGCTTTTCAACGCTTTCAGATAGTTGTTCTAGCAGCGTAATGAATTTTCCTGCCAATTTTTGAAACTCCTCCGTCTCTAAAATTAGTTTCCGAAAAATCACGTAGAATATTTTTGCATTTGCGTTCTTCAGCATCTATGGTTTTAGTTTTTAGCCAGAGGGCAAATGATTGCGCAAAGGAGCAACTTGCATTTGAAATAAATGTTGACTTACTTTCTGTATACACCTGGCACTCGTCTTTCAAATCGTGAGTCTGTTTGGACACTTCTGGATCCAAAATACATATTTTATCAATTTCATTAAAATATATGCCTGATTTTGCCAGCGACTCGGCCATATCTTTTGTTTACATTGGCCGCACATTGAATGACCTGACATTAATGTGTCGGGATGGGGTTGCTATGATGTTTTCACTGTACACATTTCATTTGTATAGCATAGTCAAATTAGATACGAACGGCCAGCATGTTTCGATTAATATTTTTTTGGTCGATATCTCGAAAATATTGATGTCAGAAAAGCGAAAGTGTGAATAGCAGTAGGTGATCGGAAGATGAAATAACGAATAAACATTTCTCTAATCTAATGTTTATTTAGGAATAAGGTACAGGAGATATCAATATAACGCAGTATTCTCTAATTTCCAGGATTTAGGAAGCTACAATTTTTTTTTCGAATTTGTCTGGTTAAAACCTCAAAGAAGTAAATACAGTTAAGATAATACCGCATCTTTACTAATCAATATCACAGCTATTAATACATACAATAATTTGTTTAAAGGCTTCTTTTTGAAGATTACTGTTTAAAATTACATCTATTCAAGCTTAAAATTAATGTATCTTAAAATAATCATTGTCTAGTTTGAAGTGACGCACGCATGATCTTTTGCACTAAGATAAACAATGGGGTATTTTCCAAAAATTTTACTTCGACATTGTACCAAACCTGTCTTCGAAAAGTGTTTTTCTGAGTTTTTTTGTTCACCTTTCTATATCACCGACAAGTGACGAAGTTTGCCCTCCACAAATCAAACGGAAAATATCGCGCAAAGTTGTGGAGTAAAGAATTTTGCCACGCTTCGTCCTTAGAATGTTTTACTACATCAGCTATGCAGGTGAGGCTTCCATCAGATGTAACGGATACTACCTTTATTTTCGGACGTTGACACTGACAAGGAATTGTATCGCCACATTCAAATAAAAATCAAACCTTGTTGGCTAATTGCTTTGGCGGGAGTTACAAAGGATTTAAATGAGCTTCTTTCAATGTACGAATTTCTAACACACGAGTGCAAAAACTTCAATGATGCTGTATCATTCTTGAAAACTGGGCGTAAACTATTTTTCAAATATTACAAAATGAAAACTGAAAGATACCCCATTATTCTGTATTCTCTATATATTCTGTGAAAATTGACCACACATTCTGGATGACTTGTTGTATAGGTTGGGATTTTATATAGTCTTAAAAAGCAAACTTTTCAGCGTACGTTAACGTAAACCTTATTTGACATTTTCACTTAAGTCAGAAGAATAAGTTATCGTCAATGTTAACGTTTGCAGTATTTCCGATTGCGAAAACTCTTTAATATTGATCAGAAAAGAATCCTTTACTGCAGTGTCAAATAAGGTAAACGTTTATCTAGGCGATATTTGTCATAGCGAAAACTCTAATATTATTCAACATAACGTATTCCACCTGAAAATAGCCAACCTAATAATAAAGTCAGAGATAAAATGAGATTTCATAGTGTTATATATGAGAATTTCTCACCTCTCTATTTACTATGTAGTATAGGAAAAACGCTGTCTAAAAAAATGAAATTTGTACTAAACAACTAAAAGATCGTCACAGTGTGTAGATTTTTCCGTTTTTTTAAAGCCTATAGTAGACTTCTGGATCACCCTGTATACTTTTATAAGGTTAGTGTCTCATAAATGGCGCTGTAGTCACCTACACTCTATTTGACAAGTATCCATCACGGGACAACGACAGATAGTTATCTAGTAATATTTCAAAATTCCCCATATCGGCACAGGGCACATAATTAACTCCAGGTAGACAGAGCCGTATTTTGTTGTGGTTCTTTGTACGCTCCAAAACCGTGCTATCAAAAATCATCAGCCATTCATTATAAAGCTGGTTGGGTCTGATGAAGATAGTACAGATACTTGTTTTAGTGACTACCGTAGTGGGATTGCGTTAATGTGTGCTCCACAATTACTTTTGAATGACTGTGAAACGTCACGTGTCTGTAACTATTTAATTTGCTGGTTGATGTATTCTGCCAGACCAATCCTTTTTATATCAGTGTGGTATTTATAAGTAAGTAAGTAGTCCTTTATTTAGAAAAAAAAATCCTAATTCCAACAACAACTGGTAGCATTACAGCATTTCACAAGTACATACATATATATTCAAATATAATAAATTTAACAAATTCTGTCAGATCTTTTTTTTTATACTCCAACTACCACGAAGGCCTAAGGCCTAAGTACCCATTGGGTACCGTGGGGCTATAGGGGGATACATGGGAAAGGGGGGGAACGCCACACGGACTCTGGCGAGGGAACACGTGTGCATGTAACTTGCACACATTCTGGCTCCGCCTACGAGATCCGCCGGGTGGTACCTCCGCGTTCGACAGTCAGAGACCATCTACCACCCACGGACAGTCACAACAGCCATAGCCAAGAGAAAAATTTCTCCTAGGACGGGACTCGAACCCGCACAGCGTACGGCGACTGATCAGGAGACCGAAGAGTCTACTACTGCGGCCACCGCTGCTGCCCTATGTGTTTGATAAGAGCTTTCTTGAAATACCCGACTGAGTCGGCGTTTTTTATTAGCTGGGGCAACTTATTGTATTCACATAGACTTTTGTACACTATTGTTTCCATTGTACTCTTCATATTTGTTTTATTTACAAATGAGTACACGTCCTAGTGTTATATGAATGGATCTCATTATTTGGGCGTAGATGAGCACCTAAATAATTAGGTAATGTTCTCTTCACAATTTTATAAATAAATAGCATTGTTGTTAAATGAAGATGTTGATTCACCGATAACCACTGTAGAGTATCCAGCATATATTCAATTCTTGTGTACCTAGAGCACTGTAAAATTATCCGCATTCCCCTATTTTGAAGTTTTTGCAAGGTGCCTATTTTGTTCTTGCTAAAGAAATATAATAATAATGAACAGTACTGAAAATGAAGTTTTATTATTGTATTGTAAACCGCAATTCTTGCAAACATTGATAGCTGTTTAGAAACTCTTGAAAAAAATAAAGTTTCTTTGAAATTTTTTTAATAATATATTCACTATGGCTGTTAAAGTTTAGGGTTTTATCCAACATAAATCCAAGGTATTTCATTGTATCAACTATATCAAGAACTGTCTTTTCAATTTTAATTTTGATATTAGCTTTTATTATATTCTTGTTTTTACTTCTGCTTGATATTACCATTGCTTTTGATTTTTGAGTGTTAAACTTCAGTTTGTTCATTTTCAAATATGTACCAATGTTTGCAAGGTCACGGTTCACAATATCGATAGCCTCATTCAGGTTTTTGCAGGCTGAGTACACAAGAGTGTCATAGGCAAATAGATTTATGGAGCTACTTCTCTGAACAAGTTCCATATCTTTCAAATATATTATAAAAAATAATGCCCCCAAAACACTACCCTGAGGAACTCCAAAACGTACAGAAATGGTTTCGGAGATAGAATGACCAATCTTAGTCCTTTGACCTCTGTCACTCAAGTAACTAATTATCCATCTCAGGACAGTGCCTCCAATTCCACATTGTTTTAATTTATCTATCAATATTCGTCTGTCTATTGTTTCAAATGCTCTTTTGAAATCAAGGAAGACTGCAATTACATAGTTATTGTCATGAATAAGTTTCATCCAATCAGTTGCTATAATTTGAAGAGCAGTTTCACAAGAGTGACCTTTTCTGAAGCCTGATTGCTTAGCCATGAGAAGATTATTGGTTTCAAAATATTCAACAATTTGTTTATGTGCACATGTTTCCAAAAGTTTTTCAAGAGGTGGCAAAGTATTTATAGGTCTAAAATCAGATGCTTCTATGGAATTTGGTACTTTAGGGATGGGCGTAACTGTGCTTACTTTTAATGCATCCGGGAAAACTCCATAAGCTAGTGAAGTGTTGCTAAAATTCAAGATTACATGACCAATCGAGTGCAAAGTACTTTTAAGAACTTTAGTATCCAAAATATCTCCACCGTATGTTTTATTTTGAAATGAAAGTATAATTTCTTTCAATTCATCGAATGATATGGATCTAAATTTCAGGAACGTAGTGCATCACAAGATAGATCATTATCCACATATATAATATCAGACTGGATACTTTTTACAATGTCACAAATACTGCTAACAAAGTGAAGGTTGAAATTATCAGCTATTTCCACTTCACATCTGGAAATAACTTTTTGGTCATACAGGTAAAAAATTATTCTATCGAAAGTAGTAGCTCCTACCAGCTTTATTAAAGATTTCAATGTTTTCCACATAGTTTTGGGGTTACGTTTATTGTGATCAATTTTTTCTTCAAAATATTGTCTTTTTTTCATTTTTAACAAGTTAACATATTCAGTTCTGAACATCTTGCATTTCTCCCACTGATTATGTTTGTCAATTGGGTGGCCACTTTTCCTAAATTGTTTGTAGGCAAGATGTATTCATTATTAATTTTTATGATAGGTTCTGCACATACTTAATCTGTAATTGAATTACGTTACAGTGATGACGGACAATAAACCAGAAACAGTATTGTGTCTATATTATTTTTACAGGTAAATATACAGCTTCTGGAAAGGACTACGCAACCTGTTCTATTGACATACCATGTAATCAATAAATCCCAGATGTACTATAATAGTTTTCTAATATTTTTTTCTATATCTGTACTTGTACATTTTATTGTCACATTTCATACCCACTTAAGAATATAATCCTGATATGTGAACAATAGCTCTGAATACGATCCCGAATATTACATTAAATTGGCTATCTTCAGGTAGAATACATTAATCAATGCTAATAATCATCCCATTTTTACCCAATTTCAAGTTTTAATATTATTCAAATTCATAAAAGATCCCGCGGCGCTATGAAGTATGCTATGCATGATGCTCTTATTGTCAGTCTTGTTGCTTTTACTTGACCCACTGGACACCGAGGATGCAGGCTTGGTTTTCTTTTTTGTTATCCAAATGTTACAAGCGAACTTGAACTCCACTTTTAGAGCTTCCCAGTAGCTCATCTGCAAGAAGAAGAAAAGTTAAAAAAGATTCGAATATATTTCTTCACGCCTAGGAATCGTCAAAACTTTATGGACCATTTTTTCCCATTGTGGCTAGCCAATGTAGTTTGGTACCTTTACCAGACGTTTGTTCTCTCTGCCATTGACAATCAACCTGTCAGTTTGATGTTCCAGCTTGCCAATGTAAATGTAAAGGTAAATACAAACAGATGGTATGTAAAAAACTCGACGGTAACCTTACCAAAAATACAAACAAATAATAAACGCCGGTGCACAATTGCCCGGGAACAGAAACGAGAGAAAACTTCGATTGCATATTATCATACATATACACATATACATACATGTACAACAAAGGGAAACAGGAACGAGAACCGCACCAACGAGGGATTTTCTTTTCTTATCGCTCTCTTTTTTGAAATCCAGTAAATTTGCATATGTAATTTCCAGGTAGAATATGAAAAAGTCTATATTGTATTTACACCCAAGATAGAATGGATGCGTGATTGCCAAAAGCAAGGACGGCGTACAGGGCCGCATTCAGGGCTACCTCCGAATGATGGACTACCACAAACGTGTTGTAAAACAAAGATGACGGTATTTAACAGAAACAGAAACTTGACAAATTACTCAAGTATACTTAACAACTACAACAGCAACAACCAAGCAAGGTGAATACGAAAACACGAGCACGCAGTGATACAAGCGACGGACGGTGGCCTGAGTGCAACTCTGCCTGCCCTACCCCTGCCCCGCGCATTATTTCGCCAGGCGACCGCTTGAAATTTAATGGCGAATTGACCAGTAAGAGGCGTTGTCCCCACCTGTTACAGAGAGATCACGCGCTAACTGTTATTATTTACATCTCATCTTAAATTTGGATTCAGTTTATTTTCGGCAATAAACCAATGGAATTATCCTCAACAGAGGTTATTAACGCACAAATCCTCACTATACTCCTATGCACTGCCGTTTCCTTCCAGCTATAGTATACATCTTACAGCTTAGACCTCCAATAATGCCATCTCTGAAGCGGATGTTACATCACATCAGAGCCAAATATTGATAGCTGAAGCATCATGACGTTTAGGCAACACGTACAGTTACGGAACGAGTATACAACAAGTGTACAACAACGAGTCCTAAGTTAACATCTTGTAGAAAAACGCGTACATAATACATACCACAAAAACCTATGTAATGTCAAAAATAAACGACATAATATCACTTTTCAAGATGCGCAATACCCCTGCCTCTCAGTAGGGAGTGGTATATTAACATTCGTCATAATATTGAATAAAGCATTTCTTGTCTGAATTATAATAGATGGCTCTCTAGTAAATATGGACATTTCAAGGCAACATAACTACACGATAATTAGAAAAAAATGAAAATGATTGATATTTTGAAATTTCCTGAGTAAATTGTATGAAATTTTTGACGTATTTTAGGACCCAAAACATCTCACAAATAATACTTACGTGTTCTTCCACCGAGACATTCCGAACATTCCAAAGAAATTCTAATATCGCTAGCACGAATGCTATGGCGACCCCAATGCCTAAGACCAAAAATACACCTCCAACGTTCGCTAAAGCTAGTTCTGCACCGTCATCGTCATCATCAGCTGTCTGAAAAAAGAAAGAAGAAAAGTAGATTAATAATGTACTTTCCACACATTTTAGTTATAAGTAAAACGACATCTCCCTTCTTTTACTCAAAATGAAATTCTTACTTTTTTCGTGGTTAAACTTAGTTTCAAAACTCACTAATCTTTTTCGTGCATAACATGTTAGCTGAACAGACGGTAGGCAGACCTGTTTAACTTCAACTGAATTTAACGATTGAGAATCGATTCGAAAATATAGCTTTTTATAGTGTCTAGTAATCGAAGAGCTTGGATATATTTTTGGGGGGAGCAGAACAATCTATACCTTTATCATTTACTAGCGTTCTTACGCGCGGAACGTGTAGGTGGCATCACTAAATAAAATAACCAAACTTTCCAAGCATGCAAGTTGGCTGTCAGTTCACTAATGCCATCATTACAAAACTTATTTTTGTAACAGTTTCAAGTCGCTGGTATCAGCTAGTCTGTATCGCTTGAAGGTCACAGGTTGAGTGGTACGATGGCAGGCAGCGCTGTTGTCGGCTCGACGCTGACGGTGGACAATTTGCCACTTGGCGCGGCTCATTTTGTTGAATTTTAACTGATTTTTCATAACTGTATATTTTCTTAATTAACAAGATCCTCGTTTTTCTCGTGATATTAGTTCGTCGAGACAGTTGATTGGAATGTTATTAAATAGTTGTATCAAATCTGCTATCCACTGTTCTTTTGAATTTCAAATTTGAAAAGCACAATGGAAAAAATTGGTAAAAGGAGCTGGAATCATTCTAGAATAGCTTAATTAATTGAAATGGGTGCAATTTGTAGCTAAGGGACTAAAAACTATGCACAAGATATCCCGCTTTAAATTGACTGACTCTAACTTTCTTGTTTCACCATTTAGGAAGAAATGTTTGATACATAAGTGTAAGATCTCATGTACATTTGTTCATGCAATATCTTTTTGCTATGTCGTTTATATGTGTCTTAAAGTGCTATCGGATAAAGTTGTATTTTTTTAAATCGATTCCTTTCTGTTTCCAAATATATATCATACTTATTTTCATTAGCTTGGCCAAATTTAAAGTGTCATATATTCATGTGTAAAACCGACTTGCGTTAAAAAAGTGATATGGGGTGTTGAAGTTTAAAAATAAAGAACATTTTCTTTAATATCCTCAAAACCGTCAACTGGAATGAACTAAAATTTGGTATGTAAGTATTGTCCACATTCAAAAGTCTTTACTTAAAATTAATGTTCACCATTTTTCGAATTTTACCTCCAATTTGCTACAAATAATTATTCTCGTATTTTTTTCCTAGAGTGCATTGTTTCGTAAAAATAAAAAAAAGAGATAATCAAAGCTTTATTTCAATCGATGTTCAAAAAGCCCACCATTCTGACGGATACAACTGCGGCATCTTTTTAATAAAGGAAAACGTATTTCCGCAAAATTTGTGGTGGTTTGCATTTGATGAAACGCAATAACTATTCTTTCTTGCAACTGATCAACACTATTAATTTGTTCAGTATACACCAGTTGTTTGAAAGCGCCCCACAAAAAGAAATCCAGGGGGTTCGAATCAGGAGGCCTCGCAGGCCAATGTACGGGACCGTTTCTGCCAATCCTTCGATGTCTAAAATGATTATTCAACCATACGGTGGGGCACCGTCGTGCTGATACTACATTCGTACTCTCGTTGCTAACGGAACATCATCTAGTACATTTTCTATGTGATTCTCCAGAAAAGCTAAGTATGAGTTTGCATTTAAACGATGTGACAATACATGCGTAAACGAGTTGATTCTTACAAAACGGGGATTTTCTAACGACCAAATATGGTCATTATGAGAATTAAAGATTCCACTCCTCGTAAAAAGCGATTCATCTGACCACAAAACCAAATCAATAAAATCTGCATTTTGATTATGCATTTGTAGTAACCACTCACACTCACTTTGACAAACTATCTCCCAAGAAAGGTCAAGTTGGTATCAAGGCCTCCTATTTTATTTTGAGACTAACAGTATCTTGGCTCTTCATGAATGATCTATGTAATTTGTTTTATTTTTATTTTTACGAAAACAGTGGTCTCTAGGAAAAACACAAAAGTAGTTATTTGTAGCAAATAGAAGGTAAATTTTGGAAAATTGCGCGTTTCGAAAAAAAAACAGTGGCGCACTATTTTTATTTAGAAAAACGATGCCACTAATCCCCTGTATGTCCGCCACTGGTGCACGTTAATGTTAAGTAAATACTTTTGAATGTGGAAAATACTTAAGTCAATCCACATACCAAATTTTAACTTATTCCAGTTGATGGTTTCGAGGATATTGAAAAAAATGTTTTTTATTTTTAAACTTCAATAGAAGACCCTCCTTAAAATGTGGCCCTGTGTATGTTTCATTTTTGATCACGACTTGTGAATCACCCTGTATACCTATTTTCTGAGTGTACATATGCCTCAAAATTCAAACAGTATTTTTTCAGTCAAGTCAATAGGCCAGTGAGGCTCTGTAATCGCGATAAAACTCCAAATGGAAGAATAATTTTCAGATATAACATGGTAGGTACACTTTTTGTTGTGTTCGTCAGGTAATCCTTGTTAATCGGTCCTGTTGCGATAAGGTAATCGTAAAAAAAATTAATCATTGGTCGTTCTGTCACTGGACTTTGAGGAAATTTTCTTAGAGGAGACCAAATTCAGAAGAAGTCAAATTTTGTTGATATATGTTTAGACATAGTCAAACGTTTATTTCAAGGTTTCAAAGGTTGCGAAATCCGAGAAAAATCATTTTTCAAATGCTAATCATTCAATCTCTTTTGAATGACTCTAAACACAAGAGGTGCGCAATTTGATAACATGTGGAGTAGAATCTGCGTTAAAAAATCGGAAAACTGCTGTTGCAATATACTTAATTGATCAGGCTAACTTGCCAAATGTGAACTCTGTTGAACAAAAAATTGTACAGGAGGATCTATATATTTTTACAGTGAACGCAAAAGGCCCTCGAAATAAGAAATTCTGGCGATGAAAATACCTTCAAAATGAGAACTGATGGGTATGTCCAGTTCGTTGCAACGGTCAATCGGTTACTGCAAAAAAATCCATCATTCTTGCCGAAAAGTGCATAAGAGTAAATATGAAATAGTAGCCAAAAGCTGAACATTTTGTAGTGATTAACATCGAAAAAACCTTCAAAAATGCTCAAGCTATCCAGCGACGTAACTGATGCAACAAATTAGACATACCAATGTCTCCATTACTATAAAACAATCAAAAATGTTATTTAGAAAAATTGTGTCCTACTTGGAATATACCGCTTCCTATTTTTTTTCAAATAGAACACCGTACATCTTTGAGTATGCTAGTTCAGTACGCAAAATATGAAGTTTTGATATAACCGAGGATGTAGCATATTATACTAACTCCGGAAATAATTTCTTTTGTCTATTTTGAAAAAATGGGTCTTTGTCGAATGGCTAAAGGTATTGATGCTTTTAGGAATTCGATGATAGGTTGGAAGAAAGCAGATACCAGACAAAGTCAGGGAGAAAGAAGTGAAGAAAAAAGAGTCAGTGCGCCAGTTGAAGAGGAGTGCAACGTAAATTAACAAAGCACTTACCGAGTCACAAAGTTCTTCATCCCTTTCTTTTAGCCACCATTTTTTCTTGAGTTCTCCTAACTCTCCAGATTCTTGTAATTTCAGAATTGCTTTATTTATTGCACTTCGGTATGGAGAATCTGAAAAATCAAGATATGAAAAAATACTCTTTTATTACTAATAAAAAAAAAAACAACTGTGGAGAGAGTCAGGGATGAAAAAAGTAGGAACTGTGATAATAAAAACTGGAGCTGGATCACATACTACGAAGAGGGATGCACCAATCAGTAGGTAGAATGGCCCTAGATTGGTATGCTCAAGAATACAGATATATAGGAAGATTTAGGTTGACATGGAGGAGAACGGTAATAGATACGGCAATGCGAATGGGCAAATCTTGGAACAGACCAAAATGCTTGCAAAGAATATAGGGCGCTGGATGGAGTTGAGTGTGCAAAATATGAGGACCGCATTCTGTGAAAAGTTTCAAACTCAGAAAAGGTTGTAGACTATGATTCTGGATGTTTCCAGGAGATTTGTTGGTCTATTTTTTGTATACCCCACTCCCTTAGATGTCAAGTAAATCGACTGCATAAGTGCTTTGGAACCACTTCAATGATTGTTTTAGCAACAATATACCTAATACCCAATACCTTCGGGTGTTCCTCAAGGCTCAATTTTGGACCCTGTTTGTTTTAATATACACCTTTGATTTATATAAAGTTGCAGGTAATTCAGAAATACAAACATTCGCTGATGACGCGCAAATAATTTATCATTTCGACACCACAGATATACAATATGTAGCACCCACTTTGCAAATAGATTTGGATAAAATACATCAATTTTCCGAAGATCATAATCTCGTTATAAATTCAAACGCAAATAATAATAATACTGTTTTGTTACGACCATAAAAGAAGGAACGTTGAAGACTATTTCCAATTATCTCTTGATGGCACAGTGCTACAACATACTCAAACAGCTAAGATACTGGGTGTTGAAGTTGATAGCAAGTTAAGATTCCGCAGCCATATAGCTAATTTAATGAAAAAAACATATATTTGCTCTAGAACCCTTTATTCTATTCAAGTTGAGAAAAAAACTCTGTGAATCATTTTTGATGTTAATACTTAGCTATTGTGATGTCGTTTATTACCAGTGTCTGGATCAGTTAACGAAAAACCGGCTTCACATCATTCAAAATAACTGCGTTCGCTTTATTTTCGGTCTGCGAAGATATGATCACATTAGTGAAAAATATAAAGAATTAAATTGGCTCAGGTTAGGTAGCCTAGTTAAATATAAGTACTTAGTTTTATTCATAAAATTCTCATAACATCGAAACCTGAATACCTGAGAGGTAAATTACTATTCAACTGTGAAGTGCATGACCGAGTTGTCAGAAATCGCTATAATATCAGAATCGCCCCATACAATTTTGCTTTATTCCAACGTGGTTTTTCATATAATGCAGCGTTATTCTATAATCACTTGGAAAAAAGCTTAAACTCAATGTCATTGCCGAGGTTCCACGAGCAAGTCAAAAGCGGGCTGCTCGCCATAGGCTAAGACTGTGCTGTGCCGTTATGGAATGTGATTATAGGTGTTTATGTTCTCTTTTTATATTACTAATTTTTCTTTGTACTGAACATCTAATGTAACCCACATAAGCAGTTAAGTCTAAGAGTAGCCTTGGCTAAACTTCGCTGCTTATGTCTCTCCTGCCCCAAACGTGTTGAACTTTTTTGGATTCGACAAACAAGTGCCATACCATCAACAGTATACATTTTTGGAGTATGTATATTTGTAAATTTAAAACGTTCTGCCGCGTATTTTATTTGGAGGTCTACCTGCTGGAGTTGCGGAATTTCTTGGTAGTCGCAGATAATCACGATAACAGTGTTTATGATACCTTACTGCCATTGCAAATAAATCGGCTGGATGTTAGCAAGTGTCAAGTATCATCTTGTTTTTTTCTGGCAGTATTTAAAATTTGTTCCGCCGCCGACGTTTCGGAGCACAAATAAGGTGTCTTGTTTTAATTTTTTGTTTGTTTACCACAGATTACACAATTCAGATCTTTAATACTAGTCTAATCATATTAGACGAAAATACCCCTGGTTTGCGAAATAATTGTAAAGTCTGGTTTTATTGCTGCAAGTTATTCAAATCATGGACGAATAAAATGTGTACACCAATTTTTGTGGGAAAACTATTCGACAACAAAGAATAAGAAAAGGTTTTTTTTGGGATTAAATCAAAAAAGTTGGCAGGAACGAAAAAACTCTTCATATAAGATTTTTAGGTATTTATGAGACTTACAAAATTAGACCACACGTAAAAAGATACGACTAATAGCAAAAAAGTGATGCAGGTTGGTAATGCGACGATGGTTTCTCGCAGATATTTGAAATTCTTCAAATTCGGAGGATTCGCACTTCTAAATAGCCACAACAAAATTGGAGTAGATTGGTCAAGTAGGTTTTGAGAATTTCTAATTGTTTATTCCCAATCACCTGTTTTGCGGTCATCACTACTAGTTCATTGAGCAATATACAGGGTTAGTTCAAAGAGCATTACTAGCTAAATGTTACTTTTATGCAAAAAAACAAATTGAAACATTTCGTATTTGTGAGTAATTCGCAACAAAAGATGATAGTCACATTCGCTTTGTTTTAAAATGTGTATAGTAATGTATGTTCTCCGAATATCGTAGCGTATTTGTTCAATTACTCACATTTTCGTAATGATTGAATTTGTTTAGAATAAAAAAACGTAGCCTTTGTTTTTAGCATAAAAATAACTTTTATCTTTCGGAATGGATTGTGATCACATCGGCGTGTATTTTGCTATTATATGCTCCTTGAACGAACCCTGTCAGGCAAGAGGCAGACACTCAAGAAAGCTGAACATCCAGAAGTGGAAGAAGCTGTGTACATATGGTTTCTTCCGGAGAGAAATAGGCATGCACCAATTTCAGGACCCATGTTGGCCATGAAAGCTAAGTTTTTTTCTAAGGAAATAACAAAAAAGATGATTTTGTGGCCAGCAAAGGATGGCTAGAACGTTTTAAAGGTCGTCATGGCATACGTTTAATGACTATTACAGGAGAGAAACTTTCTAACGATGCCACCTGCATAGAGCCTTTTAAATTAAGATTTTTGCAAAAGGTGAACGATTTAAATCTTGACCCGTTACAGGTGTACAATGCAGACTAATCAGGCCTTTTTTGGCGTGTGATGCCTAACAAAACTTTCGTTTCTTCTAACGAAAAATCCGTACCTGCACGAAAAGTAAGTAAAGAGCGTGTAACCATACTACCATGTGCTAACGCTTCGGGCACACATGCGCTTAAGATGATGGTCATTGGGAAATCTAATAAACCACGGACATCCAAAAACATTGATTTACCTGTACACTATTACGGACAAAAAAGTACATGGATGACAAAAGACCTTTTCAAAAAGTGGTTTGATGAATGCTTCGTACCTGAAGTTAGAAAATGGTTAAAAGATCATAATTTTCCTCAAAAAGCGTTGTTGCTTCTGTTGTTCTTGATAACGCTCCCGGTCATCCGTCTGAAGAAGAACTAACAACTGAGGATAAATTCATCACTGCGATGTTTCTTCCGCCAAATTGCACTGCATTGATTCAACCAATGGACCAGAATATCATTCAGTTTGTCAAGCAAGACTATAAGAAAAACCTACTTCTGAGAGCCGTATCAAAAGGCCAACCAATAGAAAAAACTTTAAAAGAATTTAATATGAAAGACTTGGTTTTTGTTCTTTGTCAGTCGTGGAATGCGTTACCGTCATCAACTATTAAATCGTCTTGGAAAAAGTTATGGCCAGATATAGTCACCACTCCTAGCAACGTTCCACAAATCAGTGTTACTTCGGAAATTATAGAACATGTCGCTACTGAAACAGATAAGTCCGGAAGATTTGGAAATCTGGTGCCGAGGAATGGATAAAGAGGAAAATGTTTTTCATGAAATGTATGACGAAGAGATTATAAAAAAGGTTTCTAATTATACAACAAACAATCAGGAAAATAACGTCGACGTGATTGCAACTGCTCCACAAGTCACAGCACAAGACGCAATTAACGCCTTTAAGCTAGGTTTACAATGGGCTGAAGAGAATGGTACATCCTACAACGAACTTTTACTTTTGAGAAGACAGAGGGACAAAGCTCTGATCTCGCGTTATAACAACCTTAAACAAAAACAAAAATTGATGAATATTTCCAAGCTTCATAATTTGATAAATTCATTAATGATTTTGATTAATAATTCTTGATTATTTTGGTACATATGTTTGTGCATTTATGCTTAATTTTATAATAAAACGTAAGCTCTCTATTGTTATATAATTTACTAAATTCGACATACATAAACTATGTATGATTTGTACTTCAAAGTACATACATATACATAACATATACAGGGTGTTTCAGTTTATTGTTTCATAACTTTAAGATTCGATAGAACTTTTAAAATTAATGCATAAAGTCTATATAAACATGGGTCTAAAAATGCGTGGCTTCCGAAATACAGGGTGTTTAAATTTACTTTCTAAAATAGTTTTTTTTAAATATTTCGAACAATATTTGATGTATAACATGAATTGGTATACAAGGGTTTTTTGGTACGACAAAATGAACCATGGGCATAGTTTTACTGTAGCCGCTAGAGGGCGCTCTCTACTGTACCTGTAGTGTATTAAATTGACTGAAAAAATTTTCTTAGTGCAATTTTTTGCTTTTTGAATAAAAAAACTGATTCGTCGCACTTTTCTGCATAAAAAAGCTTTCCTGTGAGTTTTCGTTATAGTTGGCCGTTTTTGAGATATTGCGATTTTCAAGGTTCGATGCATTTTTATTTTTATTTATGGGAAAATAATATTTTTTTTAAATTTTCGATTTGGGCATTACAAGTAATTAAGATGATCGTTTAGATTGTGTTTTTAAACACAGCAATAATTCCTAATTCCAAATAAACACAAAAAACAGAATATTAATTTGTTTAATTTTCCAATATTATTTTTAACAAATTATATTAATTATTTACAACTAAAATGCTATTGGATAGTTAGGACAAACATACAAAATCTAAAGTAGTTGCTCGAAATGTAAACCCAATTGTTCAATACACAATTCACATCTACGAATGATCGAACGTGGTATAGCATTATTCAAATAAGGCCTTATTTCATCACATGCATTCCTGATTCTGTCTATTAGCATATCTCTTGTGGTTACGGGAGTCTGGTACACTTTTTCTTTTAGAAATCCCCACACAAAGAAATCTAATGGATTTAGGTCAGGGGATCGTGGAGGCCAGGCGACTGGTCCTCCACGGCCGATCCATCTTTCTGGATAATTTTCGTCCAGCCAGTTTCTAACTATTCTCGAATAATGAGCTGGACAACCATCAAGCTGGAACCAGGCCAATCTTCTTAAATCTAACATAATATCGTCCCACATATTTGCATGTTCAGCCTTTAAAAATTCCAAGAAGGTCGCAGCATTTAACCTTGCAGGCAAAAGGTAGGGTCCAAGTAGTCGATTACGGTAGATACCATCCATACGTTCACACTAAATTCATGCTGAAAATTTCTTTCCCGAACTGCATGCGGATTTTCATGCGACCAAATATGTTGATTATGAAAATTGACCACTCCACGTCTAGTGAAGCATGACTCATCGGTCCATAAAACGTTACTTAAAAACTCCCTATTATTATCAGTTCTATCAAGAATCCACTGACAAAATGTGATTCCTCGTTCTCCGTCCCCTGGCTGTAGTCCTTGCCCAGGTTGCAAATGGTAAGGACGTCTATGGTCATTTCTAAGAACACGGTGAACATGGCTTGTTGAAATTTCCAAGGCACCAGAAACTCTCCTAACAGTTGTGGTCGGATCTCTATTTTCCATTATTTGGCGATGCACTCTTACAAATACTGAGCGAGTTGGATGTCGTCTGTTTGGAAATCTTCGTGCGTATTCTCTGGCTGCTTCTGCTGCGTTTCCATTTACAAAGCCATACACAAAATGAATATCCGCTAACTCTTGATTGGAGAATAAAAATGGCATTTTTATAAAACTTACAAAAAAAAAACAGGTAAAAGAAACTAAATTCCGTGCATTCACAATTGCAAAAAAAGGTTTCATGTTTCAACAGACAACAAAACTAACTGTCAACTAATTGACGTTTAACCTTATTCTGCTTTCAATTTCAAAAATATTTGCCGGCACAGCCTACTTCTAAAAATTATCGAGATACTGACTTTTTAACGTTATTTTATCATAATTAAAAATGCATCGAACCTTAAAAATCGAAATATCTCAAAAACGGCTACCTATAACGAAAATTTACAAGAGAGCTTTTTTATGTTGAAAAGTGCGAAGAATAGTTTTTTTTATTCAAAAAGCAAAAAATTGTACTGAGAAAAATTTTTCGGTCATTTTAATACACTACAGGTACAGTAGAGAGCGCCCTCTAGCGGCTACAGTAAAACTATGCCCATGGTCCATTTTGTCGTACCAAAAAACCCTTGTATACCAATTTTCACTGATATACATTAAATATTGTTCGAAATATTTAAAAAAACTATTTTAGAAAGTAAATTTAAACACCCTGTATTTCGGAAGCCACGCATTTTTCGACCCATGTTTATATACACTTTATGCATTAATTTTAAAAGTTCTATCGAATCTTAAAGTTATGCAACAATAAACTGAAACACCCTGTATAATCTTACCTTTGGATATGTAATTTGTCGGATTACAATGTACCCTTTTGTAAAAAATTCCGGACTATAGGGGGTCTTAGGCACTCCTCTATAATCCGACAAATTCGATAGTCCGACACTGCCCTGCATAATGTTTGTCGGATTACCGGAGGTCCACTGTACTTCACACACCTTTGAAACAACTTTTGATGAATGTTTCCACGTAGTTCAATGTTATAAAAAAATACGTAGGTTTTGTCAGCACCATGAGTGCCCAATTTGGGCTTTTCATGAAACAAAAATCCTCATATTACAGCAATGAGCGTGACCGCGTGCACGGTAGCCTCATTTCTTTGGAGCTCTGGTGTAAAATTCTTTGTCAACGTTTGATAACTGATTATGATAGCTTTTGGTACGTACATCAAAAAATAGCGATTTATTTACTGCTTTTTTTTCGTGATTACCATGACATATTTTCAACATCCAAAAAAAGAATATCTCATTTTCGAAATTTTTCGCGATTACATTACTTCCTCCCCAGTGGGCGTGCGAAGTTAAAAAATAATTATCAGCCAAAAAATTAATTATATCAACAGATCATCAGTACCGTAGCGAATTAGTTTTCAGCAGCTGGGCAAAATTTATACCAGGAGGCTATAGAACTGATAGACCACCGATAAAACAATTATCTTCATGTTAGTAGGAATTGTATACCTATAATAATAAAAACATGAATCGAATCTTGCTTTAATGCAAGTGGGTTAAGGTCGCAGCATACTCACAGTATAACATTTTTGTTAATACAAGCACTTACTCATAGGCATAGCAATTCCGTAGCTCTTCGTATCTAACCAACTCCCTACTTGTTTTAACTCACAATTTGTGGCAACCACATATTCGATTTGTGTAGACTCCATCAGAAAAGCATATAAACCGTTTCTGGTAGTTTTCACCCTGTTCACGCCGTCACTGTTATTTTTTTCAAAAACACTCGGTTTGAACTGCTGCATGTTAAGCCACATTCGTTGGTAGGTGGAAAAGTTTGAGTTCCTGAATGAAGAAGGATTTTTTTATTGTATGAAAGTACTTTCCTCCATTTTAGGGAAATTTAAAAGCAGTGGCAACCGCGCAGTACTGCAGTGGCCTGAATTGTGGATGTGTAAAAGGAGCAATTTTCGTCGGCATATAAGTGGAAAAGAAAGAAGATATATTTGATTTAGGTGTATCATTTAGCTTACCTAAAAAAGGATTCTGTCGATCCAGATTCTAGCAACCCATACTTGACTCTAGTTTGTTTTGACAGAGCTTCTGCACCGTCAATAGTTGGTTCCATGTTTGCTTTGGTTAGAAACGCGGCCAAGTTTGCTGTGTAAGAACTGGTCATGATCAGAGAGAAAAACCACCACATTGATACTGTCATTCTTGATGATATTCCCCTAAAAGAAACTTGATATAGGCCTTGATCTCATATACTATGGAATGTTCATCATATGGAATGTAGATACAAGGTGTTCCATTATAGAATAACAATCATGTACCTGCTCAACGATGACGTTTTGGCAAACTTGATCGTCAGGTGTGACGCGTGAATGATGTAGATGAGAAAAGGGTTCATCAAATTTTAAGAAATAGACTTTCTAAGTTTATTCCTTACACACTGTCCCAGGTTTCAAAAAAATTAACCGACTTTTTTAATCAACTCCAGAATGTTAATTAAACCGTTGAATGCCGGATACAATGATTTGAATTATTGCCTTTATTGTAATCACTATAAATGAAGCATTTAGAACAAACCCACTTAATAATTTCTTTTTCCTACGGCATCATCGAATCGGCAAAAAATTAGGGCTTTTTGTTGACTTATTTGAATATAACTTGAAATGCATCCCCTAAATCGCAGTATTTTTAATGCGAGCGTCAAGCGATCGCGCGTCATATGAACTTTTAGCCTTGAGCTGGACAAATATTCCTACCTACTGTTGTTTCGCATCGATAAAATAATCCACTTTCAAGAAAAGCACTCTTGTTTAAGAACAGTTCTATCAATTTCGGCACTAGGTTCAGTATACTGTATACTGGTTCCTCTATTTGAAAATATCTGATAATTAATATAAATATATTTTTTTGCGAAGATATCGCTTTCTATGAGTTTATTGCCATTTACGTTTATTGTGAATATTGTAGAGCAAAATTTATTTTTTCATACAATTAACCGTTTTTGAGATAAAGGGGAAACATGCAGTCATGTAGAAGCCACATAGAAGTATGTTGTACATATTATGTATGGTATAACTTTTCAAAAAATAGCTCAGCGTTTCTCACTCTCCGCCGTCTATCTTAAAAACGGTTTATTGTGTGGAAAAATCTTGAAACAAAAGTTGTATACGATTTTATTCTCTACAATATTAATTTATAACACAGCATTGAACCCATCGGAAGCGAGATCTTTGCAAAAAACTGATTTTGGTGACTTTTGATCTTTGACATCTTAAGACGCGGACACGAGATAAAGGTTTCTATGGATATGAATAAATTATAAGTAGCAGGACATATCCCAAACACGTTTAAAAAATGCCCGTATTTATCTTAGAGATATCGGTGGAAAAGCAGCCAAGAAACAGCTGATAAATGATAAACGTTCATAAGTAATATCATGAGGGCATCTAATTTTTCCAAAAGAAATCGAAAAACATGTTGCTAAGTGATATTTAAAAAAATATATTATTTTTCAATGTTTTTTCGATTTTTTTCACAGGACAATATTAGATGCCCGAAAATTTAACAAGACTATTTCAAGAGTAACAGATGAACTATTTAAAAACAATATTAAAAAATTTATTGACAATAAAATCAGAAAAATTGTTTAGCGTCTGTTGTACATCCTGGTACAATCAGCCCATATCACCCTGCTTATCAAGACATGTTGTCTTATGCGATACACGTTGAGATACCCTACCATTAAGCCACTATGAAACGAACGGTGTTTTCAATCATATCTAGAGTTTTCGATAAAGTAGGACTAATTTCTCCAATCATCATCACTTTTAAAAAAATTTTACAGCAACTTTGGCAACAGAATTTGGAGTGGGATGAACCCTTACCGAAACGTCTTCTAGATATTTGGCAGACCTGTTTGCGCAATTTGTTCTCAATAAACAATTTGAAGTTTCCACGTCTTACGTTGCTAGATGAATTCATCACAGTTGAATTACATTGTTTCTCTGATGCCTCGCAGGCGGCATATAGTGCGTGTATTTATTTCAACACAACGAATAACGCGGGTCGTTCATCAGTGAATCTGTTATGCGCCAAGTCTCGGGTAGCTCCATTGAAGGTCTTATCCATTCCACGATTGGAGCAGTCTTAGCCACAAAGCTTTGTGGAAAGGTTAAGCAAGCGTTAAGAAGAGATATCAGTCAAGGTTACTATTGGACGGATAGTACCATCGTCCTTGCTTGGGTAGCTACCTGCTCTAGTAAACAGCAAATCGAGTAGCTGAAATACAGCGCAAAACTGAAATCAAGCAATGGCGGTACGTTCCAACCGATTCCAACCCAGCAGATCTCGTATCAAGTGGGGTCACTCCACTCGAACTCACGAATGAATCAAGCTTATGGTGGAATGGACCAACATTTCTCAAGCAAGAATCAACTAGTTGGCCTACACGACCAGCAGTAGCTCATTCATTACCCGAACTCAAACACAGTCATTTTTGTCACGTAACTTTCACATTTAAAGATATTTTATCTTTTTTCTTCATTTCATCAGATCAAACGAGCAATTTCTTGGTGTTTCCGATTATTTAAAAATCAAAAACTGTCACCTGATCGGTGCAAGGTCGGTACTCTATCAAACGAAGAGCTTACTCGGTCAATGACATACATTGTCAAACTGGCCCAAAATGAAATGTTTCCTGAAGAAGTTGGTCGGCTAACCCAAGGCAAGCAAATTTCAAAAAATTCTGAGCGCCTACAGTCAGACCCATTTCGATTCCGATAGACGCATCTCCAAAGCCATCATCCCGTAAGAAGCGAAACATCAAATTATATTAAGTCAGAAACATGAACTAACAAAAATGATCATTATGGATGAACACTATCGGCACTTACATGCAGGAGTTCTGCAACTGCTCGGTTCATTGAATCAAATATACTGGATCATCCATGGCCGCCGAGTTATACAGAATGTTCTTTCTAAGTGCATCGTGTGTTTCCGAATTCGCTCAAATGTATGTCATACATTACACAGTGATAATGCAACAAATGTCAGCGGATCAAACAATGAACTTAGGTCAATCTATAAGCGACTTGAGCATTTTAGCCAGGATCCGGCCATTTCGAATTTTCTCAAAGAAAATTCAATCCATTGCAAGTTTATAGCTCCAAGATCCCCTCATCAAGGTGGTTGGTCTCTGGGAGGCTGCGGTCAAGAGAGCAAAATTTCATATCACTCGTATCATATGGAAAAGTATCTTGACATTTGAGGAACTCTCTACGCTTTTCTCTCTGGTTGAGGCGACAATAAATTAACGTCCACTCACACCTTTAAGCGATGATCCTTCTGACCTCAATGTCCTCACCTCAGGCCATTTCCTCATTGGTAGCCCTCTATTTACCATTCGTCAAGACAACTTTCAAGAGTTGCCAGACAATCGACTCATTCATTATCAGGCTATTCATCAGAAGTATCAGTTTTTCCTGGCCCAGATGGTCAAAGGACTACTTCACAACATTACAAACTCGTTACAAGTGGCAATCCGATACAAGCTCACAGTCACTAGCAGTAGGATCCATGGTGTTAGTCAACGATGATAACCTGCCACCTCTCTACTGGCGACTCGGACGAGTCACGCAACTCCACCCCGAGCTGTCCAGAAGTTATGCCTCCTCCCGATCGACCCATCTACTTCAAGTTGAAGGCCGTTGCTTCAAGGCCGCCGATATGTTGCACATTCCGGTACAATCAGCCCATATCACCCTGTACATGACCATCTACAACACCCTGTACACTCAATCCAAAGTGGCGCCAGCGTGTGCGCATGTGCAGACTGACATTCTGGTGCTTCGGAAATGCCAATCGATCGCGCGGTCGACCAGAGGTGAAAAAGACATTACTTACCTGTTGAATGTATCGCTTATACATTATATAAGTTTGTATCCATCCCAAACCCAATAAACGTTTCAAGGAAATAAAGTGTTATATGAGACATAACGAGCATACACAATAGCGTCGTTTTCTAGTGTCCTAGGAGACCATAATTACTTGTTATCAAAGGTATTGTAATTTTTGGTGCCAACAGTTGTCAGGTTTTGCCGCGGGTAAGTTGGAAAAATCTGCTGACAGGTGCTGTCATACAATTTTTCCATCTAGAAACCATTTGTAATTCAAAATTGCGCGTTTGTGATTGGTAGAAATTAAGACGAGGGAAGTAGTCAATTTAACCCTCTATTGCATGAATTTTGTTTTTTTGTTAAGATTTTTTTATTTCATGTTTTATGTATGTGAATGGTCATAGAAATAAGGCACAAACATTATTTTCAAAAAATTTATTCAGAACAAAAAAAAAATTGTGTTCCCAATTGGGAACATCATGCGTTTAAGGATACATACATATATTTCCAAAAGAGACAAAACCTTTCAATTACAATGGAATTCCTTAAAACAATTGTTGGTAGAATTGAAGCATAAGTGTACAGAAGCGTTTAAGCTCTTCAAACCTATTGATAGGCATCACATCTGCAATTTGAGGTATCCTAGTACCAGCAGCCCAGTGTCTCCTAGTGGAATGTTGTCTTACTAGAGACATCCATATGATTATTCCTAACAACTGCTCTATTTCTTTTATATCTGTGGTTATTGGTTTGTTAGGCCTTTTCTGTGCACTATACAAGCACGTTTGTTCTACAACTTGTGCAAGAAATTCATCCGTGAAGAAAAATTTGAAAAAACTGTATGCACCATGTATCTGTAAGATGTCTTCTGGAAGATCACTTTGACCAAGAAATGTATTTTCTTGAGGATCTCTCATAGTTGTTGACTGCTTCCAAGATATATTATCGTCAGTTTTTGAGAAGAAAAACCTGGTATTAGGTGGAAGGCGAAATAGTTGTGCTAGGGGAATATCATCTGGGTCTGAATCTGCATCTTGCAAGTCTTCCGTGCCCAAATCATTCGTTGATATTGGTATTTCCACTGTAAATAAAATGAATATAAACTAATGTTGCCCGAGAAGCATTTTTTATCTCACCTTGATCCTCGTCATGTGATAGTTCCGAATCCTCGCTGTCAGATGGAATACCGCGAATAAACTGAACTTCAACCCTTTTACGCCCATACAATGCACCTGGTTTTATTTCAGGGAAATCCATTGTCGTTTGGATCTATAATAGAAAATGCTATTTAGTAAAGAATGGAAGACAAACTATTTCCGTTATTGACCTTGGATGCATAATGTTCCCGAGCGGGAACATTAGGGTTATGTTACCTCGTGGCAACAAATATCATCAAAATTAATTACATTTTGTACAGTATTATTCAAACAATAATAATTAGTAATAAAAAAAATAAAACACTCACCTAAATGCAGCAAAAGAGCTATTTCTTGTAATAAAAGTGAGATAACAATCTGGAACGGCCGCTTGCGACGCTGTCAAATCAAATGCAAACCATGAGGTGCTCCTAGCAACATCTATCGGTTGAAAAACTATACGGAACGGTGCTCAATGCCTCAAGTTTGGATCTTACGCATTAAATGGGGATCTAAACGTTAGATGACGACACTAGACAAGCTAAAAATATAATGTTCCCGTTTGGGAACCATATGCAATAGAGGGTTAAAAACGTTTGGCAAAGGGATATCGATGATAGATCAGACAAAAACCTTTTAATTTGAAGTTATGGTGACTGCAAGTAGTTAGGGTAATTTCTAGAATTTGGTAGCCTTGTTTTTAGAGCCACATTGCCTGATCTACTATCCAAATAGATTATAGATCTACCCGATCAATGGCCTTTTGCTTAAGAAAGGATTTCAATACCCATACGAAAAAAAATAACAAACATATGAAATAGATACAGATGTATAGATTGTATTTTCTCAATTGATATATTTTTTGGAAAAACGGTTTTATAACGCCAGTTTTGAATATCCCCAATACTTATCCATCTCTTCACGTGCTGACACCTTACAATCTTGCCTGAATGCTAACATTTCTCCCGCCTAAACGCCCCAGTCTGCCATTTGTTTCGAGAACATGATATTCAGGATCCTAATTGAATGTTAATATTTAAGGGTGCGATTTTTGGGTTCATTTTAGGAAGGAATGTTCATATGATCGTCCTAAACGTTCTGACTTTTGAGATACCGGGTGGTAACTTTTCAATATAGAAAATCACTGGCACGCCACCGACCAAAGAAATGAATATTTATTTGTCAGATTTTATTTCTTGGATTCTTTAGTTCGATACATAGTTTTCACCTAAAAAATGTAATTTATTTTAAATGGTGGGCCATCAGTTGTTTTTTTTTAATTTGGGATTAATTTGACAGTTGCTCAAAATATTGACAGATATATTGTGTCAAACTTCCGCTGTGAGCAATGGATCGTTTTAATCTTGAACAAAGGCGGGAAATATTGAAAAAATATTGTTGAAGTGAGCGCTGTATTGCAGAAACTTTGCGATAATTGAGAAGACTATTTGGTCGGAATGAAGCTCCGTCCGCGACTGGTATACGAAAATTCGCGAAGCAGGTTCGTGAAACTGGCCTGCTTGTGGATAAGAGAAGGTATGAGCGTGTTCAACGCGTACGTACAGCCGAAAAGATTGCTGCTGTTGCTCAGGGTGTGCGTGAAAACGCAAGAATGTCAACTCGTGACTGAACACAACAAGTGGGTATAAGTCGCACTCCTGTGCGGAGAATATTATATAACTACCTGGGATTATTTCCTTACAAGGAGCGACTTGTGCAAGACTTGAAACTAAATGACCATCCGCTTCGATATCGTTTCTCTGTGTGGGCTGTAAATCAATTGGAAATGGACGTCAAGTTTGGTCGACAAATCATCTTTTCGGACGAAGCCCATTTCCATCTGGGAGGTTACGTTAACAAGCAGAACTGTAGGGTTTGAGGTTCTGAAAATCCACATGACATAGAAAAACCAAAAAGAGTAACTGTTTCGTGTGGCTTTTGGAGTGGTGGGATTATTGGTCCCTACTTTTTTCAAGATGAAGATGGTAACAGCGTGACGGTAAACGGGAAACACTATAGACAGATTGCGCAAGAACGCCACTGGTTGAAATTTAAAAAATTGGTTCATTCAAGATTTCTCTTGTTATATAGAGCACATTTACTTACTCCAAATTTCATTAAAGTATCCGCTACCGGCAGGCAGCTATAGCTGGCATCCGTGGCGTCGCCTGTTGATGCCTCGTAAACACGAACATGAGACATGTGACATGAATGCCATAATTCGTTGAAAAATTTAAAGTAGTATTTACAGATATTAATAATAACCGATTCATTTTTGAAAACTTGACTACCCTGTATCTAAAACGTAAAGATGTTAAGGACATACGTTCATATGAAGTTTTCACCAAAATAGACCCACAATTCGCCCCCATAAACTTTGACAATCAATTAAGAAAAACTGTATCGTGGGGTAAAAATTAACTTGCTAGACGTAACCCATCCACTGCTGTTCAATTGTTACAAGTGCATTATTTGCTCTCAGATGCGCTGCTTAAGCCATGTACAGATATGTAACAACACCGCGAACCGAACCTTGCGACGAACCGCAGCGCGAGCATTTTGACGCACAACATTGCAACGAGCATCACCACAAACCGAACCACATCGCGCAACAAAATGACGATCCAATGTTGATGTATGCCGTTCAGTGAGAGACGAATACTAACTGAAATGGATATAGCAGTAACAGCAGCCAGCAGCTGCCTATATTTATATTCACTATGAATTATCCAAAAACAAGTGATGACGACGTCCGAGATGATGGTGGCAAACGCAGTTAATATACCAATAGATCAGCACACGATTTCAATTTGATAGCGGAATTGCCATTTTCCGTTTACATAAGCCAGCTGTTGTTCCCATTGTGGACGCTATCTGCTCCCAGGCATCATTTTTTAATTTATTGTATTGGAGGGTATGTTTTGCATCTTACAACAATTCCGCTGCTCTGTAATGCTCTATAAACAAAAGAGTTTTCTCCTCCGAACATTCCATCTTTTCTTCACGGGGTCTATCCATTTACAGAGATTAGTGATGTCAGATATTTCACGAACTGTGATCCAGTAACTGATATCTTGGAATCACGGATAAGGGCTGTTACTGAATGTCGTGAAAAAGCGTGACATGATCACGACTTCGCAAAGCGCGCTGCCGAGCCAACATCCGCCCGGCACCCGCGTCGCCGAAGATGAAGTGGGATGGGATCACGATCACGCATCACGGTTCACGGTATCAACGTTCACGGCACTGTTTGAATTTTGAATATGCAAGCCGTTCGCATGCGTCGCGCGTGGCGCATGCGGGCTGCCGTGAGGTCGAAAATCGTAAGCCGCCGCATGGCCTGTAAGCGATATTGAACATTGTAACAGTACAGCGTAAGGGGCAGTGTAAACCAAAACAAGCTGGATTTTAGGTTACTTTGACATTATTTTCGCCTGCAGATCAAAACGTGATACCATGGCGCCAATCTTGAGAAAAAAATCAAGCGAATTGTGGCAATTTTTTCAGCCGATTGACGAAAGCTTTGCAATATGTAATATGTGCAAGTGCAAATTTTCGTACAAAACTAGTACCAGCAATTTGAAAAAACACATAAACAAAAGACATCCCACCATTACCCTGAAATCAACAATCACCGCTAGTGAGAGTGATACACATATATATCGCAGTAAGGTAAGTGAATATATTTTAGACTTTGTTTTCAGCCCTACATTATGGAGTGATTTTAATCTCTAAGAGTTCTGTTTTGGTACTATAATATTCCAATAATTTTCATGGATTTTTCATAGCTTATTATTTGAAGTCTGTCATCATTAATTATTTATAGGTATCAAAATCAACGTTTGTGGAATACTACATATAAATACACAACGGGGATTTGAATCCTTTCTTTTATTTTTTTTCAGACAGATAATGGAGAATCTATGGAGAGTGCTGTTGACAATCACCCATCTACCTCCAAGCAAACTCAGATAGCATGCCAAGCAAATGCTCTAATTAGAATCACTCAAACGAAAGTTGATAGTTTTTCAAACATATTGCAAACAAAAATTAGTGCCAGACAGAAAAATAAAATTGACAGGAAGTTACTTTATCTTTGCGTGAAAGATCTTCAGCCATTCTCTATAGTTGCTGATACTGGCTTCAGGGAATTCGTTGCAGCCCTCAATCCATCATATCAATTGCCAGAAAGGCGCATCATTTCAAAAACATTAATTCCGGCACTTTATGAAGAATGCTTGACCAACACAAAAAACCTGATCTCAACTGGAAAAACATTTTGTGTCACAACTGATGGTTGGACTTCCACAAATAACACCAACACTAGCTATGTTGCTGTAACTGCACATTTTTTAAACAAGGAGTTTAATTTGATATCGGTTCTCCTTGAGTGTTCTGCATTTGAAAAAGGTCATACAGCTGAGAATCTAGCTGCATTTCTCCTAAAAGCAGCCACTAAGTGGGATATACAAGACAAGATAGTTTTTGCTGTATCGGATAATGCAGCAAACATACAAAAAGCTTTACAGCTAGTGAAATGGAAAAATATGGGATGCGTTGCACACACGCTCAACCTTATAGTCAAGGATGGATTAAAAAACGAAAGGATCACATTGATTTTAGAAAAAGTTCGAGAAATAGTACGCTACTTCAAGAAAAGTACAATTTCGAACAACAAACTCCTGAGGTATCAAGAAAACACGGGAATCGAAACTCCTCTTAAAGTAATTCTTGACGTGGCTACTCGTTGGAATTCAACTTACTATATGTTAGAGAGGTTTATTCGGCTAGAAGAAGCCATTAAGAGCACTGTTGCTATTATTGACAAGGAACTACCTGTGATAAATGTAGAGGAATGGAACATTATCAAAGAACTATGTCTTGTGCTGAAACCATTCGAAGATGCGTCTAGAGCTCTATCTGGAGATACATATTGCACCACTTCCCTTGTGATACCCATCTGTTCCGGCTTACAAAACGTATTTGTGAAATTGGTGAATCAGAAGCGGTTCACAGCAACAGTCAACAATGTGGTTGAAGTTTGGTACTCAGGCTTACAGGAACGCCTTGGTAATATTCAAAGGAGTGGTACCTTATCTAATAGCACGTTTCTTGATCCTAAATTCAAGGATATTGCGTTCTTTGACAAAACTGCTGCTGAAAACACGAAAAAAAGATTGATAGAACTAATAGCAAGGAAAATACGAGAAGACAATTCTGAGCTTGGAAATCACGTAACTGAAAGCTTAGTTAATGAGAGCAAATCGTCATTGAATCAAGAGGAAGATGGAGAACTGTCGATTTGGGGAAACTTCGATAAAATCGTTGCGAGTGCTCAACCAAAGGGAACATTCACTTCTCGTGCAATTATCGAAATGCAGAGATACTTGGAAGAGGAAATCATCCCTCGAACAAGCAACTCCTTTCTCTGGTGGAGAGAACACAGACAAATGCTCCCATATCTATCCAAAATTGCACAGGAACAACTGTGTAACTTAGCTACTTCAGTTCCCTGTGAAAGGCTGTTTTCGAAAGCTGGGCAAGTTATAAGCGACAGGCGAACTAGGTTGAGCACCAAAAATGTTGAAATGTTATTATTTCTCAACTCTAACATGAAGTACATGGCAGACATTTAGTTATTGCTTTTACTATTCTATAGTATGATAGAACATTCTATTTATTTTTGTTGGCTTTTGAGACTTTATATATATAGTACTAGAATACCATTTATATATTTATTTTTGTGGAATCTCGTATTCTTTATTTTTGTTTGGTTATCGTACTCGAATGTATTTTGTCATAGTAATATATTCAACAAGTTTTCATTTCAGAAGACTATTATTATACATATGTACCTAGTATCTACATATTTCAAACGCAAACTTAAGTGTTTGATGCTACTTTATCACAGTGAGCTCAGGGTATCAGTTAAGTCATACCCTACTCGTTATTCGAAAGTCGTGATCACGTCACGCTTTTGAATCACTGATATCAAAAAGTCACGATCACGGATATCACCGATATCCAGAAATCACGATATCAGCCACCTCTAACAGAGATGAGCGCGTGCTCGCCGCACCGGTATGCATGTCCAAACATGTGCAACTTCGTCGCGAGCCATTCGTTTGATGTTGCGCTGAAAAACCGACAGAGCCTGGATCGGGTCGAACGGCGAGCTGTAACGCTAATTAGGTTCGTGACGGCGCGGCGTTCTTTTCACCGTCTACACTAGTGCGGCCGGCGGCGCGGTTCGTCGCGTGGTTCGATTCGCGGTGTTGTCATGCCGGCTGTACACGCTCGCCGAGGCTATCCGAGATGAGACGAGCGCGAGAGTGTACTTACTATTCCCGCCTCGCCCTAGACACTCTCGCCTCGCCCTCGGAGCGCTCGGTGTAGAAGCGGTCTCCCAGTGCGAGTCAAAGGAACCGAGAGCGTGGACATGGTATATTCGGGCGACCTCGGCACACGCTGGTCTCTTGTTGAACAGTGGAATTTGTGGCGTGATTAGTTTTCGTTTGCGGCTATATTGGTTGACATTGTTTATTTTTAAAATGGAGTGGGCAAATGATTTTACTATCAAGTTTTTGGAATTTTATCAGAGCGAACCTTGTTTGTGGGATCCCTCTGACGAAAATCATAAAAGAAAGGAGAAATTAGCTGACGCCTGGAATCGAATCTCTGAATCTACAGGCAAATCTGTGGCAGAATTAAAGAAGAAAAAAGATTCTTTAATGGCCACTTTCCGGGGTCACTTAAGAAGGAAAAAGGCGTCCATTAGGAGCGGTGCTGGGGGCGATGATATTTACAAGCCTATATGGTTTGCATACAGCTTTATGGAAACTTTTCTTGGTCAAATATATGACTGCCACCCTACCATAAACAGTCAAGACACGGTAAGTACATTCAATAAAATAACTATTACTTATTACTTGTCATACAATATTTTATTTTTCTTAAATTCACAAAATATTCAGTGAAATTATCTCTAATCTTAGTCGCACTAATCGGTGATCGACGAGCAATATGTGGTACACATCGAATAGCACAGTTTTGAGGTACTTCTTGCCTCCAAGCCCCTTCAATAAAAACGCCGTTATCATATTTATCAAGAGTGCCCGACGGGTTATAAATGTTTTTTGAACTAGAACTTTTCATAAGAAAATTGTGTAGAAGTACACATGTCATTGTTAACTGCGTCACTTTTTCGGGCATCAATTCGATTGGCTTTTTGAAAAATCGGAATCTGGAAGTTAATATTCCAAAAGTATTTTCAGACAATACACGAGACCTTGACAATGTTTCATTGAAAATACGTTTGGGAGTATTCAATTTATGATCGCCAGGATATGGCTTCATTAAGTTCTCGCTTAATGCAAAAGCACCATCTCCCAAGAAAACATATGGTAAATCGACGTTTAATCCGGGTAAGGGGCAAGGTGGAGGAAAATTCATCTTATTTTCACAAATATTTTTCCATAACACACTATTTCTAAGTATGCCGCCATCACTGATTCTTCCTTGGCTTCCAATGTCACAAAATATAAATCGATATTTACTGTCTACTACAGCTAGAAGAACAATACTAAAGGTTCTTTTGTAATTGTAATATTCTGATCCAGTGTGATCAGGACATTTGGTTACAACATGTTTTCCGTCGATTGCTCCAATGGCGTGGGGAAAATTATCTCTAAATCCTTTTTCAATTTCTATCCACTCATCTGTAGTTGACGGCATCTGCAAAAAGATAAGAAATTACATTTATTGTTAATATTGTTAATATGTAATAAAATGTATTTATTTTTCAGATTTCTCTTGATAACGAAACCCTCGAGCCCACATCTCAAGAATCAGAATCAGAAATCAATGAAGTAGTGAATGTTGTACCCTCAGCTAAGTCTCAGCAAGCAGCACTTGTAGCCAAACCTCACCGACCAACACCCTTACCAATCTCTCAGCAAAGATATCGTCGTCGCCAAGTTCCTACGGAATTGCTTCAAGCAGAAAGTGAAATGAAGGAAGCCTTCTCATGGGTGAAGAATGTTGTGTCCAGAAATGATGAAAAAGAAGACGAGTGCGATTTATACGGTAGAATGTTGGCGAAAAAACTACGAAAAATTCCGGAATTTCAAAGAGAATACTTGATGCATGGTATTAACGAAATGGTCCTCAGGGCAATGCATCCATCTCATGGTTCTGTCGCCACGCCATCCTGTTTCAAATGGACCACCTTCGAACTCATCGCTAATTTCCTTATTCTCGACCTACATCTGCAAACAGCAATAACTGTTCCTATGCTTCATCACAGGGTATCAACGAGCATGCCCAGGACCAAATCGAAGAACACATACAGGAATCTGATCCTATCAGCCAAGCACTGTATATGACCTTTGGAGGAAAAACAGACACCAACTCGAAAACTACTCATTTCAACATGTAGATGTAAACATTTTATAATAAAACTGTAGCTCTATAAATGCAAATGAATCTATTTACCTTAATTTCATCTTTCAAAGCCTCATTCAGTGCTGCACAGACCTCCGGAACAATCCGCGATATTATTTCACTTGAAACTTTAAATAAATAATGTAGGCTCTTGAAACTGTCGCCTGTGGCTAAATATCTCAAAGTAATTGCTAGCCGTATTTTTGGAGTTATTGCCTGTCTCATTGAAGTATCTTTTTTGGAAATCATTGGTGAGACTATATTTAAAAGATACTCAAAATCAGCTAGAGACATTCGAGTAAAATTTTCAAATTCACCACCAGGTTCCATTAACAATTCGCTCAACTGTCTGTCCATGTGTTCCCTATACGAAAATAAAAAATCAAATCAAACACAAAACACTTTATAAAATCTAATCAAATTACGTAATAATGTCAGTATATACCTACCTCGTTCTATTTCGATTGATTGATTTCACCCACCATCTTCTTTTCTTCCAAGGCTTCTTGATTTTTGAAGTTGATATAATATGCACAAATTTATAGTAACAATAAGCAGCATAGGCTACAGCTACACAAATTTCCACGTTCTTGGCCATCACTCGCACGAATCTACACAAGGAGCCGGTTCGATGTTTACTGCGAGAGTATACACGGTGTCCTCGTGCCTCGGGGCGCCTCGCATCGGGGAGTCTCGCATTCGGATGGCTTCGACGAGCGTGTACTGCCAGCATTACATATCTGTACATGGCTTTAGGAGTTTAAGCATGCAGTCGTCCCCTCCCCTTTCTTCAATTTTTAATCGCCGATGCACTCCCTCTCCCCGGAGTCGAACAGCTTTATGAATATGAATACTGCGATCACCACTAAGCCTCTAAATAGGTTCTGGAAAGCTTCTAAAGCACTTACTTTGGAAGTATGTCACAACCTTGTGTCATTATAGAACCTAAAGTGAGCCACAGACAGTTTTTGATGTCCCATATGTTTTCTAGCTCTTCAGGATTTTCCTCACAAGGGTGTGGGTTTTCCCAGTCACCTGGTGTCATCCTTAAAAGAAACAAAATTATCAAAAATGAGGAATCAGTTTGGAAATATTATATCACCTAGATATGAAATAAAGTACGATAGACATGATGAGGTATAAGGTAGCTGTGTAGATCCAAACTCCTACTGAAAATGGATCTAAAAAGGCGAACATGTTGATATCCTTTTTGTCTTGCTTTTTGTGTAGAATGCTGATACCTGAAAAATATGGTCATCATGGTTATAATACCGCTTTCGACAACTGGGAAGCAAATAGTAGAGACTGAAGAGAGTCGCTCAATCTTTTGAATAAGGCCTGTATCATCAGTCGTTCCTACAATTGTATTACGCCTTTATGGCCTCCTTGATTATCATAATCTTTTCTCTCCTTCAAAAATTTCGAGATTGTACCTATTCCCTGTCAGCGTCAGCGCTCTCCTATTGTGAAGTTATGTTCTCTTTTTGAATTGTAGGAAATCTCACGCTGATAAAACATGATATAAATCAAAAGCATGAACAATTTGATTCAAATAGATATTTGTGATATAACCTCAAAATAGAGCGCTGACACGGAAAAGTACAAAACTATGAAAATCAAGGAGGTCATAATTGTATGAACGACATGATACGGTCCTAAGATTCTGACACTTTTCGACATTTGGGCGTCATAAGAGTAGGAAAAGATTATATCTGTTTCAGGTGCTGCAAGAAGATAAAACAGATATAACATCATTCCACTTACTGGGCAAGTCACTCGGATAGCAACAACTTTGAAATGATATTCTCTGTGTTGTTAATCCAAAAGTGAAATTGAAAAATTAAATTTTGTATTAAATTCCACGGGGTTATCACAACCTAAGCATGAGGTGAGCTGCTTGATCTAAGAGGTGCGTGTTCGTGATATAGCTTCTTTGGTGTAGGGTGACAATAACTAGGCCTTTAGATCTTTTTTCTATTCCACGCACCACTAGGTCATCAGGCAGCTCGTAAGTGCATATGCTCTAAAGCAAATCGTCCCGCCATCAGCGTTTCTTGTTCGCAAGTTCGCCATTTCGAGTATACGACACCCACGGTTTAAAATGCTTATTGTTCTGTAACCTCGTAGGGTCCAATACAACTACTGGACTCCGAGACAGTTAGATGAAAAGTAGTTATATCTCTTTCTGGATGTTGTCGGAGTAATTTGGAGAATACGCACTCTGGAGTGCTAATATCGAATTATAATCGCAAACACCCTTTGGTGACAGCTTCGAACGAGGACCCTTCGTACCTAGTATTTATACACCCCTAAAATCAATACAGTGTATCATGTAAGCTGGTTCTTAAATACAGATAGATGGCGCATTATAGTCAGAAGGATTGTGATTGTTTTACTTTTTACTTCTCTAGCCATACGCGAGCAAGCGAGGACGTATTCGCGAAATATTTCGAACTTACTGGCCTAAATAACGATTGGCTTATTTGTGATAACCTAAATAAGTACAATGGAATTAGAGATATTGCACGTGTACCGTATTTTGACAGTTCGCTTTGGCCGTGTTTATAATTTTAACTTAACCTCACTTCCAGTTTTGGTTTCGGGTATAATTGAAATTTTACCAAAGGTGGGAAATTGTAAAATGGAAGCTGAATTGGAAATAGTCATATTAGCAGGGGCGGAGGAATATATCTTCCCCTTTATGACATACCGGTGTATCCAACAATTTATAAATTTTACAGGAGAGCGAAAAAACTAAAACGTCCCAAGATAATTTTGCTGTAGCGTTGCTGTACAAATTTTGATTTGTTCACAACTTTGACTTAATAATTTAAAAGACTGGAGAGTTCAGATGGAATATTCGATGTGATAAAATAGCTATAAAGTTTTTTGGTTTTTTACATATAAGTCAGTTACGTACTCATTGCATGCAACGTATTTTTTTTAAATGAATTTGGTCTAACAAGCAAAATCAAATAAACCTAAACCTTTATAACGATACTGGGTAAATGTAATGAAACACACACAATTTCTTTTACACCATCATGTAATCGTCTTATAATTATTAAAGGGAAAACAAAGTTGGTCATCATAATCATGGTTGGTAGATTCCTATAATAAGTTTTAAATCCTGCATCTTTAACTACAATGGTAGCCTCCACTGCATAATGCCACGAGATTATTGTATTTTTGAAGACTCCTTTGAAGCTTTGCAATTTTCTTGTTATTTGTTATTCTTCTCCCTATACCTTCCTCGCTTTCTGACCGATCTAGCTCGCAGGATTCTGGTAATAGCAGTGTAGCCATTGCTAGTATTTCTTTGACTTTTCCGTGATCACGACCATTTGTTATATCTTCATTCAGGTGTAAAAAGCAAACTAAGATTTCACATCGAGGACAGGCAGCAAATATTTCCTCTTTACATAACTTTATTTCGCACGTGCAAAAAGGAGGATCAGTATCAGAGTCCTATTCTGCATCTTCATTTTCACTTATCTCGTTATCATTTCGTGGTAAATGGTATCCACATGATATGATATGGCATCGTTGTCTTTAATTGGTTTTTGCAGAAAATCTCTGAAACGAGCCACTGGTCTGTCAACATCGAATTTGGATTCATGTGAATCACAGTACTTGTCTCTATACTTCGACAATGGTATCTCGATACATATAATTCATTTGGCTCTTCTATCGCTATAACCTTGCCCCGCTCTTCTGCCGCTATAACCTTGTCCGTATACCACTGGTTTTCATACAGCATTTCCACTGTACGTCCAAGCTTAATTCGCTTACTTTTATGTGTCTTCAAGTCTCTCGAACACACGATGTGCCATCACAAGTGCATCGATTAAAAAAATACACTTATTTACTCTCAGATCAAAACAAACATCAAAACAATACAACCACGTGTAAATGAATATTTTGAGGTTATGCATCATGTAGCCGCAATGATAATAAAGCTGATTTGTAGATACGCCACAAACTTTAAAATCAATTTGGAACTCGGCATACATGACAGAGCGACATATGTGTTCTTACGCCTGTATGCCATGCATTAAAGAGCATTTTTTCAAATACGTCAAATCGTTAATCGTGTTATTTGGAAAATATAGCACGAATACAGGTAAGTCGGTTTGTTATATGAAAGGCGCACTAAAGTTATACTGACTGAATTATATCTGACGGCGTAACTCGATTTTTTGACATATACGCCGGTATGCCGTATACCCTATTTCACGAATATCAATCACGGTACAATGGCAGCTGGCTATCTAGTAATATTTTAAAACTCCCCATATCGACAAAGGACACATAATTGTGACGGATCCGTTATTGCCAGGTGGACAGAGCCATATTTTATTTTGTTTTTTTTTGTACATTACAGATTCAGTTTGTACTTATACTTAGAAAAGCTCATTTGCATACAAAAAACAAAACGCTACAAAAAAATTTTTTTGAAGCCAAAGCTGTCAAACGATAGATGCGAAAAATATTTGATGGAAAGGTAAGCTATTTTTGACGTCTTTTGATGCAAACAGCTGATCAGCAATTTAAATTTTTCTCTGTTCACAACCATAGCTATTACGAGCATAACCTCAAGCCTAACTAGCGCTGTCTACTTCCAGCTTTACAGATTACCCCATTCTTAATCATCGCATCAACCTTCCACGGAAGGATCACCCCTCACACTTCCTCGTAATTATTCCTAAGAGTTCATATCCTCAGAACTCCTCAAGAATGAGAAAGGAAATTCCATAACCTTGAGCAACAGTCCAAGAGATGGCAACCGCTTACCCCGCTTATATTGTTGTAAGCGCAAGTAGTTGGAACGTTGCCAGCTCTATAGCAAATAAGCCTGTTTTCATGCAAGCACGGCTTCCAACTCAGTCGGTTATCTTGTGGTGTAATATTTTAATCAATTCCAAAAATGAAAAATACGTACCTAGAGTCATGAAAGGCATACTGAAGTCTGCTACCTCTCTTCTTTCATGAGTAATTGTCAAATCGCATATAGCAAGATGTGCTTTCTGAAATAGAAAAAATGGCATCAAGCAGATTGACTCCGCACTGCTACGCAACGCAACGCAACGCATAAAGGATAAAGCGCAATTTTAGGCCCTCTGAGAAAAAAAGATCAGTTACGAACATGTACGTGTATGAAATTAAACGGATCAAGTCAGTCAAACAGGCTCATATAATTAGTCCAGACATTCCTTCCTTGTTCTACCGGTAGTTACCGTCTATCTGGCAACGTTGCACCTTCCCATATTTGCGTAGTTGCGCCCACATTGGCACTGCTGCAGTACACTCAGCCAGACCGGTACGCCGGGCGGTGAGCTTAGATAGCAGAAAGAAAGGTTAATCGAAAACATGTATTTATCATTTACCTCAATTTTTAAAAGCAAACGTACGGGGAAATCTATAATGTGTGAAATATGGCTAATAGGTGCGTAGAATTGCTGTGGTTGGGAGCGTATGCATATATTGGAATAAATAAAAATTGATACTGTCTTTCCCATCCCGTACAACTCCCAACCCCCAATTTTTAATCTCTACAAACATTTTTCTGGTATTGATCCCTAGTCTCCGAAACGTCAAAAGACGAAAATTGGGCGATTTTTATTGTTTACCCCAAGCTCCGCCGCCACTAAATCGATTTTCAAACACCTCAAATCTTTTTGGACCTTGGCATAGTACATAGAAATCCAAGTGGTACTTCCCAAGATATAGCGGGGCAAGTATGTCTGTCAATACAGATACGGACAGACAGACATGGTTTTCCGTCAGGTACATGTCGTATAAAAAACAAAGAACAAAATATCTCATTTTTAGGAAGTGAAAAGTATTTAAGATTCGTATGTACATGTTAAAAAAAATCTAAATATTTCAAGCATCATAGGATATGTAAATTAGCAAGACAACCTCGATTTCAAATCCGAGTACATGATAGTTCCTTGGGGAATCATTATGAGGACTCCTTACTACCGAGTCTCTTAAGAGTTACAGAAGAGTTATGAAATAACATATATAGATAAGAACTAAACTTGGTAGTCCCTCGCGTTCCTTAAGAAAAGTGATGAAATAAGGAACTCTAGAAGATAACTAACATGCAAAGCAATAAGGAGGCCTCAAACCAAACAACGCCAACGTCTCCTTTTCCTTTGAGAAAGATATTTGAAAAGTCTTTGAATAAAGAGATCTTAAGCGGAATAATAGAGGGTTTTTAGTGCTCTTGTTTTGTTCCTTCGTCATGATCTGCCTTATTGCGATTTGCGCAGATGCGAGAAAATCCTTCGTTATCTAAATTAAAAGCTCCGTTAGTTACGGAGGATAGGGGACGGTTTATTTCGCAAGGTTATTTTTTCTTTATACAGCGCTTTTGCTGGAATTCGTAAAGCTGGGAAGTTCAATTATAATAATTTCATGTTAGCAATACATATTGATTGAAATTTAATAGGAATATGCATTTTAGAACACCGATGAAAATAAATGCAAAGAATAGAATAGAAAACGAACTAAATTATGCCGATTTTTGTGATCTATGCGATGTGGCAAGCTAGCTTTTATTTGAGTTCCGCTGGTTTTGAGGTCACTTGTCGTTCTGAGCTTCTATGAATCCAGACCTATTCATTTCTTGACAAAAACTTTTCTACGAAAAATTAAACAAAAAATACAAGACGTCAACATTTTTAGGTTAGCTTCATATCAAGATAGAAAAATAAGTAGCCTTATTATTTGCTATCGCTGTCAAACTATCATAGCGGAAGGACTAACGATTACATTTTTTTTATACCGAAGCAGCAGCGAAGGCAGAAGCCTAAATGCCGAGACACCGCGGCTGCTATCATGATCCAAAAGAAATTTTGTTGATCCGATTTTTGAACTGTCTAAGGTTAGTAGAACTGGGAAAAGCTTTATTATTCCACAATCTCGATACTCTCGGGACAAAGGAGCGGTCGTATCGGCCAGTTCTGGATATACGAAGTTCGACCCGGTTAGGATGGGAGGCCAAAGTCAGGAGGGTGCAGGCACATAGCGCGGCGGCATCGTGGAAGAGAGCTCTGATGAACAAAGCCCATTGGTGTAGCGGTAGAAGAGAGCTAGATCGCCGACGGTCCGCCGATGCGAAAGGGTGCCGAGACTGTCTGTTAGAGAAGAGTCATCGATCAGTCGGATAGCCCACCTCTGGACAGCATCGAGCATAAATAATGTAGTCGGGGCGGCAGCACTCCAAACGTGTGATCAATACTCGAGGCTAGGCCTTATATGGGCCTTGTCTAGAGTGAGAAGGTCATGCGGAAAGAAGTACTTCTTAGCCCTAAACAAATAGCCTAGCTTTTTTTCAGCAGCTGCCGCTATTGACGGTGATCTGGACTCCGACTAGCCAAAATGAATGGCTCTTTGGCAGAACTCGGCCATCCATCGAAACCGGATGAGCACTAGGATGCTACTGTTCGTCAAGGTACAGTACTTTGTTTTGGAAGCATTAAACTGTACAAGATTGTCGCGTCCCCAAGTAGTGATAACCTCCAGGTCTCTCGTCAGAGATGAAGTCATCGCTAGTCTTCTTTTTTCCAGCTCAGCGGCAGAGATCGGCATGTCGCTCTGAATTCCTGCATGTAGAGTGCTATCATCAGCGAAGCTGTAGATTTGGTTAATCGTGCAGGAAAGGAGGTCGTTGATATGTAAGAGAAATAGTATCGGAGGAAGAGGACAACCCTTCAGTTACGATGGATATCTTGCGACCAGAGATAAAATCAGCCATCCATCTTCGAAGCTTTTCTGGGAAGCCATAGGATGGAAGTTTGCTTAAGAGGGCAGCGTGCCACAGCTGATCGAACGCTTTCGTGATGTCAAGAGTAACGACATGAGCTTCACGATAAGACTGAATGAGTTTACTCCACAATTGCATGACGTAATCTAGAAAGTCCCCTGTGGGTGGCTGGTGCCGGAAACCATACTGCCTGTCGCTACTCAAGCTGTGACGTTCGAGGTAGTCGAGATGCTCGCGATTTATGCACCTCTCCATCACCTTACTTATAACAGAAAGCAGAGCTATAAGCCTGTAGTTGTAAGGGTCGGCCATAGATGGGTTGAACATTAAGTAAATTTACAGTTATCTGGGAAGATGCCGGATTCGTAAGATATCTGGAAGAGACGCGAAAGAACTGGAGCAAGCTCCGCTGCACACCTCTTCAGCACAATGCCAGGAATCAAGTCCGGACCAGAAGCTTTGTTGATGTCGAGCGAGAAGAGCACTCGTCGTACGGTCTTATGCCTGAATGTTACCTCCTGCATAGTGTAGGGAACCCTTTGAAATGACGGCACTTGGGTGTTGGGGGGGCATGGTTGGGTTGGCGGCAAATATCTTGGCAAGCACCTCCGCCTTGGCTTTTGAGTAGGATACAATCGTTTCATCCTGACACGTAAGTGGTGGAAGGCTACTGTGTGAGAAGTTCTTTTCAATCTGCTTGGTCAGCGTCCAGAAAGACCGACTGCCATTGCGCTGCGACATTACCCTGTGCCTAACTTTTATGTCGTGCTAGTTTTTGGCATTGCGAAACGCTTCGTTGTATTTGTTTCTGGACTCGACGTCAGCTAGTCTGTTCTCTACAGTGGGGTTTTATAAGAAGATTCTGTATGCCTTGATCTTTTGCTGGCGAGTAGTGTCACACGATTTGTTAAACCAGCCGGTGGACCCTAGTTTAGGCAGTTTCACTGTATAAGGGATGTATTCCTCCATTCCGACGTGGATAATTTCGGTTAACGAAGAACAGACAGCCGACGCATCCGCGTAAGCGGAACAGACATCTCTCCAAGGAAAGGTGGAGAACAAGTCGGCATGTCCGTAATGCCAAATTTTGCGGCCTGGGCGAGTTTCTGCTGCCGCAGCGGGTTCTGACCGAAACCTAACCTCCACAACACCGTGGTCTGAGTTACCCAGGGGGGCAGGACAGCAGTGCTGTAAAGGACAGGATGCGTGGTCAGGAAGAGATCCAGCAGGCTTCTGGCATGTGAGGAGACGCGGGGGAAAAAGGTAGGGGTGACAAGCCCAGCTGGGTCAGCCCTTGAGTAAGAGCGAATGCTTCAACTGCACGACCCGCTGCATCGGTCTTGTTTAAGCCTAACCAAAGCTCATTGTGGGCATTGAAATCACCGAGGATAACTACCTCTGAAGTGGGGTTACTGATGTTCAGGAAGTCGATCTTGACGGCGAGGTATTCAAGTAGGTCATTCCAGTTATGGTCCGAGGGAAAGCGATAAAGGCAGCAAATGAATTTGGAGGATATTTTAGAGTTGACGCAAAGCTACAGAATGTCCTTCCGGTCTGATTCCAAAGAAACATCTCTGGAGCAGGAAAGGCTGCTGCGGACAAAAGCCACAACTGCCCCGTTCTTTCTCAGATTGGAGTACACCTCGGAATTTGGGAAGCTAAGATGGTTAATAGGTGCAGACGTTGAGATTTTTGTCTACGCTAAGAAAAGCATGGCGGGACGATTGGATTGCAGGTAGTGATGAACAGCATTAATGTTGCTGTTAATCCTGCAGATGTTCGTGAAACTAATTTTATCTTCGATGTTATTCTCTCGACTCCACCCTCCACCCGGACATTCCGAGAGTGGAGTGAGTTTACGTCCGGAGTTCTTAGTACTCGAGGATCCATCATCATTAATTTGTTTGTTTTGGAAGATAACCGACTGCATAACTAGTGGCTAGTGCCTCGGTTAACTGGTCCTTGTTTACCACCTTTTTGCGTGTTAATGATATTAAATAGGCCTAAAGTTGCTTGTTGGCGGACTTGTACCGCCACCCGGCAATCACTTGAACGGGAAGAAGTTGTATACTCTGGATACAACAACTTCCGGAACAAGCATTTGCCACGGCCCCGCTCAGTAGGGCATATTTTTGTTGCACTAAAAACTATCGAATAACTTTGCAATCGGCCCTAGATTTTCTGGGTTGACAGCCACAAATCCTACAAAGTTACCCTTTCTAGCAGATCTCCAATAAGCCCAGTCCATTTCTTTTTGTTGACATCCCAGTTTCCGTATTTTCCATCTTCTGTCAATCGGAACTCAAACTGGAAACCAATTATTTCCGCTATTTTGGAAATTAAATCCATCGAATATCCTTTATATCTTGCATTTCCTGTCAACACTTCACCTTCGTATGAAGCTGACCTTGGCATTAAGTAAGGAGGACCCATCCTGAAAATAATTTTTGAAAAACTGAGAATTGATCGAAAAATGTAATTAAAATTATGAGTGTGAGGTGGTAGCTGATATGAGAATTGTCTGTTTCTAAAGTGTCTCTCCTAAACACGTTTTGATTACATCCTGAGGCGAATACGAAGTTGCACAACATTGAGTCTTTTGATGCACCTCTTCAAAAAATAATCTTTTTGACTAAAAACTGGAAACAAAAAAAAACGACATAAAATGTTTGGGAACATTCTAATGTACTACGTTTTTCGCTAAAAACACCACAGCCATTGATCACAGACAAAATTGTATATTTAATAGACATAATAGAATGTTTACATTAATTTTTCAGGCAGTTTATTCTGTTTTTCCACTTGTTTGGTGGTGGTTTTTAGCCCTAAATATAACGCTCCCGCTAGACGCCCAAGTCAGCAATTTTTTTTTCAAAAAATGTGAGGAGTGCGCCTCCTCAAGACCTAAGCCACCCCCGCTCTTCAATTTTGTTAGAAAGGCATTTGCTCTCATGAGTCCTAAGCATGCAGCTCCCAGCTCTTCAAAATTTAGTTGCCGCTAACCTCCCCCCTCCTTGTTTTGCATACCAGATTTATCCCAAAATCGCAAATGCTACCTGGATGACACGATGACTTTGATTTTCTGTAAATTGGCAACACTGGCATCAAAAGTTTCATTTTCTCCTCTGTAAAGTACCATAGATTCGTTGTGTGAGTGCCAACTGCCCAAGGCTGTAGTAGGCATATCGGCATCTACTATGTCTATTTTGAAATGAATTCTGTTTCCAAATTCGTCGAATTTCACTGCTCCAGTTAAAGTCTTTTCTGGCTTTTTCTGAAAACGATTTGTAGATTAAAATAACATTCTTTTACAAACGACCGAAAAAGTAATATTCTTTACTATTTACTGCTTTACATCTACAAAATAGCAACTACTTAATGTCGGAACGACTATAAAACTCTGCCATGTTGCCATACTGCTATGCTTATATTATCATAATAAAATGACGTAATAATTATGGGTGTTTATCAATTTCACAACTATAATATAGGAAATGGCATATTGCTGCTGTTGTAGAATAAATCTTAACTGTAACCTTTTTAAAGTTAATATGTATACTTACGACTCTACAGAAATTATACAATGCGAAACCATTCTTGGATTTACTTTTTTCTTCACATGATATTGGATTGGTTTCTACGGATGACGTGGCAGCTAAAGATTTTATACATTCCATAATATGGGTGAACGCGTCATATAGGAGCACTGTTTCTGTCTAAAAAATAATAGTTATTTATGTCTCTAGGGCGTAAAGTGCACGTTTATGACCCGTCGCGTGAATTTAGAGACCAAGGTGAAAGTCCTATGCCAAGGGACATAAACGGTTATTACGTCCGAGATATGTTCAAAATGTTATCCAAGACCGGCCAAAATCAAAAATTAAGAGCAGATTACTTAGAATTTAAAATAAAAATTATCATTAATGGTGCGGTGCGACACCTCTGTGCATAGCATAGCACGTCGAAAATAGTTTGGTAAACCCTTGGTAGGTAGCGATCGTGAGATATCTCACCTACATTCTCCATGCTTTGAGTTTTACAAAAGTCCAAACCCAGTTGTTTGCTTTCCGTTCGTCTATCTCCAAGACTACACCTAAGACTTATAGATCACTGATGAGTTGCTAATGAGCACGTAACAGCGCTGTCTGCGGTTGGTCATAGTTAAAAAAACAGAAACCAAACATGTCCATTGCAGCCGTATCATTATATACAGAATGTCCCATTTTAATCTCCCCACCTAAATATTTCGAACACTACGCATCCTAGAAAACTAAAGTTTTTACACCGGAATTGGAAAGAGGAGGAAAGGAAGAAGATTAATAAGGCTGATTTTCGGCATACATTTAATTTGGATAAAAATGTTCAAAATCGGTCACTGTAGTTATCTACTAAAAACACTAATGGTTTGTTCGTACGGTGGTCGGTGACTTGTCTGTGACTGTGACAGGTATCAGGCCGTGTGAATTTCGTCTATATAGCGTAGTAGAGTGAACGGAATTTGTGAGGTGCGATCTTGGACATGATCAGGGACAGGTTGGTGACAGCTGTACAACAGGACTTTTGGCGATTCCACCCTAAACCGTTTTTTGGTAAAAAATCTATAACACGTCAAAAAAAAACAATAAAATGTCATCATGCAGACAGGTAGTTTTTAGGGCGCAAATAGTTCATTCCAGGTTTACTCGCTATGACCCCTGTGAGCGTCCTTCTATGGGGGAATGACCAAACTACAAGTATTGTTGGTTGCATATATTTTGTAAAGCTGAGGAGTCTGTAGTTCTCATCTCTGAGAAGATATGAAACAAGGAAGTTTGTTGAATAACAAGATCGTATCTGGGTGATTATGTGTAATGTATTAACCTTTTCACTTTCATAAATATCACTGGCTGTGGATGCGCAACTAATTTTTAGTTTTGAATCTCAAGTAAGTGTATTTGAGACAAGAATCCAGTGGAATTATTATCCACACATATTATTAGCACACAAATCCTCACTATGCACCTATGCATTGCCGTTTCCTTCTAGATACAGTATACAACTTATAGCTTAGACCTCCAGTAATGCCATCTCTGAAGCCGATGTTACATCACATCAGAACCAACCATTGATAACTAAAGCATCATGACGTTTAGGCAACACGTACAACAAGACGAGTTTACATAACAAGTGTCCATCAGCTAGTACTAAGTTAATATCTTATTGAAAAACCTACATAATGTCACGAAAAACCAATACAATGTCAAAAAAAATCGACATTATGTCACTATTAGATACGTAATCCCGTGCCGTGTCGATCCCCAGAACGGGCTGGTCAGGATGGGAAAGCGGGTCCGCAGGCATCGTCATCAAGTGACCGTGGTTCAACATTAGCCAGTGTTGAGTCTAACGTTACAAGTGAAAAAAATAGACTTTGCAGTAAAGCAAAAAGTCGTTACCTCATTTGCCATTCCTCAGGCAAGCTTGTACCACCTGAAGCAAGGTTGCGTATATTCACCCACCGGGCCATAATTATTCAAGGAAAATCTCGATTGAGCAAGAGGTATCTCAAAGGTATCGTTATTAAAGAAGATGCATCACGAGTCCCAACAGTTTCAAATACAACAGCCTGCACTGTCATCAAAGGGAGAAAAAAGCCAAAAAGTGGCAAATAAGAGTGAACATGATTAAAATAGGCTTTAGTAGTACGTTATTAAGATTAAGATTACTTTTCGATAGACGAATGCTATTATTAGGTGATGGTATTTTAGCTAGTTTAGGGGGTGGTTGGGAACACTAGGAGGTTTCGGGATGGTCGGTTCAGGATGGAGTTAACCTAGTTTCTTAGTAGATACTACAGGAACTGATTTTAAACATTTTCATCAAAATTGAATTTAAGCTGAAAACCTACCTCATGTCCGAATATAAATTTGACTATGACCATCAGCGTGACCTTCAAGACCAAATCAAGACATTGAAAACAATTTGCTCTAGCAAAAATTTCTACGGCGAAGTTTTAAGCTTTGTGGGGCTGATCTTCATCTTGAAGAACATGTCAAAATTCGCACGCTTAAGACTGCCATGCCGTTGACTTTATGGTCAACGTCACATTTGGACCTAAAATTTCTTGCTTTTCCAAATTCCGAGATAAACATGAGGGATCTCATATGAAAAATTTGGCCTGTCCTTGAAGGGCATGGTCAATGTCATAATTGAGTGACTATAAGCTTTACAACTGTGATTTTTTGCTAAATAAAATTGTTTTTTTTTCACTGTCTTTACTTGAGCTCGAAATGCCCTTGAAGGTCATGGTAATTGTCATGGTTAAGGTCATTTTCGGACGTAGAATTTTCTCCTCTTTCAATTACAAAGTAAAAAAGACGGATTCCATTTGAAAATATACGTTTCGCCTTCAAAGACCTTGTATATAGATCGTGATGAAGCTCATGGTCAAGATCACTATCATTCTGCCCGCTCGAAAATCTTCAATGCTTGTTTTAAACTTTGTCCTGGTGTGTGTAGTTTCCCAAATATTTAGGTGTGGAGATTGAACTGGGACACCCTATATATCGACAGTAGTTGATCGACATACAGTAACAAATAGATGAAGACAGTCATCATGGTCTCCATATTGTAATCAATATATGTAAGTTGATTTGTAGATAGCGGGCGCTAAAATTATTTTACAGCCCTAGGACATAACGGCGTCCGACGGCTGATAAGTGGCACTTAACGCTATGCCTAAGGCACACCTGGTCGTAGATAAAACATTTTCGGGTGTTTCAAAATTCAAGAAGAAAAGTCGTTTTTGGTAATGTCACATGTTTTTTCAATCTTTGTAATTACTTACTAATACTGTGTGTGGAGGGAGGACCTTCATAATTTCATCCTCATTTTCATTATCAGACAGTAGCCACCTGTTTAATACGTTTTGGAACTCTTGCCTGTTAGGATCGAACAATCTTATTGTGGTAATATTTGCTGTCGTTTTCAGTATTGAGTAGTCTAAAGTATGGGCATCCTATAAAACGAAAACACAAATATAATAGTGGAACGAAGTCTATCGAAATTTTATTCTGGTCGTGGGAAATAATTTATCCTAGAAAACGGCTGCAGAACTGCTCTCAATGAGCAAAAATCATTTCAAAATTACGAGATTATTTTGAAAAAAAATATTAGGGGAAGTAAACAAGTGGAGTATTAATGTAACTCCCGAAACTTTCTGTGGTTTTGATGTTCATAAAACTCCATTATCTGACCGAATCAAATATATGTTATAATTTCTGTGAGATTTTTCAAGTACCTCAAGAAATATTTTAAGTTAGTTAGTTCAACCGCAAAATAGGTCGAAAAGATTGCATGACAAATTTAAAAAAGGTTATATTCCAAGCGTTTGCCTTTTTCCCAGAGTGGGGAATAAAACCAAATAATTTAGAAGTGAGTATTAGGTAGATGAGGCATTTATTACTAATCGTAGAAACTTTGCCCTATAAAAACGCGAGTCTGACCTAAATTTAACAATTAACGAAACATACTATGTTGCTCTCTCTTGCTCAGTCTTACAGTTTGTAACCTATTGGTCAAAAATAAGATTAGCTGGTGTTACTTGTCTATAGCCAAGTGTGCCAACAAAATGACTTCCATTAGTGGTAGTGATTATAACACAATGTTTTCAAAATTAGATTTTCGGTCACAATCGAAGAATCTATGCCCCATAAATTTTTTCGTCAAATGCGGCTACAATAGTTCTTCAAAATTCAGGGGCAAACAATTTGACATTAAATAAATAATTTTTCAGATTGTTGTATGTAGGTTGTATTTATTAATTTTCGATAGCTGGCGAGATGTGTATGAATTATACTACAATCCCACTTCGTCTTGGGTGTATTCGATGGGAAACATTTCTGACAGAAATCATCATCTCTTTTTAAATTAGAGTCGTTGCCTAATCCAGTGAGAGAGAGAAAGATGTGTGAAATAGCTGCGAGTTCATCAGTAGCGGTTGGTGTTCGATTTTGATAGTTGGGGTTCATACGCCTTTATTCTGTGTGTTTTTTAAAAATTCCATATTCAGCTTGTTCCAAAGAAAAAAACGGTAGGTTCTAAAACGTGCCATTGAAAAGAAAAAATAAATTCAAAATTACGTTTTGTAGTACACAGTCCCAAAAGTGAACTCAACGCAGCATTACTGCAAATCAAACGCGCATGAACATTTAAAACAATTATGATAGCTGAGTCTTAAATAGCCCGGTAGCATAGTGAGGAATCTTCCGGTATAAATTTTCAGACATCTTCTCAATTAAATTTAAATACACTGAAGACGCATAGGCAAACACGTTGCAAATGGAAAGAATCGAGAACCAGTATTCAAAAAAAAATTCTCATGAAAGACATTTTTGGGCACTACAGCTATGAAGTCATAATTGCGAGTAATTTTAACTTCTACTTACAAGTTCGTGAAAATAGAAATTTTTTCTTCAAAGTTAGTGTCAATGTTGAAATCTAGAATAACATTTACTAAAAGAATACTTGTAACGTCAAGCTGTATAGGGTTATTTAGTAGACATATTGACTAGTTTTTTACGAATCTATGTTGCAAGGTCACAAGAAATTTTTATTTGTCATTAATAAGATAATTGTTACTTACCAATATGTCCAAAAAGAGACCTCTGCAGTTGTCTTCGAGGTCAAGAATTCTTTAAGTACTTTTTAGAGGTGTGTTTTTGTAGTTTTAAACCCACCAATTTTAACTCTTGGTCAAAGGTCTATTAGGCCCGTAATTTATATACACTGAAAACCAAATATCCCTGACGTCGTAATGTATACGAGATAGAAGCGCGAGAGGCGTACAGTACGTGTGTTAGAGATAGAAGTACCTCGTTGCCTAGCAACCCGAGTGACGAGGCCACGGGTCGCCATAGGCGCACGCTTTCTAACATACATATTGGACGCTTCTCGCTATTTCTCTCGTACACGTTACGACGTCAGCCAATTTTGAACCTCATAGTATGTCGTTTGATTCGACCAGACAGTGGAGTCCTAATATGGAGTATCGCTTCATTGGGATAAGATTCTCGACCTTAGCAACTAGCGCGCATGCGCATCTTACGCACATTCAAACGTTAACGCCGAGATCCCATGATGACATTCGCCTTTGCCGTGAAGCACCTAGTTCCCGAAGTCGTGATCTCGTCAAGCTTTTTCACGATATTTGGTAACAGTCATGATTCGTGATTCATAAATATCAGTTACTAAATCACAGTTCGTAAAATATTTACCACCTCTATCAACTATCGTACTTACCAATGACGTCAAGAAGTAGTTGTTGTGTAGTTCTAACATCCTGAGATCCTTTGCTTGCAACAGAATTGGAATGATATTTTCTGTTTCGCAATCTAGAATAATGTATTCCGAAGCGTTGCGAATTTCTTTCAGTAACATCCTAAAATATAAAGGATAACTTTTTGTTCTTGGTAAGGTGCACCTAACAAACGTGATTATGAAAAAAAAATCGAGATGGAAATTTTTTCCACGAATATCAGGTTTTCGCTCTATCTAAAATAAGATAAACTCGAAAATTGGTGAATATTTATTTTAAGGGCTTAGGCAATAAGGTCCATAAGTCACACCTAACCAAAAACCACAGTCCCATCTAAAAGCCCCATGAGGTAGATACATATGTGCGGAGTTAATTTTTTTGAAAATTCGCTCATAGGTGTTTCTATAATTTGTATAATGGCGTTTTTGAACAAACACGGTATCGCACACATTTTTACACTGAGAAGGCTATAAAACACCCAAATCCCAAGATGGGTCCAAGCGGAAATCAGTCAATGGTACAAATAATGGATGTTTCAGTGATACAGAGACCAAATATTGTTCTGGATTCAGTACAGATGACAGTGTGAAAGACATACACTATCCTCCTCATTGTGAGTCTGAGCGAGTAACCCAGGCGAATAAACAGATTTGTGGCTTATGACTTTACTGCCGTTATATATGTGGCTTATGCTTTTATTACGTAGAAAAACTATTTTTGTTTTAGTTTCACAATATCACTAGACAATGAGTTCAAAGCATTTTTTTATCAGAACATGCCATTATTCTTATTGAGAACGACTATCGTAGACCGTAAGTAACTTCAAAACTTCAATAAATGGTAATATGTAATTTTATGATGACTGGCGTATGCAAGCGTGGGGGTCATGAGGGTCACGATCACCCTGGCCGAACTTAGTTTGACCTCTAATATTTATGACATTCGAATCTCTTTGATAAGTTTAATGAAATACATACACATACAGATTTGGTGAAAAATCACCACACCTGGCAACCCTGATCAATTTTTAAGCGCATCGATGATGGTGTGGAAATAAGAAGGTTGTATAAGTCTGGTTGTCTATACGTTCGGCTTGACGCAAATCTAAATAAAATGGTGATTCTGCGTTTTTCGGCTTGAATCCACCACATGTTCGATAGTGCATTATTGGAAATTCAGTTTCATATGTTCTGTGATTAAGGTATTTAATTGAAATTCAGAGATTCAGTCAGGAAAATAAGAAAAAACTTGTTCGCGCGCGCCTTTAGAGCTGTGAGCACATTTGATCAAAATACTTTTTGACGGACAAAATTAGAGAAAATTGGTTTAATATGATAGAAAGGAGATGGTAAGTAGTAAGCGTCAAGTAACCGTAAAAATGTCCAAATCTCTCTCTCTCTCTCTCTCTTCATCTATCAGCTCTTAAAACATATACATGCTACTTTTGTTGTAACTTTTCATTTGTAACTTAGCATGATGGTAGTGTGTTAGTTTGGTCATGTACAGGGTGTTTCCTAAACGTGGGTCAATAATTCAATGGGCGACTCTTGAGACTATTCTGATGATGATGATCATCCTCTCGATATGCGAAACAACTCTTGATTCCAGGGAGACAGGCCCCTTAAGGAGACGTCGTTGGAAATAGGTTTTTCTTGAATAATTTTGACGTATCACTGCTTAAGTTTTAACATCGAGTAGATACCGAGAATCACCTTCTCCCCGAAATTAATATCTTCCTGTGAACACCCCCTGACACAAATGGTGAATCCGCCCTTGGGAACTCATATGACAGTCCTAATGGAAACATTTGGTTAAGTATGCTGTTTCAAGTCTAACAATCCCCAATCATATGTTTGTAAAACAACCAATTTTTAATTACCTTTGGAGTACAACTTTTTTCAATAAAGCTCCAGGCCATATTGTCAAAAATGAATTTATTTTACGAAAATGCGTTATACTTTTTCGATTCTGTTGTCACCAAGTCCTTGTTCCTTAAATTGTAAACCTATCGTAGCATTTCAACCGGAATTAAACAAGAAAGGTGATTTCAAGATTTACATAAAACTTATAACTTTAGATTAAAATTATATGGCTTATGTACTTTATTGCCCCAAGCCCTCAATTGTTACCTACCTGTAGTCAGGACCTGGTCCCAACTGCTTCACCAATATGCTGTTTCTTTTGCCCCTGTGGAACTCTTGTAACTTCAAGATCTCTTGCATTCTGATAAGTCCCTCCTCTGTTTCATACAAAATCACGAACGAGTTCCATCTTAAGGCTTTTACCACTTCCATCAAACCTTTGGCGAATAGCCTGGCTTCAGGGTAGAAGTTTAGAGACATCGATATGTTGTTTTCCTGAAAATTGTTATCAACTAGAACACATATGGCGCAAAGATTATAATAATATGTACCATTTTATTGGGGTCCAGGGGAAGGGACAATGAGTTATCACTACATACATATCACTAGCTTTTTGCCCCGCGGTTTTACCCGCGGAACGTGTAAGAGGCACCACTAATAAAGTAACCAAATTTCTCAACCTAATACCATCAAAGATACAAAACGTGATTAACATTTCTTAAAAGCAATGCTTTTTATTATTATTATTATTATTATTATTATTATGATAATTGAGATGAGCAGAGTACACAGTACTATAAGCTCATGCAGTAAATATAGTGTACGGACACGTAACACAAATACATCAAATAGAAAAAAATAAAAAAAATACAGTTCACAGCTATAAAGTTGTGAGTAACATTTCACGCGTACGAAATCGCAGGTTGAAAACTGGTGCAAAATAAAACGTCTGTATCACTTGAGGGTCACAGGTTGAGTGGGGCGATGGCTGGCCGCGCTGTTGCCAGCTTCACGCGAACTGTGGAGATTTTGGTGCTTCCCACGACAGCTCATTGCAAAAACGACGATGAGTTCGCGGATAAAACCCTGCCTATAAACTTTCCCAGATATCAATTAGCAAGTGAACAAATTTATATATAGCGAAGAAGATACCGGAACACTCAGCATTCGATTTGCAAGAAACCAGATAAATGTACCGTACCCACCTAGGAGCATTAAAGATTGTATGACAAATAATCCAATAACTATTTAAAAAACAAAATGCAGTAAATTTACCATGCAAATGCGATATTTATATACCCTTTGCTCATTTCGGTTGAACCAGCGACTGAATGCGTCCGCGCTAGTCAGCTCATGTTAAATTCCATTAAGCCGTTTGGGCTGTGACCCATGAAGTAAATATTTCAACGATATTTCCTGGGATAAAATGTAGCCTATGTGGTATTCCAGGCAATTATCTATCTATGTAACAAATAAATTTCATTAAGGTCCTTTCAGCCATTTTGGTGTGGAGTCACAGACACGCTTCCTTATTTATAATATTAGTAGGGATTATCCGCCTTAAATTGTTATAATGTCGTCAAAATAATTAGCCTTTATATCTCCGTGAGAATGCCCCCAGGAACATTTTTTATAGAAACTTGTTACTTTTTTCTGCGATATGAATCGAAGACATTACCTAAGCATTCTATGACACATTGTATGTTACCTGAGTGGGGCCCCATGACATTGAGATGAAAGGTAACTCTGAGTTGAAGCAGATGGACTCTTGAATTGGTGAAGTTTCTGATCCTTGGACACTGATTATAGCAGCAACTCCATTTTTTCTACCTAATAGATCGCATACTGGAAGAAAAAAATGGCGTCAAGTAGGCTTACTCTGTACTTCCTCGCAATTCTGTATAAAAATCTGACTAAGCTTTTGTACGCTCAGGTATCTTTATTGTTCGATTGCTCTGGTAGGTCAGTTTAATTTCATTTGCTTGAGAGAAAGGTACAAAAAATAGTTGAGATTCTGCGATCCACGAAATATCTTCAGATTCACAGAACATGGACGCATAAAATGGGTATACCAATTTTTCTGGGAAAACTTTTTATTCAACGACAAAAAATTAGAAAACGTGTTCTCGGGATTCAATCAAAAGTGTTTGCATAACCGAAAAACTCTTCGAGTGAGATTTTTAGTTATATACGGGACCTTCAAAATGAGACCACACATAAAAAGAGTTATTATCTAAAAAACCTATAAAACGTCAAAAAAAACCTATAAGATGTCATCTTGCAGACTAGGTAGTTTTTAGGGTGCAAACAGTCATTCCACGTTTGCTCACTAGGATCGTTGTGAGCGTCCATCTATTGAGGAATGGCTCATCTACACGTACACGTATTGTTGATTGCATATGTTTTGTAAAGCCGAGTGGTCTATAGTTTTCATCTCTGAGTCTCTGAGAAGAAAGTTGGTTATTTGGCTGAATAGCAATATCGTATCTGGATGAATGTGTGTATTGGTCTGCATGTGTATAAAATCAGTGGATATTTGCTGTGTGGGATAATCATTACTGAATATGCTGCCAATGCAGTATATCTATTAGCTGTTCCCGACGGGTTATTTATATGTTGTCCTTTCGGAAGACAGGTTATATTCAAAGTTATCAATTACGATTATTTACGTTTTTTTTGTGTTTTCAAAAACTTTGAAGAGAATTACTGGAAATCATCACCGCGCCCGCGTTATGTGTGTGATTACTGTTAGTATGTATATGACTTGTAATTCGACAGTGTACAGTGAATATAATTATTTCTTACCTCTCTCATTTTTGAAATTCAGCAAATTTGCCTATGTAATTTCCAGAATGGATAAGAAAAAGCGGATGCACAACTAATTTCTAGCTTTGAATCTCAAGTATCAAGAATCCAATGGAATTATCATCAACACATATTGTTAACACACAAATCCTCACTATGTTTAGGCAACACGTACAACTACAAAACGAGCTTACAAAAGTTTCCATCAGCTAGTGCTAAGTTAACATCTTGTCGAAAAATCTACATAATGTCAAAAAACCGTATAATGTAAAAAAAAAATCGGTATGTCACTTTCCAAGATACGTAATACCCGTGCCGACTAGTAGTAAAAAAGTTATGACCGAAAACCTCATTAGAATGCAGGTTCTAGCACTTGTTGGTAAAGAGACTACAGTGTCACACAGATTCCTGAAGTTTCTCAGGTCCGTAGGCTTTATATTTCTTAATAAGCACAACAAAATTCGAGTCGATTAGTCAAGTAGTTCTTTAGAATTTCTAATTGTTTATCCCAAAACACCTGTTTTCCAGCCATCACTACTAGTTTATCGATCAATATCGTTCAAATGACATTTATTGGCACAATACACGAGTTTACCTTGCCGATATAATCACAATCAATTCCGAAAGATAAATGTTATTTTTATGCGAAAAACAAAAGCTACGTTTTTTTCTTCTAAACAAATTCAAACATTTCGTATTTGTGAGTAAGTAATTGAACAAATACGCTACGATATTCGGAGAACATACATTACTTACTATACACTTTTTAAAACAAAGCGGATGTGACTATAATCTTTTGTTGCGAATTACTCCCAAACAACTCGTCGCTCCCAAATAAGAAATGTTTGAATTTGTTTTAAAGAAGAAACGTAACCCATCCTTTTTGCATAAAAATAACATTTATCTTATGGAATGGTTTGCGAATTATATCGGCAAGGTAAACTAGTGTATTTTGTTATAAAATGCACTTTGAACTAACCCTATAAACATACGTTATTATACACATCTTAAACAGAACGGACGTGTCTAACTCCTTTTGTTACGCAGACATTTTTAAGATTTCTCCATACTCTTTCATATAGATTATAGATGATCATTACAGTTTATAAAAAATAATTTTGAACTAAAATGCACTGATCTATTAAGTCAGCTCCGCAAACCGAATAGATAATTATGGTTTAAACCGACTACGCCTAGTTAGTCTGTAGCATGTGCTACATGGCTACATAATTGATGTCTGCATTACTTTGTCAAATAAGTAGGGCACATAATACAGTTTCTTTTCGAAGAAATCTAATTCCCTGGACCTTTTTTCTAAAAGTGCGTTGGAAAATAAGCTCGAGAAAGTGAAAAAAACACAAATATCACCCAAATGTAGCGAAATGACCGTCTGAAAAATTAGTCAAAATGATCGGTACTACTCCTTAATACATTATTTAAAGTTTCAGCATTGTATCTTGTATGGTTTTTAAGATTATTCTAATTTTTTATAACAGATTTGATGTGTCACTATTCGTTGTTGTTCGTCAGAGCGGTCCGGTGGACCTTTGCTCTGAGTTGAGTTTGATGTGTCGACAACATCCGCTTGACATAATGCCAGTGTCAAGTATTGTGATAGTGGTATAAAGGACCAGTACACCTACAGACGTCGTGGTGTAGTGGAAAGGAGAAATGGTTGCAGAACTGCAGGACGCAGGTTCGAATCCACAAAGCTTCATTTTTTCTATTTATTTTTCTTGAGAGATGTTTTTCACATTATGTGAACTTTTATTGTCATCAAACAGCTTTTCGCATACCATAAACAATGTAAGTTTTCAAATAAGAAACCGACAGTATACGTATGATTCTTCATAATCTTTTTACATTACTTTGATAAAAAATCATAAACACTATGTCGAAGTTAGCATTTCTTTTTTAAAATAAATTATTTGAAGGATTTTTTCGTTCCTGCCAACACTTTTGATTGAATTCCAAAAAGCAGGTTTTCTCATTCTTTGTTGTTGAATAAAAAGTTTTCCCACATAAATTGTGTACCCATTTTATGCGTCCATGTTTTAAATAGCCCCTTGAACAACTTACATCACTAAAACCTATCTTTACAATTATTTCAGGGAAATTTGCTAATATATAGTTATAGTCACCGTTCTTGGCAGTTACGTCATCAACGCCATATGAACTAAGTGAACAGATCCAGTCTCCGTACCATGGGCGAATCTTAATCTTCAGCGCATCTGCTACTCTCTCCAGTACATACTCATGAAGTGGGTAACAGGGGACCACTTTTTCCATTCTCTTACTGGAAATACTCTAATAAATTTAGCACGAGCCGTTGGCCTTCTCCATTGATCGCATTTCTGGACATTGTACAATTTTATATTGAAGATTGATAACAGGACAACCCAAATTGCACGCCGATGTCAAGTAAGTTCTCACTCTGACAAATATGATTGAAGGGCACTCATACGTTATACGGGACGACAAGTTTTCGAGCCGGAGACAGACAACTAAAAAACGTATGTCTTCGAGCAAACGTTCAAAGAAAGAATGATGTTGCATGTGCATGTTTGAGGGAGATGGAAATATATAAAGGGATATTGGTAGTCTTACTTTGACCCACCAAGAACGGTGACTACAACTATATATAATTAAACTAAATGTATTCTATCCCAGGATAGCCAAGCTAGTCCTATATTTGCGCGTCCGAAAAATTATCCGAGATGAAATATTGTAGCGCCATATATGGGAATTTGTGACAGCTATCCTTCTTATCTCCACAGTAATTAGGAATCTACTTCTAAAATGTTAGAGTCTCATAGATGGCGCTATGCATATAGCTCATATACAGTTGGCTAAGCTATATATGGTGCGCGCCATCTACGAGATACCGTCATCTGGGGTAAAGGCGGACAGTAGGGGTAATGACGGACACATGACACAATTACATATCTCCCCACTTCTGCGTCTAACAGCGAGTGTTTACATTTTTTGCGCGCTGCGCCTGTCGATTCGTGTCAGTACGGCTATAGTAAGCATCAATAGAGCACGCGACTTGATTGTTGTTGTTTGTGAGCACCAGTACGGCATTTATAAAAAGTTGTTTGTTTCTGCAAATATTAAAATACCGTAAAAAACCTCTCTGTACATAATTAATGTTAAATATTACAATCGGAACTACCTATCTTAAAGAGGCGGGGTTTTATCCCTAGCCATATGGACCATAAAGTTTTTCCATTTTCTTTGTTGTTGTTTTTCTATCAATTAATTTGTAAAAAATTGTCTATAGGTGGGGTAAAGGCGGGCAGCAATGCCTAGGCATTATAAAAAAAAATCGGCGTAAAATTTATGAACTAAGAGCCACAACAAACGGAGCAGGCTCTGGAGGACATTCGGAACAAAAGAAAATCCCTTAGAGGTGCCTCAGAGTACTATGGAATACCAAAGTCCGCTCTATCCAACAAACTCAGGAGACAAAAAGCTGGAAAACATGATGCACCTACCAAACTTTCAGAACAGGAGGAAAAAATGTTCGCAGAAGGAATCACTCAGTTTGCAGAGTGGGGATTTCCTATGACTCGTTGAGATATAAGATGCTTGGGAAAGGAATACCTTATTAGGTGGTCTCCTCAAGACAACCTGGAGTCCCACACACGCCGTAGCTCGGGCTATGGTATGGTGCATAAACGCATTCCCCCCTCACCAAAAAAAAAAACCTTAATGGAAAAGGTAAACAAATAACCCAGTTCAAGGACAATATGCCTGGGATGGTTTTATAACTTTGTCAGTAGAAACAAAGTTTTGACTGAGAGATTTGCACAAAATATAAAGAGATACAGGGCTAATGTAACCAAGGCGGTAGTAAAATCCTATTTTGAGAATTTAGAACAGACTTTAGAGGTAGTTAAACCCATAAATATCGTGAATTATGATGAAATCAATTTGACAGATGATCCTGGAAAACAAAAAGTTTTATGCCGCCGTGGTTCGAAGAGGGTTGAGAATATAATTGATTCAAGTAAATCTAGCACCTCAGTTATGATGGCAGTAACAGCGGCAGGACAATTGTTACCCCCATATGTAATCTATTAATCTGTTTACCTATATCGAAACTGGATAGAGGGAGGTCCTGATGGTACCATGTACAATCGAACTAAGTCAGGCTGGTTTGATGGTCCTGCTTTTGAAGATTGGTTTGACAGGATTTTACTTCCTTACTTTCGAAACCTTCCAGGCAAAAAAGTATTAATAGGAGACAACTTAGCCAGCCACACTTCTATGCACGTTTTGGAATGCTGTCAAAATTATAACATTCAAAACTTATGAAGAAAGCTATTGAGAGCATTGAAAATTCCGAAAATAACATTAAATCTGGTTTTAAAGCTTACGGCATTGTCCCACTGAACGCTAATGTAGTTTTAAACCGAATTTTACCTGATTTAGATCCCATAATGGATAGAAGTGAGGGCGAAATTCGTTGGGTGCAAACCTTAAAAGAATTTCTCAAGGACAGCAGATTAGCTACAACTCAGATTGAACGTCCAAAAAGAGTAAAAAAACTAAAAGTGGCACCGGGATAGTCTTTTAGTGCGAAAGATTTTGAAGAAAGCAGTGACAACTCTGAACCTGAATATTTGGACCTATGGAATGGTGGTGAACAAGAAGCAGCTAAAAATCCCAGCAATGAGGAATTAAGAGAAGAGGGAAATTTGAGTGGTGAACCCGAAGCTGATCTACATAATCAGATCAATTTAGATTGTATCCAACCAGGCAATTTTTTGTTAATGAAGTTTGCCTGTCCAAATAATACATTCAAATACTTTGTTGGCTATGTCTCTGACGTTGTAGACGCCAATGAAAAACTTTATTATGTAAATTTCTTAAGAAAGCAAAATTCCGAAAAAATGGGTGATTATTTTGTATACCCTAATATTAAAGACCAAAGCTTGGTAGAGTCTTCTCAAATTTTAAAGGTTTTAAGACAAGTAAAAGATTTAAGACGTGAGCGTTTTCAATTTTCCAGCTTGAAAACGCTTAAAAATATTAAAATTGAATAATGCAGAAATTTATCAAAAAAAAATTTGTTAAACTTTTTTATTCAGTAAGTTTATTATTCTTAGGTTTCTTTTATCAAAATAGGAAAATGATATTTTTAGTCAGATGCAGTCTGTTAACTTTTAGATTTATTATGTGTTTGCTTTTTAAGTTTATTCCTTAGATGAAAGTTTGTGATTAAATAAGTTGAAACATAAATTTTTTTTTTGAGTTTTGTAACTTTCCCAGAATTAAATTTATATAATTTTCATTTTTTTATGTCCGAAAATAATTGGGTGTCCGGCTTTACTCCACACATAGGAGTAAAGGCGGACACCCTTCAACATAAAAAAATTGGAAAGGGAGGACATTTTTGGGTTTTTTTTGAGAATCTTGTTTGGAATCATTTGAGGTACGTAAATTATTTTTTTTTTAATTTTTCCATGTGATTACAAAAAGTTATTCAAAAAAATATGCAAAAAACGTCCGACTTTACCCTAGATGACGGCACTAACCTACTCAAAGTATATTACTAATCATTGCGGGGAGGAGAGGCATAACTGTGACAAATTTTCATATAGATGACGCTGGCAATCTTCAGGTAGAATCAATGATATCACACAGCGACAAAAATTGACGTCCTTAGAACATTCTTTACGACGTCCCAAAACAACGCTTATTTCGCGTTATTAAGACATTCTTATGCAACTAGTGTAGGTACTTACCTGTCTTACTGACATTGAAGCTGTCAGTTGCAGAAACCTGCTGGATCTCAGTAGAGAATCTTACGAAAGCCTGATCGACCATATTTTGTTTTTTCAAAGCATTTCTCAACGGTAGCAAAGGTTGCCATGTTATTTCATTGAACAATATACCTGGAAGGGACGAAACTTTTATTTACGCAGGGTGATTTATCTTTGTTTTTTAAAAAATAGTAGCAATACATATTTCTTTGACAGAAAAAACAAGCAATGTTTCTAAAAAGGGTCCTTTTTCCGAGATGCAACTTCAACTAATTTACAGACCTCGTATATTACATTGTCGCCAAAATTGTGTAGCTTAAGGGCTGTATGGCCAGTCGTCCCTACAATTGTCGCACTTATGGCCTCCTCGATTTTCATAGTTTTTCCTGTCCTTCATAAAGGCAGGGGTATTTCTAGATTTCTACTGTTCCGTGACAGGGCTCTATTTTGAGGTTATGTTTTCTTTTTGAATTGTAATAAATTTCATACTAATGAAACTTGATTTTTATCATATATTATATCAACCTGAAAATTCTCAACATTCAAAAATAAAACATGACCTCACAATAGGAGAGCGCTGACGCTGACATGGAACAGTAGAAATCTAGAAGTATCCCAGCCTTTCTGAAGGAGAGAAAAAAGTATGAAAATCAAGGAGGTCATAAAGGCGCTCTACAATAATTGTAGGAACGACGATACGGCACTTAGTGCATACTTTTGTCTCATTTGCTTACGGCTGCCTACCAAAGTAACAAGCTTACATTTTGTTTCTATGGAGGTATTCAAGAGGCCAATCATACTGTGTGCTCACGTGTAGTAGAGCAGAAATACTGTTTGTGTTGCGATGTGAATCGCTCAGTTATTGTTAATAAACAGGGATAAACTAACCGGATAGCACATGAACAATTCTACTTAATCTGTGATTTTGGAAGATGAAATATGCGAAAAGTTGAATCAAATTCTTCTCAATTTTTCTAAATAGTTATCTGAGCAGATTTTTAACTAAAAGCAAATACAAATAGAAATTAAATCATTGCTATTATGTAATTGACACTATATTTATCAAATAAAAAGATTTTGAAGTAATTTAATTTATTTGATATTCATAGTTTTTGTGGGGCCTACTGAGCTTCCTCACTAGAATCTCGTGGCAATAAAATGAGAACACAAAATTACTATTTATAACGTGAAGGTAGCGACCTTTCCTACCGGCTTTTAGATTCAAAGATAAAGTGAATGATTCTTGAAGTTAAAGTTTCGGTCCTTGTCAGTATCCATCAAAAAAATTGGTTTGTCTCCATTACTTTTCCTATTTCCTGTTAGGTATACAATCCTGTTAACAAACCCTGGATTGAGCACTCAAAGAAACAAGAAATGGATTGAAATGAATCAAAATTACCTCACAGCTGCCCAGGTTAAATAAAGCTCAACGTTGAGATAAATGCCATTTTGCAATGACAATGACTATAATGTATTAACACTTATCAGTTATTCAGTTTAAACCTTCACGATTTCCGACAATTATATTAAACACTAGGATTATATGGAAATCACACACTTTCACATGTTTTTGCAGTAAAATACGAATTTGGTGTGAAATGTCAACAACTATCAAACTAGGGACCCAAACCTGATCGGTTTGCACTATGAACTTTCGTCCTTACCACAGACTATGAGATTATGGAGACAAACAAATTATAAATTTGCTCCTTCTACCTAATGAATTTATTGTTTGTGATTGCCCCCATTAGCAACAATATGAATGAAAGACACAATTCAAGTAGGTATGGCATTATAGCTGATCGACTGGCGACACACACAGCCGGTCATCTTATGTAGGTACCTAGTGTAAATGGCAACAGCATAATTAGAGATTTGCCTTGTGATCAAACAGAATTCCGACCGGTAATCCCACTGATTGAGGTATCGTCAGGTAACCTTAAGCCATTAATGCCATTTACACTCCCTATGATGCCCCTTCTGTGTAATACTCATTGCAACATACTATATATGTATGGTTATTATCCTGTAGGATATACTCTTCCCATGACATTTTCTAACACTTATGATATACCTATATTTGGCAAAAATAAATATTATACCTTATGTCTCGGCAAGGGCGCTTTAGGGTCAATATTTTCTTAACTTTCCGTGATACTTCTGGATATTCTATTTGCCCTCTAAACTAATTGCTACTGTTTTCTGAATCGCCCTGCATAGGCTAAAGATGAGATTGAACACTACGCATATTCTAAATATGTACCTACCTATCGTTGCTTCTGCTCTAAAACAGCAATGTGGCGCTATAAAAACGCTAAAAAGACTTAAAAACAACCACTCTCGAGTCAACATTTTGTATACACACCACAAAAATCACATCAAAATTCGGGAAACGTTCCTTTAGCGTAACTCCTGTAAATAGATGGCTACTTAAATAACTGAAATTTGGATTTGAGTCCATGCCAGCAGTGAGAGATAATTTCGGATGGATTTTAAAATAGAATACGCAGCGTTCTATTAAATTAGTGCAGGAGATACAAACGAGATTTTGGAAAACACGAGAATGTAGAGGGTGCCCAGAAATTGAAGGATAATCCTGCAACTGCAGATGGATCACGTCATTGTAATAGATTTATCTATTTCGGGATTTAGTAACACAACTTGATTTCCGGATGATTAACTTTATTCTGCCGAAAAACGTATATTGATAGGTACTGCAAGGTTCCTCGGCCATTCCCCTGCCTAGCGCAGCATTTCCAGTGAATTCTATTACTTGCGTTACCTAACAAGTTTCTAATAACAATATATTGTACAGTATGATCTTACCATACTACATCATGACCTACCTACTACATTGCAAAATTTTGTTTTATCAGGAGCTTTATAATTTTCGAAATTTTCAGCATTTAATAACTTTGTTCAAAAACTGGTTTGCTTTCAGCATTGATCAACGTATGCTACCTGAAGTCCTGAAGTAAGCCAACGCATACTATATTCGCGCATCCGAAAAATTATCCGAGATATGAAATGAGAATATGTCAGGGATATGTTTCTCCTCTAAATCTACTTAGGAAACGTTAGTGTAGCGTGTAGTGTAGCGAGGGTGACTCAGTCTACCGCGTTGCCAATATATTACACCAGAAAATGTTCGCACAGGCTCCCAAGAAGGAGGTCTGTTCTAATATTGAATTTAATATTTTGTTTTCATTTTGATTGTAATTATTTAATGCAACTTTGATGCAGCTTAGAGTTTTAATTCATTTTAAAATTACACTTGATTTCCACTGATGGTGATAAAATCAACACATCCTGAGTTATTGTTACATTTTGCGACAACGCTGCGGTCGGCAAATGTAACAACGTTACACAATACACATCACCACTTCCTGTGTGTACGAAAGGACGACACTCTCCTACGAGCGCTAGATGGGTACCGACCTACCGACCAAAAGCGCTCAACTATGATCATGGAGGTGGAAACCCTGCCTTGGAATGTACAAGATGCGGCATTATCAAACGAACCAATGATGAACTGTTGCAGAAGCTTAGATAATAAACTAACGCATATCGTCCCTCAAAACACGAAGTGTCGTATCTGACATTTTTTGCAAATTTGAGTTACGCCACGTATGAGCAATATAAAGCCGCCACTTCCTTCTTACAAAGTGTCTTATCTGAATGCTCAACCAACGTTGAGTAATTTTAATATGTATTTGGTTTCAACGTATCTGCATTGGCGCATTCAAAGAAAGTCACGAACTGTCATATCTAAGTTTATTTGCAGATACGACAGTTCGTGATCTTCTTGTCTCCTAATCCTTCTACCGCGATGCTGTCGTACCTTCAGCGAATCACGCGGAGGATTTGAAAATCATATTAAAGAAAAAACTAAGGTTAGAGTATAAACAAGTAGCGAGGGCTGACAATACAGTTTCGTGTGGCGTGTTTGATCTTCAACAGGTCATTTACTTACCAATCAGTAAGCAAAATGCAATTTTTTATAAAAGCAGATTTTCGAACTTCAACTTCACTTTCTAGCTAGTAAAGATTATTATTGCTTTATGTGGCATCAAGCAGCAGGTAAGAGAGGATCTTCGGAGATAGCGACCTGCCTTTTTAAAATTTTAGAGGAATATCCTAGGCAGGATAAGACAAAAGTTGTTTTATTTTCTGATGGGTGCTATAGTTAGAATGGAAACACTATAGTTGTTGCTATGTTCCTGTATACTTTGAGTAACCTTCCATCGCTGATGGAGATAACTTTAAGATTCTTTGTTACAAACCATGAAACAAAATGAAGGTGATTCTGCCTATTTGCATTTCTCATGCAATTTTAAAAGCAGGGAATATCTTCGAGCCGACTCGGCTATTACCGATTATCAATTTGGCCAGGCGGAAACATCTGTATAAAGTATATCTCCTAACTTTTAGAGACTTCATAAATTCAAAGCTTTGTCTAAGAATTTGAGGATTCTATCCATACGTAGGACATACAGCTTCAGGAAGAGCGATTAACTGGACAGACATCATGGAAGTTAAAATTAATAAGGTACACCAAGATAAAATATTTTTCAAGACGAGCCATTTAACAGAAGAGTATGATTTTTTCAATTAAAAAAAGGCGCAGCAAATAGTGAAATGTCGGTTAGGGCTCATCAATAAATATTTCTAAGAAATATAATGACCTCCTGGCTTTATGTAATTGCAAAAACCGCGTGATAAGACTACTGGAAATAAAAAAATGTTGTGAATACTTACCTCATGATGAGGTTTAGGTTTAGTTTTATAAAGATTTTGAGAATCTCTTCTTCAATCTTTTGTTTTTTAGTGCCTTACCTTCATTTATTAATAAAAATTGTTAACAAGAACTTTTCTCTCCCTTTCTTTGATTATAAATCGGATCTTACGTCGCATCCTTCAAGAATTATTTTTCACAACACGAAATGTCGTATCTCACTTATCCGTTTTTTTTGTCAAAACTTATTCAGTCTGGTACATTTAAGTATGATAGGCTCAAAACGTTTTGTGATACATTTTTTATTGTATGACATACATTCTCAAAGAGATCCCTTTTTCTTGTTTTGGCTCTCCTGTAAAATTATGGAGATGTCAGTTACAACACTTCGTATTTTGGGGGACGATATGTTCAACATGCATCTTATTTCAAGGAATTGGTGTAACATAATTTTTGGGAAAGAGGAGTATTGGCACGTCAGCGTTGCTAGGCAACGCGGTGATGAGCTTCGCTATCCAGCCGGCTTCCATCTCTTTCTAACATATGCGTCTGTACAAACCTCTCTTTCGTACACATAGAACTCGAGCCGTCAGACAAATCTGGTTCTCAGCGTATATGACGCTACGGTATCTAGGATAACTTTTCAGTATATTGACTATTGTCAGGTAAAATACGATAATCAATTTCAGTTAATTCCATGCCATTTCTACAAATTACAACCTATATGGGCCAGGTTTGTTTAAAACAGTCAGAATCAAGCATTCCATCCCAACTTATTTTTTCTGGAGATGGCGAGAAACCCACATAAAATCATACCAAAGGCTGAATTTTAAAGAAAGACCGTTTTCACGTCTGACTTTGAGACCCAATACAAAACCATCCGAGGCTACCTACTAATTTGAAAAGTATACATCTCCTTACAAAGCTATATTTATTTTTAATAGGTACCTACTTAATATGATAATATTATGAAAATAATTGGCTTCCATTTGAAAAAATTGTATTTTGTCCTGTACAAACAATTACAAATCGTATAGCAAAGACGCAACAGGAAAATTGATGATTATCCAGCTGCATTTGTGATTGTTGGCACAAAATTGCATTTATCCTAAGTACAGTGAAATTTGGGCATACCTACTTATATGCCGGATGATGAAATGTGTTTGGAATCTTACGTAGAATCTAAAAATTTAATAATATTCAGGGCCTCCCTCTTAAAATATGCGGGCTGCTATCGCCTTCTAGTATAACTAGAGTGTGAAGAATTCGGAAATATTTTAAACAAATTGCTGGTACTTTTCCTACCATTTCATGGTTTATTAGTAAAAGTAACGACTTAAGGGCAACACCGTAAAGAGGTTATTTACTCGTTTGGAGCAAGACATACATATCATTCGTCGTCATGAATTTGTAAGATAAGTTCCTATCTCAAAATTTGGAGAAAATGTACCGCCTCGTTTTTGAAATACTTGAGTAGAAAGTTGAGGAACCTTCTCGTGGATACCCCTGATATTGAGTAACTTGAGCAACATTAATCATTACATATTACAAAATATATCAAATAATGAAAACCCTGCTCTCTAATTTCAAAAGTTTCTTGTTGGTTTTAACATTAAATGTTAATTTTGTATTTCTGGTAGAGGACTTTAGTAAGTTGAACCTGAGTTACTCTATTAACCCATAGATGGCAGATCATGGTCTTTTTCATGTCTGGTTCAACGGTTCTAATGTTGCCTTGTTGCCAGGCGTAGCAAGCTTGCAGCAAATTTAAGGAATTATGCAAACCCTATTTTTATTTTCGAAACATGAGTGATAAGCGGCTAGAAGGTAATACTGTGACAGATATTTTTTAATATCAGACATATTTTAGAAATTTCACTTGTTCGGTCCGTCTATGTTACTATACCTCTCAACTTTCTTGAACTGTTTTGATGGTATTTGGGAAACTTATACGATGTGGGATCATTGTATATAGATAATCATTATGTGTTCATGAAAAATCGGTAGGTATGCTTGAGGCGCAGCTTTCAGAAGATAAATATACCGATTATATCAACTCTCTAAAAGTATTTCTCTTTGTCTTTCATCTTTCTCACTATGCTTTGACTAGATATAAAAATACATTTTTTAGAAAAAACCTAACTGTGTTTGCATGTTCACAAAGTACGTAACTTGAAGTAATTTTTCGGAAAGAAACTCTTTGAGTGAATAAAAAGGACGCCCAGTTTTCAATAGCCAAGAAGACAATTGATTCCTGCTGCATTGTCCATTGTTATATTCGACAACGAACTGATAACACTAAATAATGAATAAAATGCAGTCCGTATAGATGCATCAATTTCAATCAATGAGAACAACAATAAAAAAATTCTTATACACCACACCCCTACGAACTGCTGTCTGCAGCTCTTTATAGAATTCGAATATTAATAACTGGCAACCCTGCAGCGTTCGAACTTAAACGCACTAAATAAACAACGGTGTAACGCCATATGCTGCTCTACCCTCTACAACGTTGTCACGTATACATTTTTTTCTACAATTTAGAGACAAAGTTCCTGAGCTATCTCATATGTTTGACCATCATTCATCCATTCGTACCTTTTCCTAAAGAACTATTTTTTAACATGTGTACATTAATCTGTTTATTGTTATTTAAATATAGTAATTCAGCTGGCAGTTTCTCAGCGCACTTAACGAAAAACTCTTGAGCAGCATAAATTAGAATTTTTAATTAAACTTATTTAATAAAACGACATTTATTTTTTCAAAAAACCACTGGCGTAGAATTTTTCACCAAACATTTAGATTTAAACACTTCATATTATGTTTATTTTCATATTTTCACGTGCCGAATTTGCTCTAATAATTTTGTGTAACACCGGCACGGGTATTACGTATCTTGAAAAGTGACATTTTTCAT